AAAATGAAATACTGAAATACTAAAAAACTTTTGCGACTACGCGACTGTACGAGGGGCAGATGGGGTACTATTACAGTATTTACGGTAAGTCATTGAAGCTCACAATTGACATACATTGTACTTGCCGGCTTGACAGACATACAATTCAATTTAGCATTTTTTTTTTACAGAATAAACAAATTTATTAACTACAATAAATAATAACTTATACACAATTGCAGTTAGTGTAATCACATTTGTACCGAGTGAAACATCATTCAAGAAGCCACTGCACTGGTTGAAAGAAAAACATAAACACAAGCAAATAAATAAGATCAGATTGCCTTCATATTGTTTAGAATAAATAAAGATATCACTTAAAAATTGAATGCAAACTCAGCTAGTTGTAAAAGTTGTTGCGTATAAATTATTAGATTTGGCTTATAGGTCTTTAGACACTTTTTTTCTACTATCGTTTATTAAATGACGGATTCACCAATTAACCCACAATTGGCTCTAAATAGAAAATCATAAACAAAAACTTTTTCACAAGATTCGAACGTTAATTTGTAGAAAAATAGTAGGCCTTTCTAATGAAGCAAATTGTAGGTCAATTGGTGAATTTGTCATTTATAAACGCTAGTAGAAAAAAAAAGTGTCTAAAGACTTATGGGCAAAACTAATAGATGAGGTGAACAGAGTTTTTGAATGTCATATCGTTCGCTCGCATGTCATTTTACCGATATGAGTTAGTTAAAAAAAAGTTGACTATTGATTAGTGAAAAAACGTAATTTTACCGACAAAGACGTCATTTTCATCAAACTAACTCATATTGGTGAAATGCTTACACTACAATAAACTCCCTATCTTTCGTTGGTAAAATACGAAGATTAGAAAAATGGCCAGTGTTGAGATCTTTTCGGCTTAGGTTTTGAGTCTTGCTCATTTGATCCTTCATGTGATCCGCCATGTGATCCCCCATGTGATCCCTCATGTGATGAATGTTTCTCATATGAATCATCGCCGACTCGTTGAATCACTTCCCAACGACATGGATCATGCTTTGGAGATGTGGGTGGTTGTTTAGGCTGAAAGTATATGGTTTATTATACAGGATGCTCAAGAATTACGGTCACTTTTTCTCTAGTTCGTAGCTCGGCCTAGAGTTAACCATTTCCCGATAAAACTTGGTAGAATTTTGGTAGAATTTTGCTAGATTTGCTAGAATCTACTGCTTATTTTTAAACGGGTAGTCATTATTAAAGTAATCCTTGTATAGCTTAACTAAATCGAAAATATGTCTTAGAAAATGTTTCTAGAAAACTTACAATAGATTTGTAGATGTCATGGTAGATGTGCTTTCCCCACATATTACACGTGGCTCCGTGCACCATCGCCTGGCAATTGGCATACTCGGCTACTGTTCTGAAATGAAAGAGTGAGTTTGGAGTAATTTGAAGATGACTTTGAAGTCTTGTTGTTTAAGATGAATCCTCTCATAGTCAAATTGCAGAGAACAATGACAGGGTTTGGGGATAGGGATTAGACGCGTACCCTTGATTTTTCTTTTGAGGCAACAGCGCTGTCACTACGCCACGCCTACTTCCACTACCATTAGGAAAGGACTTTTAAAAACCTTGCTCAAAATCAGTTTCAACATGAGTTACTACTAAAAAAGAACTGATTTTCTAGTCAATCTCTTGTCAAACTTACGTGCATGGGCCATGTGGAGCGACAAAACCACAATGCTGATCGGTCACCGTGACCACTTTTGGATTTGCTGCGATACAGGCATAAAGTGGAGTAGCTAAAATTTCTCTCAACTTTCATTTCTAACTATAAATAGTTTTTTATAAATCTTTAATTGGTAAATTGACTTTGAACTTGGACTGACCCTTATTCATCGCTTTCTTCAACTTCTTGTTGTAACAGATCAAGTTTCGGATTGTCGTGTTTGTGCTTCTAGAAAGAATAGTACTAGCTGTTTAGGCGTACATTTTCAAATAGAAATTTTCTCAATAACCAACCGACAAGCCACCTCTCCTAATCCTTGAGATTCCGAGCCTGAGGCAATGACGATGATGCTCGGGTTGCTGATCTGAAATCGAACACAGTCTATACAGTTTTGACTAAACATTTTCCTTTTATCAGTTTTAAATAAACAAAATTTCTTCAAAAAAACTTACAAACCAAGCCTGAACAAGCTCAATGAAACCGAACGACGTGAAAACATTGACAGTTGGTGGAGGACCGGGTGGCGGTGGTGGGGGTCCCTCATGAGAACCACTGCTGTGTGACTCGTGAGAGCTACCAACTCTTTTAATCACTTCATATCGACATGGATCGAAATTAGGAGAACTCTCTGGTTGTGCTGGCTAAATTAACAAGTCAGTGGTTTTTCAATTTTCAACTTACAATAGCCTTGAAGATTCCATGGAATACGTTCTTTCCCCACATGGCACACGATGATCCATACACTTCAGCTTGACACTCAGCATAAGTGGCTACGGATCTAAAAAGAAAGCAAAAGGTTTTAGTGTGCAGTACACTTACAAGGGAATGTCAACCGGGTGTGGTGACCAAATGATATGAGCTATATACTATTCGACGCAAAATTTTACGCTGATTCCGAATCTGCTTTCCGTTTTTGCACTCTGTCAAAAGTTATGTCAAACAAGTTCCCATTTCACGATAGAACACCTAAACTATTCAAATCTAATAGAAGTAAAAGAAAAAGTTCAACTACAGACTCAAATCTAAGAGCCCCTGCCTTGTATTCAAGCTCACTTCCACTCGGCCACCGCCGCACTGGTGGTTTCGACAGGAAACGGGGTTGTAATCTCGATGTTTTATTTTTTTTCTTTTCAGTGCCTGTCTGCTTATGAACTCGCGACTTGATTTTTGAATTTCCTAACAAAAATTTACACGCTTACAACATTTGACAGAGTGCTTCATAGTAGAAACGGAAAAGCAGCTTCGAATTTATCGTAAAATTCTGCGTCGAATAGTATATTCCTCATGTCATTTTTACCATCACACACGGTTGGTATTTCCCTTGTTAGAGTGTGAATAGATCCCAGAAGGGCTATTTTTTTACTTTAAAAAGGTTTTTAACTATATGAGTGTCTCCAAGCCAGCCTACTTTTTAACAATATTGTTTTTTTGAGTCAACACTCACGTGCAAGGTCCATTGGGAACCATAGCTCCACATGAATTGAGAACCGCTGCATCGATTCCATTTGAGTATGCGCTGTAGCAAGTGAAGAGAGCAGTGGCTGGAATTTTTCTGTTTTCTGTGGTCAAAAAATCCCAACCCGTGACCACCCAACGGTGTCAACGTTCACTCACTCACCTTCATTCATTTCTTTCTTCATCTTCTTGTTCTTGCAAATCATTTTCTTAATCGTGGTGTTTGAGCTTCTGAAAGGAAAAATTGACATAAACTAAAACATCGGCTAACTAACCGGCAAGCCACCTCTCCTAATCCCTTCGATTCCGAGCCTGATGCTATCATGATGACACTTGGATTGCTGATCTAAAAATAGACGGATAGAAATAAATAATCAATTAATGAGAAGAATCTAATTTGTGAATCACTTACAATCCAAGATTGAACAAGTGCAATGAAGCCAAACGACGAGTAAACATTCACAGTTGGTGGAGGACCGGATGGGGGTCCGGGTGGTCCCTCATGAGAACCACTGTGTGATTCGTGTGAGCTGCCAACAGTTTTAATAACTTCATATCGACAAGCGTCAAAATTCGGAGACCCTTCTGGTTGTGCTGGCTAAATTTTTAACAAATTAGTGGCTCTTTATCCTTCAGCTTACAATAGACTTGTAGATTCCGTGGAAGATACTTTTTCCCCACATGTCACAGGCATTTCCATAGACTTGAGCCTGACACTCAGCATAGGTTCCAACCTTTCTGAAATTTTTTTGTTGGTAATTTTTAATGTAATGGTAAAGTAGTGATCTAGTGAACGAATACCCACTTGCAAGGCCCATTCGGAACAACGGCTCCACACGTCTTTACCACAGTTGCATCGATTCCTTTTGAATACTTGCTGTAACAAGCGAAGAGTTCAGTTGCTAAAAGTTATGATTAATAATTTTTAGAGTTTCTCTTTGTTACTGACAAAATCCAAAAGTTGCAAACAAACTACGGTTCAACCAGATGCTTGGTGAGGAAATATAATAGATAAAATCCTCACCCTCATTCATCTCTTTCTTAATCTTCTTATTCTTGCAGATCAGCTTTTTGATTGTCGTGTTTGAGCTTCTGAAAGGAAAAATTGACATAAACTAAAACATCGGCTAACTAACCGGCAAGCCACTTCTCCTAATCCCTTCGATCCCGAGCCTGATGCTATCACGATGACACTTGGATTGCTGATCTAAAAATAGGCCGATAGAAACAAATAATCAATCAATGAGAGGAATATAATTTGTGAATCACTTACAATCCAAGATTGAACAAGTGCGATGAAGCCAAACGACGAGTAAACATTCACAGTTGGTGGAGGACCGGATGGGGGTCCGGGTGGTCCCTCATGAGAACCACTGTGTGACTCGTGTGAGCTGCCAACAGTTTTAATAACTTCATATCGACAAGCGTCAAAATTGGGAGAACTCTCTGGTTGTGCTGGCTGAGAATTGAGTAATTATAAGCTAAAGGGCTCATTCAAAAACATACAATAGATTTGAAGATATTTTTGAATATCCTCTTTCCCCATTTCCCACATGTTGCCCCAGTCACTTTGGCTTGACAATCAGCGTAGGCGGCCACTTTGCTGAAAATAAACTTTTACAACGAAATTGTTTCATTTGATAAGTCAACAACATCAAATTCACCGTATTCTAAATTTTAATACTTGGAAATCTTTTCCTAGCGCTGAAATTACAAAATCTCACGTGCATGGTCCATTCGGAATAACAGCTCCACATTTTTTCGAAATCTTTTCATCGATTTTCTTCTTATTTTTGCTCATGCAAACATAAAGTTCAGTGGCTGAATACTTTGTGGTTGTTAAATGATATGATATTTTTAAAAGAAATTAACAAAGAGTCTGTAGTCACAGGGCCAGGGTTGTACAGTCCCAGACCTTACACCTGGGATCACCCACCACTCTACGCTTTCTTCCTTCCATTTCTTCAAACATAATATTGGGTTGGGGAGAATGAAATCGCGACGAAAATCAAAGAATATTTTAAAACTCCTAGATATCAATAGAAAGGTTAACCAATTCTCTACAAAATGACATTTAAAAGAGAGCTCAAACAGCGCCTCAGCTCAACAGAGACCATTTTTTCACAAAATCTATAAACTGTCATCTAGAGAAAACGGTTGGAGGGATCTTGCTGAATATTTGGCAAATTGTGTAATTGAGTGTGCTCTATCTTTTTATATAGACACCAAAGAAGGTTTATGTGGAAGATAGCGTTCAAACGATGAGTCGGACTCGGCCATTTTGACTAGCTGTGTTTGGGAGTCCATAAATCCCACAAAATGAAAGTTTTGTGGAATCTTTCGGAGGTCATTTTGTAGTCATTTTGTAAAATAGTGGACCCTTTGATGAAACAAGGCGTGTATTTAAAGAAGGCATTATACTTGCAAAAAGTGTCTTTAAAATTCGACGCCATTACATTCACCCAAACCCAATCAATACTTACTCACCTTCATTCATCGACTCCTTCATTTCCTTGTTGAAGCAGATTGTACTTTTGATTTTTGCGATGGAGCTTCTAAACAAGACTTCATTCTTATAAAAATCCCTTCACAAACCGACAAGCCACCGATCCTAATCCCGCGGATTGTGAGCTCGATGCAATGGTGATGATGCTTGGATTACTGCTCTAAAAATAATCTTATGTCAAACAAATTGTCACAAAACTCACCAGCCAAAATTGAACGAGTTCCAAGAAGCCCAACGAAGTGTACACTTTGATGCTAGCTGGTGGTTGCGGAGGCGGTGGGCCTGGTGGTCCAGGGTTCTCATGTGATCCACTATTCTCGTGCGAGGTCGATCCAACAGTCTCAATCACTTGGTACCGGCAAGCGTCAAAATTGGGAGATCCTTTGGGTTGTGCTGGCTGAATTGAGTAATTATAGTGCGTTTCAAATTCTTAAACGCACCCTCTAAAATAGCGAATTTTGCATTTTGAACACCGATACAAATATTAATCTTTTTTCTATTAGAAAGAGCATGTCTTAAAACCTAAAAAACAGGAAAATTTAGCATACTTTTAAAAGTAAAAATTTTCAAAATAGAAACTTTTTGGTAAATCAACCGTTTCAAATCCTTAAACGCACCCGCCTTTGCTGTTGTTATTTGAAATTTTTCGTTTTGTTGTGCATATTTTATTACGAAATTTATAATTTTTGTTAATTTCCAGGTAAATGGCACACGGAAAGCTGCTCACGGATTATGAGAAAGGCCAGATTAATGCCCGTTTTAGGATTGGCGACTCAATAAGGAAAACCGCAAAAAATTTGGGCCGATCCGACTTTGCCGTGCGAAATCATATAAAGTCGAAGTTCGTTTCTGCACCAAAGAAGAAGCCAGATCCAAAACCAAAGCTTACACCGCGAGCTAGACGCCATATTGTGAACAACATCCATGGAAAAACCATCAATGAAGTAAAAACGGAACTGAAAATCGACGCTTCGAAGTCGACAATTTGGTGAGCCGTCACGGAAAATCCACATATCGATCGACACTTGTTGAACAAGCAACCGGCTGTGACGCTTTTGTACAAGAAAGCTCGATTGAAGTTCTCCAGGATCCATATGAATCAGGATTGGTCTAAGGTTAGAAAGCAACTTATGTTCTATTAATTTTTCTTTTTTTTAGGTGATCGGTACTTGTGGAGTATCCGGGGGGCTTTCATTCAATATCCGGGGTGGTAAAATTTTATGATCCGGTGGGATGCAATTAGCGTCTCATCAATTTCAACCGTGAGTTCAGGACCCCCAATTTGTCCTTGCTGCTTTCTTGATACAATCCAAGCGCATACTTGGCGCATATACTTATTCCAATCAACCGTTGTGTTATTGACCCATCCCAATTCGTCTTTGAGAAAATCGATCGAGTGATGTCCAGAGCTCCAAATCGACAAAAATTTGACCAGTTCATGGCATGGGCGGTGTGAAAGAGAAAAAAAAATTGTTTACTCTCATGCCCTTTGTTGCTCTATTTCTTTTGGCTCGTTCACGAATACACTTGTCACACTCCCAACGATAGACATTCTACTCCTTACTGCGAATCTTCATTTTATGACCACATCCACATGCCGGTGCTGCAAGGATTCCTGCTTGAACAAAAATATCAATCGCATCACGCTCGGAAAGCGCGCTCACCTCAGAATATCGCATTCTGAAAAAAAACTTTTGATAGTATCCTAGTTGGGGGACTACTTTTTTCTTCAAAACCACATGTGGGTTGGTCATCTGCCGGATCCACATCAACAAATAAAACTACCTCAAAAAATGGTTTTGAAGAAAAAAAGTGACCCGCCAACTAGGATATTATCAACATTTCTAATAATGACATAAAAAATTTTTGTAGAAGTTACGTTTTTTGATCGAGTATCACCTCGAATAAATTGAATATCTTTACATTTGAAGGGAATTTGCCACCAAATCACTTAAGCAGCTGAATATCTTTAAAAGGGGTCGTGTATAACGTATATAAAATTTTACCCCACCGGATCTTAAAATATTACCACCCCGGATATTGAAAGACCCCCGGATACTCCACAAGTTCCAGGTGATCTTTTCCGATGAGAAGAAATGGAATTTGGATGGCCCCCATGGCGTTGGTTACCATTGGAGGGACCTTCGACGTGATCCGATGGTGTTTGGGACTCGAAACTTTGGCGGTGGTTCTGCGATGGTTTGGGCCGCACTTTGTGCTGATGGAACGGTCGCTCTGAAGATGGTTTCGAATCGTATGAATCGTTTTGACTATATAGACGTCCTGGACGATTGCTTGCTGCCGTTTTTGCACCTACATCCAAGCATTTCCTATGTGTTTCAACACGACAACGCGTCAGTTCATCGAGCCGGAGATACCCGAGACTGGCTGAAAAACAACAACATTGCAACTTTGGACTGACCCGCTCAGTCTCCTGACCTCAATCCGATAAAAAAATTTATGGGGAATACTTGTCCGAGCTGTCTACAAGAATCATCTTCAGTTTCAAGATGTTTTTACACTTAAAGCAGCATTTTTTTCGGCCTGGAGCGATCTTCACGTCTCTGCTCTTCAAAACCTCACCAATTCAATGCCAGACCACTTTTTCAAGTAATTAATCGTTCTCGTGCGTGTACAGATTATTAGTTTTGATTTTTTTACCTTTGATTGCTAATTTTTGTCGATAAATAAAAACATTTTCATAGTGCGTTTAAGAATTTGAAACGATTGATTTACCAAAAAGTTTCTATTTTGAAAATTTTTACTTTTAAAAGTATGCTAATTTTTCGTGTTTTTTAGGTTTTAAGATATGCTCTTTCTAATAGAAAAAGATTAATAGTCGTAGCGGTGTTCAAAGTGCAAAATTGGCTATTTTAGAGGGTGCGTTTAAGAATCTGAAACGCATTGTATAAGCTAAAGGGCTCATTCAAAAACATACAATAGATTTGAAGATATTTTTGAATATCCTCTTTCCCCATTTCCCACATGTTGCCCCATTCACTTTGGCTTGACAATCCGCGTAGGCGGCCACTTTGCTGAAAATAAACTTTTACAACGAAATTGTTTCATTTGATAAGTCAACAGCATCGAAATTCTATTCACTGTAATTTTAATACTTTCTTTTCTTTTAATACTTAATACGTTTAGAAATCTTTTCCTAGCGCTTAAATTAGAAAATCTCACGTGCATGGTCCATTCGGAATAACAGCTCCACATTTTTTCGAAATCTTTTCATCGATTTTCTTCTTATTTTTGCTCATGCAAACATAAAGTTCAGTGGCTGAAAACTTTGTGATTGTTAAATGATATGATATTTTTAAAAGACATTAACAAAGAGTCTGTCGTCACAGGGCTGTACAGTAGGCATGGACGCTACAAACACTTGTAGAAAGACGTAAAATAGAGATTTTACAAAATTTTTTTACCAAAACGTCGAGCGAACTTTAGGCTTTCGAATGACACCAAAATCAGGACAAATCATATTCTCTGTGCTGAGATTTAACGTTTTTTTTAGTCTCGTCCCATGGAACGCGACTACAAATGGGTATAAATAGCTCGTTCTCGGAGTAGAAATGATGGATTTTCTTGATTTTGGTGTCATTCGCAAGTCTGAAGTTGGTCTGATTTTTTGGTAAAAAGGTTTTAAAAATCTCTATTCTACGTGTTTCTACAAAGGTTTGTATATAGTTTATAGTTTGCAGCGCTCATGTCTACTGTACAGCCCCAGGTCTCCCACCTGGGATCACCTACCGCCGTACCCCTCCTCCCTTCCATTTCTTCAAACCCAATCAATACTTACTCACCTTCATTCATCGACTCCTTCATTTCCTTGTTGAAGCAGATTGTACTTTTGATTTTTGCGATGGAGCTTCTAAACAAGACTTCATTCTTATAAAAATCCCTTCACAAACCGACAAGCCACCGATCCTAATCCCGCGGATTGTGAGCTCGATGCAATGGTGATGATGCTTGGATTACTGCTCTAAAAATAATCTTATGTCAAACAAATTGTCACAAAACTCACCAGCCAAAATTGAACGAGTTCCAAGAAGCCCAACGAAGTGTACACTTTGATGCTAGCTGGTGGTTGCGGAGGCGGTGGGCCTGGTGGTCCAGGGTTCTCATGTGATCCACTATTCTCGTGCGAGGTCGATCCAACAGTCTCAATCACTTGGTACCGGCAAGCGTCAAAATTGGGAGATCCTTCTGGTTGTGCTGGCTGAATTGAGTAATTATTAGGTTTATGGACTAAGTCTTGATCTTTTCTTAAATTGCTAATATCTCAACGTAGAATCAGTATAGTTGAATGAAATTTTCAATGGATTATTCTCAAAAACCTATAAGCTTAATGCCAAAATTATAACGTTATTCGGCGATTAGTGATCAAGTTATAACAAAAAACACGGTGCTACTACCCCTTTTTAGCCTTTTTCCACACAAAATAGGGTAACTTAAAAATATTGAGTTAGAAATTCAGATCATTTTTTTATAATTAAATGTTTCTAGAAATATCGTGTAATTCATTTGGTAACAACTTAGGCAGAATAACATAGTAGTTTTGGTTAAATAGCAATATCAAATTTTCAGCGGTTTCAAGAGACAGCCAGATAAAGTTTAGTCCTCTTGAAAAATAAAATAAACTTTGCTAAGAGTTTTGAAACTTTCTCAGAAACTAGCTACATTATTTTAGTTTTAAATGTAATAGAACAAAATTTGTATTGTTTCCTCGAGTGCTCGTACTTTTGAATTTAGCACCGGAGGTAAAAAAATTTGCCTTCGCGCAGTCTTTTTGCTATAACTTGGTCGCTAATCGCCGAATAGCGTTGTAATTTCGGCATTAAGCTTGCAAGATTTTGAGAATAATCCGTTTAAAACTTCATTCAAATATACTGATTCTCCGCTGAGATATTAGCAATCTAAAAAAGGGTCAAGACTTAGTTTACAACCTAATATCAGCTAAAGGGCTCATTCAAAAACAAACAATAGATTTGAAGATATTTTTGAATATCCTCTTTCCCCATTTCCCACATGTTGCCCCAGTCACTTTGGCTTGACAATCAGCGTAGGCGGCCACTTTGCTGAAAATAAACTTTTACAACGAAATTGTTTCATTTGATACGTTAAACAACATCAAATTTCTATTCACTGTAATTTTAATACTTTCTTTTCTTTTAATACTTAATACGTTTAGAAATCTTTTCCTAGCGCTGAAATTACAAAATCTCACGTGCATGGTCCATTCGGAATAACAGCTCCACATTTTTTCGAAATCTTTTCATCGATTTTCTTCTTATTTTTGCTCATGCAAACATAAAGTTCAGTGGCTGAAAACTTTGTGATTGTTAAATGATATGATATTTCTAAAAGAAGTTTAAAAAGATCCTGTCGTCACAAGGCCAGGGCTGTATAGCCACAGGCCTTCCACCTGGGGTTACGAACCTCTGTACCCCTTCTTCCTTCCATTTCTTCAAGAATAATATTGGGTTGGGAAGAATGAAATTGCGACGAAATTAAGAGATTTCTAAAACTTCTAGCAGACTGGCTAAATGATTTGACGCGTTTGATATCAGTAAAAAGGTTAACTAATTCTCTACAAAATGACATCTAAAACAGAACTCAAACAGCGCCTCAGCTCAACAAAGACCATTTTTTCACAAAATCTATAAACTGTCATCTAGAGAAAACGGTTGGAGGGATCTTGCTGAATATTTGGCAAATTGTGTAATTGAGTGTGCTCTATCTTTTTATATAGACACCAAAGAAGGTTTATGTGGAAGATAGTGTTCAAACGGTGAGTCGGACTCGGCCATTTTGACTAGCTGTGTTTGGGAGTCCATAAATCCCACAAAATGAAAGTTTTGTGGAATCTTTCGGAGGTCATTTTGTAGTCATTTTGTAAAATAGTGGACCCCTTTGATGAAACAAGGCGTGTATTTAAAGAAGGCATTATACTTGCAAAAAGTGTCTTTAAAATTCGAAGCCATTACATTCACCCAAACCCAATCAATACTTACTCACCTTCATTCATCGACTCCTTCATTTCCTTGTTGAAGCAGATTGTACTTTTGATTTTTGCGATGGAGCTTCTAAATAAGACTTCATTCTTATAAAAATCCCTTCACAAACCGACAAGCCACCGATCCTAATCCCGCAGATTGTGAGCTCGATGCAATGGTGATGATGCTTGGATTACTGATCTAAAAATAATCTTATGTCAAAAAAATCGTCACAAAACTCACCAGCCAGAATTGAACGAGTTCCAAGAAGCCCAACGAAGTGTACACTTTGATGCTAGCTGGTGGTTGCGGAGGCGGTGGGCCTGGCGGTCCAGGGTTCTCATGTGATCCACTATTCTCGTGCGAGGTCGATCCAACAGTCTCAATCACTTGGTACCGGCAAGAGTCAAAATTGGGAGATCCTTCTGGTTGTGCAGGCTGAATTGAGTAATTATAGGCTAAAGGCCATACAATACAATCAAAAACATACAATAGATTTGAAGATATTTTTGAATATCCTCTTTCCCCATTTCCCACATGTCGCCCCATTCACTTTGGCTTGACAATCAGCGTAGGCGGCCACTTTGCTGAAAATAAACTTTTACAACGAAATTGTTTCATTTGATACGTTAAACAACATCAAATTTCTATTCACTGTAATTTTAATACTTTCTTTTCTTTTAATACTTAATACTTTTACAAAAATCTTTTCCTAGCGCTTAAATTAGAAAATCTCACGTGCATGGCCCATTCGGAATCACAGCTCCACATTTTTTCGAAATCGTTTCATCGATTTTCTTCTTATTTTTGCTCATGCAAACATAAAGTTCAGTGGCTAAATGGTCGTGGTTGTTAAATGATATGATATTTTAAAAAGAAGTTAAAAAAGATCCTTTCTCGTCGTCCAGGGCTGTACAGCCCCAGGCCTTCCACCTACGGTTGTACCACTTCTCCCTTCCATTTCTTCAAACATAACTTCAAACCTACTCACCTTCATTCATCGATTTCTTCATTTTCTTGTTGAAGCAGATTGTACTTTTGATTTTTGCGATGGAGCTTCTAAACGAGACTTTATCCTTGTAAAATTCCTTTCACAAACCGACAAGCCACCTCTCCTAATCCCGCAGATTGTGAGCTCGATGCAATGGTGATGATGCTTGGGTTACTGATCTAAGAATAATCTCATGTCAAACAAATCAAACAAAACTCACCAGCCAGAACTGAACGAGTTCCAAGAAGCCCAACGAGGTGTACACTTTGATGCTAGCTGGTGGTTGTGGAGGCGGTGGGGCTGCCGGGGAAGGAGGTCCAGGGTTCTCATGTGATCCACTATTCTCTTGCGAGGTCTCACCGAGTGTTTGAATGACTTCGTATCGACATGGATCAAAGTTGGATGAACCCTCCGGTTGTGCTGGCTAAATTTCTGCTGTGAAATGAACATGGAGTGTCTCGTTGTAGCCCTCTATGTATGTTCCTCGATTAGAGGCTTCTTTGACAAGATTAACTTTCGTGTCTTATCTAATCAGATAGAATTGCTATTTTTCCAGCACTTCCCCATCAAAACCTACAATAGCTTTGCAAATGTTGTGGAATATCTTCTTTCCCCATTTCCCACACGCTGCCCCGTTGACTTTGGCTCGGCATTCGGCGTACTCGGCCACTTTTCTGAAATGAAAGTTAAAAGTTTTAGCTTTAGATTTGATGAGATGTGATTTTAGTTCAACAGAATTTTTTACTTGCATGGTCCATGTGGAACGACGGTACCACATTTCTTCGCGATCGTCTCATCGACTTCTTTTGCCTTTTTCCCTAGACATGCGTAGAGTGGAGTGGCTAAACTTTGATTTTTATCACTTGGTTACAACTTTTTAACGTAAATATTATTTGAAAAGTATTTCAATTTCAACCAACCCTCAAATTGCAAACAAATTACGGTTCAACCCGATGCTTGGTGAGGAAATCTAATAGATAAAATCCTCACCCTCATTCATCGCTTCCTTCATCTCCTTGTTTGTGCAGATCATGTTTTTAATTGTCGCATTTGAGCTTCTAAAAAGAAAAATGGTTTATAGGAGATGTTATAAAATCAAAAAAGTAATCAAAGTTTTTGATTAGGTTAAGAAAAAGCGTAAAATTTTTTCAAAGCTACAACTAGACACTAAATGAATTTACCAACCGACAAGCCACCTCTCCTAATCCCTCCGATTCCGAGCCCGATGCAATGATGATGACACTTGGATTGCTGATCTGAAACAAATACCATCAACTACAATGTTGTATGAAACATCTACCGTAAATATTTTAATAGTACCCCAGCCCCATAATGATGGTGCGGAGCGTTGCGTAGTCTAGCTTTGAACGAGTTTTTCTCGACACTGGTCTATGCTACAATGCGCGCTTAGGTATCAAAAATAGCCCTGAATTTCAGCTATTTTTTGATACATAAGCGCGCATTGTAGCTTAAATCAGTGTCGAGAAAAACGCGTTCAAAGCTAGACTACGCAACACTCCGCGCCGTCATTATCTTTGGTATCAAAAAATAGCCCTGAATTTCAGCTATTTTTTGATACCAAAGACACACTTTTTGAAAGTACAGGCGCTTTGAAAAAAATGAAATACTAAAAAACTTTTGCGACTACGCGACTGTACGACGGGGGGGGGGTACTATTAAAAAGTATTTACGGTAAAAACTTTTTTGAAGCAAAAAAAAACTCACAAACCAATCCTGAACAAGTTGCAGGAAGCCGAATGAGGAGAAAACATTGACAGTGACAGTTGTTTGAGCTAAAAATAGTTTCTTTATAAAAGGTAGTTCTCAAAAAAAAAGTTGACATTTTGTGAACTACCGTAATCTCGTCTAAAATTTTAACTTTAAAACAAACAAAAAAACACGTTTCGTCTGACAAATTGCAGATAAAGTCTACGTGCTTTCGACAATTTAGGAGAAGAAACGTTTTTTTGCCCTTGTCTTGCCCTTGCCTTGCCCTTGCCACATTTTATCCGCCACTCACCATTAACATTAAACACTAAAAAAGTGCAGAAAATAATGAGAAATAGCCGTATCGTTTTCATCTCACTTAGCTGTGGAAATGGATGAGATGACAAGCGAAACGAGCCATGTTTCTCCTTTTCCTTTTATATGGGGCAGCCGATTGCCTCAATGCTTTTCAATTCATTAGCAAGTTTTTTTCTTCCAGGAGAAACGAAAGTCGACATTGAACAGAAGCATTTTAAAGTGCTTAAAACATCGTGCGTACTTGTGTATAGTGTATGGCAAATGTGTGATCTTTGGGGGTTAGATCTGGGTGACGATGGGTGGAACGAGTTACGGTGGGAGACAGAACGAGACAAGTGAGAGTGATCTTATCTAATGCTTGCAAAATATATCCCATGCCTAGCTCTACATGCGAATTTACCAAATTGCGTTTATCTTATAATGTTAAATGTGTTAGCTAAAGTTAGATAAAGTTAAGGATGTGTGAGTGGAAAGGAAAAAGTGAGATAGAGCGAAACAAGACGATCTTATCCAGGTAAAACTTTTGAATTAAGATTGCAAACTTGGAAATGATGGGAAAAGCATCGTTTGACAAAACATGGTATTATACCTCTCATTTTATACCTCTCAACTTATATAGTCGTAGTCGAAAAGGTTTAAAATCTTATCGGCTAGCGGCTAGCTGAATTTTCTCGGCTAGCCAATATGGTTTGAAATTTAAAGCGCCAAGCATTTTATTTGCCGATTTGTCGAAGATCACATGGTTGGGATTGAACTGAAAAGACTTAAAAAGTGGAACTGAAAAGACAAAGAAATAAAGATTGGAAAATGATCTTGGCAGAAAGAGTCAGTGTTCATCCACTCCATTCCCTTACCTCGGCAACATATCTCTGTCCATCCAATGGGTGCTCACTATCCGGTGCTTGCTATCCGGTGCTCCTTCGTTACCCCAATGAGCATCTGACAAATGAAACATTATTTAACTTGATGCTATGTTAAAAGTTAAGTTTTATTTCAATAAAAAGACAAATATTTTTTAATGTTCTCATCCCAATTTATCAGCTCTCCTCAATATTGTGTGCCCTTTCCACAGTTCAAGTACGCGTGACGCCCCACCGCCTGAACACGTGATCCACGTCGTGAGGCAACCTGAAAAAAGACAATAAAAGCTCATTTTTTTTCATTTAATCAGTCAACTCCCTACCTGGAATGCTATTTCCAAGTTTGAAATGAGAATGGGTGCAAATGTTGCACTCTTCACAATTTCACGAGCCAAACTCTGCCCACAGAAAGTGATGTCCTTCAACAATATTATCGATCACTTCAGAATAGGCCTCAGAATAGGCTTCAGACTCGTCACTCAAGACAAAGTGAACCGTTGAAGAGTGTCGATCTGCTCAAGTAATGAGCAGAAAAATTGCTGGAAATGAGTTGGTGCTGAAATAAGCTAATCACCATAGCTGGCATAGTCACCAACAAGTTGTTCAATGAGAATTCAAATCAGTTTTCAGGATTCCTTCAGGATTCAGGACACTGAAATCATTTGATTCAGGACACTCAAATCATTGAATTCAGGACACTGAAATCATTGAATTCAGGACACTGAAATCATTTGATTCAGGACACTGAAATCATTGAATTCAGGACACTCAAATCATTGAATTCAGGACACTGAAATCATTGAATTCAGGACACTCAAAGCAACTAAATCTCTGTTTTTCGAATCAGATATTGTAGGGTTTTTTTGATTGACAACTTTAGATCAAAAATGCTTCTTGTAATACCTTTTAGGCACTGAATATTACTTGGATTTCTCATCATTTCTTTCGCCTTTGAAGTACCCGTGGATTCACGATGATCCAACAGAAATTCACGTTCTCAACAATTTCTTGCCATTTTGGAATTAGCAAATCGTTTGTAAACAAAATTTAAACATTAATAGCTAGAAAATGAAGAAAAGAAAAATGCTTTTATTTGAGATTTCATTCAAAAAGTGAAAGGAGTCTGAGTGAGAGTGATTTCGTTGAAAGGAGGCACGCTGAACACTCTGAACTTCACCACATACACCGATCAAATTTGGAAGTGACCAGAGGTAAATTCTTTTGCAAATTTGAGCAAACAGTTTGATTTCTAGTGCTCCAAGGTCCGTTTTGTGTTCGAAGTGATTGTGTGGAGCATTCTGAAGACTACAAGATGATTCTCGAGATTGTAATGCAATCCCACATCGATCAACTAGTGGGTTTTCTTAAATTACAAGAGCTTATTGACTGAAGTCATCACAATTTCCGAAAAGAAGGCTCTGTTTCGGAAATTTGATCCAAGTGCTGTTTCGAATCGTTTTTTTTTCTTGTTTGAAACGCGAGGATGAGATCCGGTCTTCAAAAACAAGACAACGAAATGCGAGAATGCAAAAAAGCGTAACGAAACCACAAGTGAATCTTTATTTCCCAATCACAACGATATTCACGCGGCACTCATTGGTCGCTCAGCCTGACAGTAGATTGCACGATGTCGACTCGTGAGAAATAATATCAATCGAATTGCCATTTAGGAGTAGGACTTGTCATCGCACACAGCAAATGGTTTGGCACTTTTGAGACGATCTGAAGCTGTTTTATTAAGAGTGGCCTTGAGATTTTTCACATTTGTTCCAGTAGCTTGAAAGTCGACTGGTTAATAGTCCGTATCTGAAAATTAATCCGGGTATGGCCGCTCTACGGGTCGTACGACGAAGAAACTCTAAACTTTTCTAGTTTCAATCAATCAACTTTGTTAATTTGTCGGTTTTCAGTTTATGAAACTGGAGGAAAATCAAAACTCATAAAGGCTTTTCATCATTTTTATAGAGTTTCATTATCTGAAAGTTGAAAAGCATCGAAAATGAACATCGACAACAAATCTGTGATTGAAGACGATTGAAATCTGCGCAAATTGAATTGAATTGAATCTGCGCAAACTCACAGAGCTGTTCGAGAGACTCGCACAAACATAGCCGGCTGATTAACATCGATTTAAGTAGCTAAACTTGGGATATTTTCCTGAAAATACTAGGTTGTTAAAAAAGTTCGCGGTTTGCTTGCATAAAGGTTCAATTATCTAATTATTTTGAAAATAAATTGTTATGGTTTTTGGCTCATTTGAAAGCCTGTTCTCTTGTGAGTATTTTGTTAAATAAATTACTGTTAAAAATAAACATTTTACATCTTTAGATGAATAAAAGTAAACTTTGTGTTTTGCTCCGTCACTATTGGAAAGGTCTGTCTGTTGCTGAAGTGATTTGTGAGGTGGAAGGCGAAGAAAATGTTGGCAAAACTGTTGTGATCGAGTGATTCAAACGCTTCAATGCCGGCGATTTTGATCTTGAAGAAGTTGAAGTTGAAGAGGAGTTACAAACGCGCGAAAATACGAAAGTGTTTTTTCAAATATGATATTTCATTGTCCAGTAGTGTAGTTTTTGTGAGAAATGCAAGCGACCAGGCATTTAGGTTGATTCTGGCGATATATTGCCAATTAAAAGACTTGATCTTTACTTAATCTTTACTTAATCTTTACTTGGGCTTTACTTTACTTGGGCTTTACTTTACTTGGGCTTTACTTTACTTGGGCTTTACTTTACTTGGGCTTTACTTTACTTGGGCTTTACTTTACTTGGGCTTTACTTTACTTGGGCTTTACTTTACTTGGGCTTTACTTTACTTGGGCTTTACTTTACTTGGGCTTTACTTTACTTGATTTAACATAAAATTCCTATAATTACAAATGTTTATAAGAATTTTCAGCATTGGATAGTTTTTTTTGTATCTTAAAACTGAATTTGCAAACCGAAAAACAAGGTGATTTCGAATTTTTGTATAGGTCAAAAGCAGATAAAAGAAAAATGATTTACGATTCTCAAAAGCACTACATAAACATGCAAACAAGAAAGGATTCTTTTATAAAATTAATACATAACATGTATTTTGAGGATTAGCTAAAGAACAATATTCGGCGTGTAGAGGCAGAGCATAGGAGAACGGGGAAACCGAGCAGAGAACTACCTGGAAATGAAATGAAATGAAATCTTAATTTTAAGCTCGATTGTTTCTGAACTTAATTAGGATTTAAAATCAGCTTTGGAAACTAATTTTAAACCTGATTTAAACCTGATTTAAAGCTGGGTTTAAAGCTGATTTTAAAACTGATTTTAAAGCTGATTTTGGACTTTGGGTAATTTTCGGGACTTTTGAATGTTTTCCTTAATTTTCTATGAATTTATGGTTAACAAAGTCTAATAAAACTAATCATAAGTTGATTGAGTTTTCAGACCTGGAGTTATAGACCATTTAAGTGGATCCACTCTTCCTGGTAGGTGGACTACCGAGCAGATGACTCTGATTAAGGATTCGAGCAAAGCTGATGCAGTCATTTGGAGGAACCCTAAGTGTTCTCCTTCTAAAACTAATATTCGAAGCGATGGTACAGTACTGGACAATGAAATATCATATTTGAAAAAACGATCGTCACTTTCGCGCGTCTATAACTCCCTTGTCTTTGAATTTAAACTATTAGTGTTATACATTTTTTGAAAGCTCTTTTCAAGGGCTACACAATGGTAATATTAATATTTAGAAATACGGTAAAGACAAGGGAGTTACAGACGCGCGAAAGTGACGATCTTTTTTCAAATATGATATTTCATTGTCCAGTAGTGTATGTTTGAAGACCATTGAATACCGTAATCCAGTTTGAAGACCAATATGCCTCTATCCCAAAACAACTACGGCTCCTCGAGCATTAGACTTCTCATCCTCAGGATAAACAAGAAACTATTACAGGACAATTTTCTTTGACTAGAAAAACTATCGGCGAGTATTGGGAGTTTTTTCGTGAGCTGTGTGAAAATTGGTTTATTTGTATCCTCAGAGTGTTGAAGTAGTTTGGGACGCGCTGAAAGCATCTGAAAGCACACTGAAAGCAATCAAGCATCAATCAGCAATCAAGCCACACAAGATAGACTTCCCTTTTACATGTTTGAGTATATGTACCGGAGAGTCCATTCAGATGATTGTCTTTTTCAAAGTCTTTTAAATGAGATGTGACTCATTTATTCTATCAATTAATCACCCGTTCGTCAATTTGAGTCAATCAAATCACTTTTTGAGTTTTGAGTGTGATATTTTGTTAATAATAAAGTTAATAATAACATATAAACATATAGAAAAAAAGATGAGAATCATTAAAAGTCCCAAAAATTACACAAAATCCCTGATTTTAAAGCCCTTTTAATTAAAAAACCGAGATATCCCATTCTAGATTGAATACCGTAATCCAGACAGTCTAGACTGAATACTCAAATCTAGACGGAATGCTCAAATCTAGACTAAATACCGTAATCTAGCTATTCTAGACCGTAATCTAGCTATTCTAGACCGTAATCTAGCTATTCTAGATCGTAATCTAGCTATTCTAGACCGTAATCTAGCTATTCTAGACCGTAATCTAGCTATTCTAGATCGTAATCTAGCTATTCTAGACCGAATATCATATTTTAGATTGAATACCGTAATCCAGACGGTGAGAATCATTAAAAGTCCCAAAAATTACACAAAATCCCTGATTTTAAAGCCCCTTTAAATCCCTTTTAATTAAAAAAATGCCAGCTATTAAAACGAGCAATTCCCTAGTTGATTTCAAGTTTGATTTTAAAGCATTACCGCTGAATTTTCTCCTTCAGCTGCCAAGCGTGTCATTAAAGCCATTTTTGATGCTTCTGGAGTGGTGGAAATTGTCTGAAAGGGATTTTGTGGAATTGGAGGAATTTTTATAGTTTTCCCTTTCAAACCTCGTTGATGAGATTACGGAGATGAGCCGAATTGCAGAGAGAATCGTGGTCTTCACCGCTCACTCCTGCCCATTGCACATCGGCTGAGCTGAAAATGCGAATAAGGGGAAGCTTTTAAACAATCAACCAGTTTAGAGTTGTTGTTTTTTTTTTTGATAGCTAAAGATAAGCAAACCGTTTCTTTCTTCCACCACAACATCCCCCTCCACCACCGCCACAGCATCCACCACCGAAGAAAAGCGCCGAGCAACAAATCGTTAACAACAAAAATAATAAACAGCTTCGAATCATCTTTTAGATCTAAAGAAAATTTGAATAGAACAAAATCTTTTCTAGAGTATTTTATATTCAAAAAATGTTTTCTGAGAGAAGTTTAAGAGATAAAAAGTGGTCAACTAGGTGTTTGGTTGAATCGTTTTTAGATTTTATTTTTTATATTGGCTTCAGTTAGAAAGTAGAGTATATTGATTACCGTGTTCTCTCTAATAGTAGTGCACCCTGAGCGTCGCCTAAATTGTTCGAAATCTCGAGAACCGCTTATCAGAACCTATCGATGTGGGGTCGGGAAATGTAGCTGACGATGAGATCTAGTGGGGGATTTGAGTGTTGAGCTTCTACGAAAGCTTAGAAACCGTAAAATAGTCACCAACTCGGCTCGCCGGGGTGCACTACTATTAGAGAAAATACGGTAATTCATTCTAAATCTAATCTGTTTAAATTTTGTTTTCTAATTTGGCTATGAAATAGTCTACTCAATTCCTGGCACCCTGAGCGTCGCCTAAATTGTTCGAAATCTCGAGAACCGCTTATCAGAACCTATCGATGTGGGGTCGGGAAATGTAGCTGACGATGAGATCTAGTGGGGGATTTGAGTGTTGAGCTTCTACGAAAACTTAGAAACCATAAAATAGTCATCAAATCGGCTCGCCGAGGGGCACTATTAGAGAGAATAAACGGTATAAACTAAGATTTTTAGCCAAACACTTTATTCATCTACATTATATGATAGCCAGCCGGTTTCTCAATGTTTTGGGGACGAACGTATTCTCTCTAATAGTAGTGCACCCTGCGTTGCCTTATCGAAATTGCTCGAAATCTCGAAAAGCGCTTATCAGAGCCTATCGATGTGGGGTCGGAAAATGTAGCTGACGATGAGATCTAGTGAGGGATTAGAGTGTTGAGCTTCTACGAAAACTTAGAAACCATAAAATAGTCATCAACTCGTCTCGGCGGTGTGCACTACTATTAGAGAGAATACGGTAATTCTCAAATCACATAGCTTGATCGCTAGAATGTAATCAGTGACAGAAAACAGAAAGAAAATTGAGCAAGAAGATGAATTTCGAAAAATTTTGGTTAAACCGAACTCTTTTATACAATAGAAAGAGGAAGAATGAGAGGAAGAGTTAGAAAAGAAGGAGAGATGGAGACCGGATTTAGATGGAGATAATTAGAGGTGAAGAGTGGACATAAAGAGTCAATGAATGAAGTGAAAGAAGTGAATGAAAAGTTTGACGGGAAATGGGCTAAGAAAGGCAAGGAAACCGGGTACCAAAGAATGGTTGAAAGGGAAAGAAAATGGAAAACCTTTCATCCGCTTTGCTTATTGTTCGAAACCTTTGAGAAATCCGGAGTTAGCCTGTAACTTTTGTTCTACATTCCGCAAAAGACTTGTTTCGTGCATTTTGCGTTTCGTGCGTTCAAAAAATTCTCTTTTATAGGAAAATTTGTTTGAAATTCAATAAGTTAACTAGTAATCATAGATTTCAAAATCATAAAAAGAAAATAATAGTCAAAAGTTGATTTTAAATGACTTCAAATATTGGGTTGATGGAAAAGTCCTTTCCGATTTTTTGGGAGAGTACCTTAAATTTGTCCAATTTTGACGTTTTATAGCTGATCCTAAAGCTGAATTCAAGACGGATCGATTGGTAAAAACCGTTTTGAGATATCTCTTTTCTAAAAGTTTTTACAGCTTTTTTAGTAAAGGGCGACAGAGCCAAAAAATGGCTGTTTTCACGTTTCGTTAGTTTTTCGTGCAGAAACCTAGGCTAAAAACATGTTATTCGTGATCAGCGTCCAAAATGACCCCTAGACACAAATTTTCAGAATCTTAGCAAAAAATTTTTGACAAACATTGTCACCGGTGGAAGTCGAACCAGCGACCCTCAGATCAATAGCCTTTCCGCCTCTTTTCGCGATTTTCCTTAGTTTTTCCTTTTGTTTTATCGGATTTTTGATGTTGTTAGAAGGCTTCTTTTTCAGGAATGTCGTGTCGAAGTTGAACTGGAGTGAGCACCAGAAGCGACATCTGTCTTTTTTGTATGCATTCAACCGAAAAACTCAATGCTGCACCCGCCCATCGATAGTGCAAGAACAGGAAGACCATCGGATCGACGAAGAGCGGCGGAAAGGCTATTGATCTGAGGGTCGCTGGTTCGACTTCCACCGGGAAAGGCTATTGAAGGAAAATCGTGAAAAGCGGTGGACTGCTCTAAACGTGCTCTAAAACGTGCTCCAACTACCCTAACCGCAATATTTATTGAATCTTCTTTTTGGAACTAATCACAACTTTTTTTGAGCAGAAAACGTACAAGAAAACTTTAAATAAAAGGAAAACCGATAAAAAGAAGACTACAGTAAAAAGAGCGAAAACATCTAGATTATAGTATACAATTGTTGATAGTTCCCCAGCTGGAGTCTGTAATTCGGGGAGTCCACCAGAAGAGATCGCGAACTCAGTCCATCTGGAAAAGTTTTCGATACAAATTTAGATTTTTGAATAATTATAATGTATCTTATAATGCTTAGTTATGTATCTTGCTTAAAACTTGGCTTTTTTTTAAGAGCTTTCCATACTTGATCAAGCGCTCTTCGGGTGAAAAGGGCTTTCGCTTGATGAGCTCTCGAATTCTCAGCGCTCCGTCAGTGTACCTAAAGATATTCAATAAAAAAAAGATACGTTTAGTACTAGTTTAATACGTTTCTAACCATTTACCGTTAAGCTTCTTAACGATAAACGGTAAATAAACAATTTTTTTTATCGTTTATCTTTAAATGTCCGTAAAATAAGTCTATTTAATACTAAAGATTTTCAAAAAGATGTGAGCCTACAAAGCCGTTTACAAGCTTACAAAGCTGTTTACAAGCTTACAAAGCCGTTTACAAGCTTACAAAGATGTTTACAAGCTTACAAAGCTGTTTACAAGCTTACAAAGCTGTTTACAAAATAGTCAAAATTTTCAACAACCATAGCTGAGCATAGTTTAACTGCTAGATTTCAATTGAATTTATTTCTAGAATTCGGGGTTGATTCCCTTTATGACTCACTTCTGATCTGTGAGCAATTGCTTTAAAGTTGCCTCGAATTCCACTCCTCCTTTCAAGAGATCTTTCCGATGCACCGATAAACCCCAACCGTTCTTCTTGAGCACTTGACCATTGCTAAATTTTGATAACCATAATGTAAAAGAGCAAGATAGCATTGTGAACAAACCGAAATTGATCGATAAAGAATGGGATGATCATCACTGGTTTCCCGGCTCTCGCTGCTTCCATCAGAGAGTTGTAACCACCGTGGGCGATCATGCATTTAAGCCTCGGGTGTTCTAAATATAATATATTTCTAAGAAATAAGAAATCTATCCAAACAAAAAAACAGCTACAAGCTTTCAAAACAGCTTTCAAGCTTTCAAACAGAAAACAGCTTTCAACTGTAATCATTTTATTAACAAAGTTTTCTTATATCAAAATCTTACCCAACACAGCCGTTTGTGGAGCCCATTCGGTGATGAAAACGTTCGAGAGGCCTTCAGCTGCTTTGTGTCCTACCTAAAGAATTTCTTTTATTTACAGCTGAACAATTTCTTATTTTTACCGTATCATATTTATCAATCTTTGCAATGAAATGGTATTCAGGAAAGCGTTTAAATGTGGCGATGATTGTTGGAAGGACTTCACTCGGCAACTGAGTGGTGTTCACGTTTGAGCCGAATGAGAAGAAAACGACTCCCTTCGCACCTTTGGACAGCTCTTTGCTGAAGATCTGTAAACTTTTGTCGGTCAATTTTCTCGTCAAATGCTTTTCGTAATGATACTGTAACTAAGATAACTAATTACTTTAAAATCGACTAGTTTAGCTACAGAATACGGAGCACAGACTTTGAGTCAACTTTTGGCATTTAATAATCAACAGTTAGACAGGAAAATTTACGTATACTTTGCTTATCTTTAGCTAGTTGCTTAGCTTAGTTGCTTATCTTTATTTTTACCTCATCCAATTTCTTCTCTTTCTCCTCAATACCCAACCCTCCAATATGAACAATATTTGGATGGAGGGGGCGCGGGAAATCAATCAATTCATCAGTGGCCACAAAAATTACATCACTTTCCCGGATTAGTGATTGAACCGACGGGAAATCGGAACTGAAATTTGGGAAATGATTAAAAAAACTCAAAATTTGTCCACTCACCCGTATCGCTTTTGAAATTCCTCATCCAGTGGATCGAAATGTCCGTAATGCCCAAATGCGACCACGTTTGCGAAGTATTCAGCGATGTTCTGAACTTTTTTCGGTACTCACTGCTCACTAGTTTTTTTTGGGTACACATAAATAGGCCAAGCCTAGCCCAAAGAAAATTTCTGGGCCAGCCAAAAGACAGATCTAACTCTGGCCTGGCTAACAGACTGGACTCAGTTGGATCGGCTGTATCCTGATCAAGTATTGTTAGATAATAATGTTAACCCTAGTAGACTAGAGCTACAGTATTCTGGAGTAAGTATTTAGCCAATAAGATTGAATATATATTGGGTTGGTGGAAAAGTCCTTTCGGATCTTTTGGGAGAGTACCTTAAATTTGTCCAATTTTGACGTTTTATAGCTCATCCTAAAGCTGAATTCAAGACGGATCGATTGATAAAAAGCGTTTTGAGATATTTTGAGATAGGCTCTGCCGCCCTTTACTAAAATAGCTGTAAAAACTTTTAGAAAAGAGATATCTCAAAACGCTTTTTATCAATCGATCCGTCTTGAATTCAGCTTTAGGATGAGCTATAAAACGTCAAAATTGGACAAATTTAAGGTACTCTCCCAAAAAATCCGAAAGGACTTTTCCACCAACCCAATAGATATCTTTTGTTTCAGTAAAGAAAGTGAAACAAGCTATTGAGCATTTAGAGTATCTTTGCAAGTACCAAGAATTTTTCAAATGGACTCTAGGGCTTGCAAGTCAGCCAAGGTCGAAAGCCAGTTCTACAGAGTGCGTCAAAGATTGCCCATCATCACTTTTGCGAGGCCATAGATGCGGTAATGCAACTGGTCTCAATAATTTCTTCTGGAATCAACTTTTGACATGATCTCCTGCAGCGGTGCCCATTATTTAAGCGATTGATGATCTCAACTTTTTTATAGAAACAACCAAAGTTCGGATTCTCACATCGGTCGGCTCGCAACTCGTTTCCGGACATTTTTGGACGTTTTTGAGGGCAAAATGTCATTTGATAGCGTTTTAAACTCGTTTGTTAAATGTAGCCACATTCAAAACACAAATTATATATCAATTATCGATTCTTTATACCTTATTCTGTAAAAGAAAACAAATCTAAAACAATTTTAGGCATATTTGATGGTTAAGAACCCTAGAAACGACCGATGTGAGAATCTGAACTTTGGTAGCTTCTATAAAAAAGTTGAGAGCATCAATCACTTAGATAATGAGCACCACTGCAGGAGATTATGTCAAAAGTTGATTCCAGAAGAAATTATTGAGGTCGGTTGCATTACCGCAGTGATTCCGGGTAATTACCTGGAAGCACTACGATAATGCAACCGACAAGCTTTGAAATATAACTCTGACCAATACCAATTGCAACAAATAATAAATACTTTTTAGAAATTTATGCTATATGGACAGGATTAAAACATTTGGTTACCTGTGTTCGCTCCCAGAAATTCGGCCGATTCCCGATATCGACATTGCCCACCGATGGAACATAGCTGAGTGGATGCGGGACGCCGAGAATCCAAGACATGTGATCCATCATCGGGCAACTAGAGTAATTTAAATTGAACTCTTTCTAACATCAATGTGCAACACCTATCGTAAATACTGTAATAGTACCCCACCCCCGTCGTACAGTCGCGTAGTCGCAAAAGTTTTTTAGTATTTCATTTTTTTCAAAGCGCCCGTACTTTCAAAAAATGCGTCTTTGGTATCAAAAAATAGCTGAAATTCAGGGCTATTTTTTGATACCTAAGCGCGCATTGTAGCATAAACCAGTGTCGAGAAAAACTCGTTCAAAGCTAGACTACGCAACACTCCGCACCGTCATTATGGGGGTGGGGTATTATTAAAGTATTTACGGTAGTTCCTTTAAAAAAAACCCCACCTTGACACCCAGAATTTTCTCTTTATCCCAAGAACCTCGGCTAAACCATGCCCGCATCCGTTCAATTGTTCCCCGAAAAATGCGTCGAATTTCTCGCCTTTCAGCTCCTCCAAAATATCCGTTTTATCCAAAAGCTCTAAAACTTTTTTGTTTTCCAAAAATTTTTCAAATCACAACCTCCACATTGTTTATTGAAAGCTTTCGAGTATTCGATCATGTTTTGAGTGCTCTGAAATGGTAAAATGTACTCAAAAACTGGAAACGCACGGCTTGCAGCGCACTGGAAGCTTGTTTTATACAAAGATTGACAAGGAAAAGAGGTGAGTGCGCCAGAAAGCGTGCGTTTACGTCCTTTGAGCTTTAGGCCTTAAGCACAAAGTACTCAAAACCAACCGTAACAATCGAATCCTCACTAAACGTCGAACTGAACATGGAGATCGCTTTCCAAAGGGCATCACTAGAAAAAATAAGTATTGAAAATCGAATATAAGAAAATTTACCTGAACCCAAAGACAGGCAACCTTTTTGCGAGTTTCGCATTCTTTACCTTGTGCCAAATCGAGAGAAAATCCGGCTCGAATAGGGTCTAAATGATTGTTGTATTGGCAGTTGTAGTTGTAGTTCTAGTTAACTTGAAAGCTTCATTTAAGCCACATTTTAGATAACAAAATTTCGAAAATACTGTATTTATTTTAATAGAAGCAAATGCGCTTTTATTTTTTAATTATTCCACACAATTACTTCTATTAGAGGCTGCGCTTCCATTTTTCAGTGTTAAAGTTGCGCAGATGACCCCTTTTGTGCAAAAAAAAGTTGCGCAAATGAGCCTTTTGCGCAAAAGTACTTGCGCAAATAAAATGGCGGAAATTAGCCTACCAGAAAGAAATTATAAAGAATGCTGTTTTTCTGCCCTAAACCATTAAAGGCTCGAAACTCAGGGTATTCAGCCTACTAAGCTGAATATCTATAATTATTGCTTCCATTAGAGACTGCGTTTTTATTAGAATAAATACGATAGGGAGTGGGACAAATGCGACCTTTTTTTTGCGCACCCGGACATTTGCGCACCTTTTTTTCCGCACCTTTTTTCGCGTTTTAAAAAAGCTCTAAAAAGCTAATATTAACCAATTTCTATTCCAAAAGTTGTTTTTCTAGGTAATTTTAGGGCGTAGAATCGAAATTTTGACATAACAGAGCGTGTGGAACCAACCAAACCAATGAAAGACAAAACGGCTAAGTCAAATTACAGAAAATTGTTGATTTTTCTCTTTGTATAACTCCGTCCGTTTGTTTCCACAAGCTCTGATATGTCAAAATTTCGATTCTACGCCCTCAAATTACCGAGAAAAACAATTTTTGGAATAGAAATTGGTTAATATTAGCTTTTTAGAGCTTTTTTAAAACGCGAAAAAAGGTGCGCTAATGGGCTAAGTGCGGAAAAAAAGGTGCGCAAATGTCCGGGTGCGCAAAAAAAGGTAGCATTTGTCCCACTGCCAATACGATGATCTAAAATGTGGTTATTGGTCGCTTTTTCTAACATTTCTAACATGGCTACGGCAAAATTTTTCAATGAAAGTTACTTGAAACTTATTTACCAACATTTTTTTACTGAGATTTTTAAGCTAATACAAATTTGATCTGGTATAGTGAAGATTTTTCAATGCTTAACATTCAAAGGCACCGACTACTCTTGACAATATATTCTAAAAAGTAAAAAGAAAACAAATCTATTGAAGTTGATTAAGGCAAATTTTTCTCACAACATTATGCCCGGCTTTTGCCAATTCATCAGCGATTCGCCCATTCGAAATCATATGCGATCGGGAGATCGTCGGCGAGAAGACAAGGATTTTGTAGGCATTAGAAAATACGAGTAATAGCAGAAATATTAGGATCTTCATGGGAAACTGTTGATTCAGGTACGCAAAAAAAATAAATCAAAGATTGTACCTGAAGAAAAAGATCCTTATCAGTCTTTTCGTCTGTCTTTTCGAAAGTGTAATTGGCTATCAAGTGGGGCTTAAATCCTTCAACCTTTCTTGAATTTCATTGAAAGTTGGGGTAATTTTGGGAAATTTCACATGTACCTGGTTGTGATGTGCTTGGTTTCAATGAAAAGTTTGATTCTTATCGATTTCACAACATTTCACTGATCACTTCTCGGGTATGACCTCGAAAAGAAGCTCGAAAAGAAAAGTGTAATCAAATCATCGAAATGGGAGAAGAAAAATTGAAAATTTGATGATATTTATGAATTGGAAAAGAGTGAATGATAAAGATTCAAGACAAACTCTTGAAGGTACAAATCAACTGTACTTTGTGCTCTGAAAAACAGCTATTAGGTTGATGCAAAAGTCTTTTTCATTTTTTTCGTACTTCTGTTAAAAAGTAACAAATTCACGAATTAATCTATAGTTTGCTCTATAAAAAAAGTGTTTTTTTGTTCAATTTGCATCTTTTTAAATGAATTTCGGTTCACTTTCAAGCAAATTCGAGAGTGAAAAACGCCTTTTTCGTAAAAATCTATAAAAAACTCTACGGAAAAATTGGCTGAATGAATTTCTCTGAAATTTTGGCGAAATATCAAAATTTTTTTCTCTATCTTTTATCTATTGACACGAAGATAGGTTTTCTTTAGCTAAGGTGTCTAAACCGCATCATCGAGTTAGCCCTTTTTGACTACCCGACTTTGTGGGGCCTCCTCCTTTCTTTTTTTTTTTACTCTTTTTCTTCCACATCGGCGCGAAATAAGGCAAAAAGTACGTTTTCTAACAAAAATTCTGTAAAAATGCGTACTAGATGCAAAAAATTATGGAGAATTCAAAAATCGTAGTTATTTGAAGTTTTGTCTGGCTCAATTTCGAGCAAAGTGCGTTTTTGTCAAATTTTCTATGTTAAGTTTTCTTTCCAAGGCTCTAAAATGAATATATCGGAACAAAACAAAAAACCCCGGCGGTTTTGGGTCAAGCTTGTCGCGATGAACATTTTAGTAAAAAAAGATAAAAATCGGATAACTCAGCGTGGAGTTATTCAGTTTTGAAAGAAAACGTTCAAAAGCTACCGTAACCTTCACATTTCCGCATTCTAAAAGACACCCTTTTCGAGAGTCGTACGCAAATTTTAAAATTGTGCAACTTTTCGTTGCCTCTTTTTCATTCTGCTTCATATTTTTTTATCTCATCGTCTGCCATCGACAAAGTTAAGTTTTTTCACTAAATTAATGGACGGATGGCTTTGTTGATAGAACTTTTTAGGATCGTTTCTTCTCCAACTCATGTGCAAGGTCATGTTGAGTATTGTTGTTGCCACCGTCTCGGGAGAGTTGTATTTTGTTTTGCTAAATAAATTTTTTAACTAAGTAGAAACAAATTTAACATATAGTAGCAATATAATAACAAATTTAACTCAAGAAAGCAAGAAACCAAGATCGTATAGAAAAACGTTCACGGCACATTTTTTCGCAGTAAATAACAAGTTTTCCATTTCGTCCGAACGTTTGATTTTTTTCCGAATTTGCTCAAAAATTGAATGTAAGCCTTCTAATCCTTCTTCAGACATTGCACCTAAGCAACGATGGCGTTGAAGAAATTCCGGCACATGTGCTAGCAATACATGGATCTTTGTTGAGCGGGATCCAATTTCCAATTCTTCAACTTTTGCGAGCAATGGCTTAACAGAAGTAAGGATTTTTTTAATATCGTCGTCTTTCATGTTTTGCTCAATGGAGCCAATAGCATTAGAGAATGTCGAAAATTTTTCCAGGCAGTCGGATAGATCCTTATATTTTTGTGAGTTGACTAGAACCTTAAATTCCTCTCGATTTTCACATAATCTCTTCAGCTTCGGACCATTGAGATCTTCCGATTTAAACGATCGCGTGAATCCCAATTTTTGTGCTAATAATGCAAAAGCATCCCCATTCAGATGGTGAAGCTTGTCGGGCTTCTTGTTCCAACTCTTTATAGATACGGTTTCCAATGCCGAGCTTTATATGGAGTGATGGAGGAACGACATGCGTCGGTTCAGCCGGCCAAACGTATTTTTGAAAAACACCTTTGCGCAATTCCGAATTATTTGAATCTATTTTGAGTAGTTCGTCAAACGTTTTTATAGATCTTTCCGGATAAATACTCCAATCCAATTTCTCTGGACACCCGTCTATTTTGCGTTGTTTTTTGGCTTTGAAAAAACACCAAACGCAAGGATAAGTTCCTGCATTTGATAGTCCATAAAGAGAAGCCAAAAAGCACAGATCGCCTCCAATGAATACGGCGAATTTCATATCAACAAGCTCTCTATAGACTTCGTTAAATTTTTGTAGACTTTTGTTGTCGTCTCTCCCTTTCCAAACTGCCAGTATTAGGTGATTGTATCTAGATTGAGGTTTGTTGCTCTTATCAGGAAACATGACGGTCAATTTTGTCGTTTCAAAACCCTTGTCTGCCATCAGCAAAATTCTCTGGCCCTCTTTGCTGGGCACACGTTTAAGACGGAAACGAAGCGCTTCTTTTATATCCTTCAATTGAACAATCCCGTTTGAAATAACATATTCAACTTTTTGATTCACTTCGGATATCACCTGTCTCATTTTATACTCACTTGCAAAATGAGCATACTTGCTGTAGAGTCGATGTGAAAAACGAGAAATTCCTGCTTTTGAAAATACAGCTAACGTTTGATGAGGTGAAACAGGAGAAGAAATGGGCAATTTGTTCCTCTTATGCCTCTTGTATTTTGCGCGGATTTGTCGAGCTCGTTGAGCGAAAAATAACTTTTGTTTCTTCTTATCACTTTTCATTTTTCTGAGAATTTTCATCCTTTTGCTTCTTAGAGGTCGCAATATCTCTCGATTCTGATTTGCTATTTCCGAAGCTTCTCTAACATCCTTTTTGCTATCCAATTGAGCCTTTCTTGCCTTTTGAGCAGCAATTTTCGATTTTTTTGGACGACTCATCTGAAAAAGGAGCTTAAGAAAGTCGATAAACATAAAAACGGAGAACATGAAAAACGGAAAACATAAAAGCGATTGTTGCCGACAACGAAAAGTTGCACAATTTTAAAATTTGCGTACGACTCTCGAAAAGGGTGTCTTTTAGAATGCGGAAATGTGAAGGTTACGGTAGCTTTTGAACGTTTTCTTTCAAAACTGAATAACTCCACGCTGAGTTATCCGATTTTTATCTTTTTTTACTAAAATGTTCATCGCGACAAGCTTGACCCAAAACCGCCGGGGTTTTTTGTTTTGTTCCGATATATTCATTTTAGAGCCTTGGAAAGAAAACTTAACATAGAAAATTTGACAAAAACGCACTTTGCTCGAAATTGAGCCAGACAAAACTTCAAATAACTACGATTTTTGAATTCTCCATAATTTTTTGCATCTAGTACGCATTTTTACAGAATTTTTTGTTAGAAAACACTTTTTTGCCTTATTTCGCGCCGATGTGAGTCGGGTAGTCAAAAAGGGCTAACTCGATGATGCGGTTTAGACACCTTAGCTAAAGAAAACCTATCTTCGTGTCAATAGATAAAAGATAGAGAAAAAAAAGTTTGATATTTCGCCAAAATTTCAGAGAAATTCATTCAGCCAATTTTTCCGTAGAGTTTTTTATAGATTTTTACGAAAAAGGCGTTTTTCACTCTCGAATTTGCTTGAAAGTGAACCGAAATTCATTTAAAAAGATGCAAATTGAACAAAAAAACACTTTTTTATAGAGCAAACTATAGATTAATTGGTGAATTTGTTACTTTTTAACAGAAGTACGAAAAAAATGAAAAAGACTTTTGCATCAACCTAATAATTCGTTTTCTAAAGCTTGTCAACAATCGAGAACTAATCTTACCTCTATTTTTTTTATCAAATCGCTTACTTTTTATATAATTTGGCATGCTTTGGGAAATCACTAGATTGAATATAAACGTAGAGAAAAGAATTACAATAGTTTTCCAAATCTCATTTAAACAAAGAACCCAGTCAGCCAGAAAGTTTGAGTTTCTTTAAGCACAAAGTACAAGGCTGATTGTACAAGTGTTTTGTCAAAAAATTCTTTATTACTTAATGAATAATTTTTTCAAGCCATTGTAAAGCCTCAAAAATTGTCTCTTTTTTCCGAATCGTCGTTGAGATCACGTGGATATTATGGGATTTCGTGAATTTTTCAATGCCGACCGCTTCAATCACTTCATTTAACGGGCAAGCACTTGCTAGATCCTATAATCTTGATCGTTGACTGACTAAGATTTCAGAAAAAACCGGTATATATTCAAATCTAGGTAATCAATAAATGTCACCTTTTTATTTGCCATTACTACAATGGGCAATCGATCTGTGAGTGGATGCTCAAGGATCTTTGCCAACTCTCTTCTCGACTCATCGAACATTGCTCGATCACTGATATCAACCTAATCTGCTATTAGATTTGATTAAGGCATCAGGCTCTACTCTGGCGGCAATTGGACATTGGTAAAGCGTTGGTAAAGCCTTGGTAAAGCGTTCGCCCGGTAAGCGAGAGGTCGCGGGTTCGAATCCCAGTGTTTACCGGGCTTTGTATTCCCAGCCCAACCAATAAAAGGACCAGAGAACTTTTTCTTTTGCAAGACAACTTTTACATTCTCAAACTGACCACAAAAATGAGAGCATCAAAGTCTTGCACACAGTCTAGCATCATCATGTGACTGTTGTATCGCCCACCATAGTCATGCAATTTCATTGCCAGAGAGTTATAGTAAAACTCTGCATAGATTGGATCTAAAATAATGCTCATTTGGATTAGAAAAAGTAGATCAGTAAGGTGAAACAGCTAGCCGACTCGGGTAATCATTCTAAAGCGTGATCCAGATACTGTAACCCGATTTAGCTCATCATACAGATTAATCTTTACATCTAATATTAAATGCAAAGATTAATAAATTAATCTTTGCATTTGGGCTTATTCGACGCGCAATTTTATTCTGAATTAAATGATATTCAAAATAGTCAAAATCAAAGGGTTGGTACTGAGAAAAAGACGAAAAACCGAAAAGCCAACGGCAAAAAAAGAATCGACAGATATTTTCCTTACAAGTTTAGTAGCCAAGTCCCGCTTTGTCCCTGATTGAATCAAATCTCGGAAAAAAAGCTTTCAAATCCATTGAACAGTCAATTTTCTTGGGGGTTTTTTAAAATCGGCTAGCTAGCTGATACGGTAGCTGAGTCACGCTTAACGTACCCGAGCCTCGGGAAAGCCATTCACTCACGTATATTCGGCATCAATCCATAAATCTTCTCCTCCTCTTTCGTCAAAAGATAAAGTATTGACGTTTTCCCGACATTCGAGATCCCACAAATCCCGATTCGACACCGAATATAGAAGAAATTCTCGTAAACATTGTGAAAATAACTGATCAATGCGCCCATTTTGTGACCAAGAGATCTGAAAAGTTTCTAAAAGTTTATTCAATTGAAAATCCGTCAAAGAAAACAAAAGAAGAAGAAGAAAGAAAATTGCATTATTCGAAAAAGGATTTTGATTATTTCGGAAGATTTTTCTCGAGCCAATCCAATCCCTCATAGATCCCGTCACCAGTATGGGCACAGCACGATTGCACAAACCACTAAATTTATTTAAATTACGTTATTTCAATAATATGCCTTTGAGTTTAGGGTATAAAATTTGTATTATGTACCGTATTTTTTCTAATAGTAGTGCACCCTGAGCGTCGCCTAAATTGCTCGAATCTTATCTAGAGTATTTTATATTCAAAAAAATATTCCCTGGGAGAAGTTTAAGAGATAAAAAGTGGTCAACTAGGTGTTTGGTTTAATGGTTTTTAGGTTTTGTTGTTTATATTGGTTTTTTAGTTAGAAAGTAGAGTACATTGATTTCCGTATTCTCACTAATATTCTCGTATTCTCGCTCAGGGTAGTGCACCCTGAGCGTCGCCTAAATTGTTCGAAATCTCGAGAACCGCTTATCAGAACCTATCGATGTGGGGTCGGGAAATGTAGCTGATGATGAGATCTAGTGGGGGATTAGAGTGTTGAGCTTCTGTGAAAACTTAGAAACCGTAAAATAGTCATCAACTCGGCTCGGCCGGGCGGAGGGGGAGGGCAATACTATTAGAGAAAATAAAGAATACCGTATTCTCTCTAATAGTAGTGCACCGTGTTTTGCCTTGCCGAAATTGCTCGAAATCTCGAGAACCGCTTATCAGAACCTATCGATGTGGGGTCGGAAAATGTAGCTGATGATGAGATCTAGTGGGGGATTAGAGTGTTGAGCTTCTGCAAAAGCTTGGAAACCGTAAAATAGTCACCAACTCGGCTCGCCGGGGTGCACTACTATTAGAGAAAATACGGTAACTCATTCTAAATCTAATCTGTTCAAATTTTTTTTTCTAATTTGGCTATGAAATAGTCTACTCGCTTCCTGGTAAGAGAGCAAAATTTGAAGCGCACTTTGTGCTCTGGCAAACGCACACTCTCTGGCCAACTTATTTGTAATAAAAACTTTGAGATTACGGGATAATCAGTAGTAATTTACAAGGAGTAACACGGTAATCCTATTGGTTAAATGTGAATTTTGTTTACGGTAGCTGTGAAGAGGATCTATCAAAGTTCTATCTTTCCTTTGAGTAAACAGCGCAAATTTAGACTCGTATTTTGTGTTCTAGCAAACGAAAACCTTCTAGTAAACTCAAATTTTTTGAGATTATCTTGTTTAGTGCATTTACGACAGCTTAAAAGCTTAAAAACCTTTTGCTTGCGTTGATTGGACAACTCTAAAAGATCGATCATTTCGCCAGGAGGAAGAGCCATCGGGAGATCCTGAAATTGCACAAGATTACTGTATTTTAAGACATTAGACATTCAATAACCACTGTATAAACTGACTTGTTTATTGGCTAGGATGAGAAAAATTGCATTGCGTAGAGTGTCTTCGGCAAAGAGCGCATCCAACTCCTCTTTGGCCTCCTTTATGCGTTGACGATCCGATGAATCGATCTACAAATTTGATTTTAGATTTGGGATTTTTTATTTTATTTTATTTTACTTTATATTTCTATAACTCACGACAAAGATTACACAGTCTGAATTCTCGAAATAGTAACGCCAAAGCGGGCGAATCTTCGTCTGCCCGCCTACATCCCAACACGTGCAAGTGATCGATTTATACTGCACTGATTCAACGTTAAAACCTGAAAATTGGGTTGTTTAAAAGCTGAATGACTATTCAAATGCTTAGCAGCGTTAAAGTCGAGACAAATGGCTTGGTTTTTATGCATTATTAAAGCCAAATACTCTAACCAATTGTTGGAATTGTCGTGATCACTTCGCCTAGCTTCAACTTGTAGAGAAACGTCGTCTTTCCGGCTCCATCAAGTCCAACCAAAAGGATTTTTGCTTGACGATTCCCGAAACGATCCCATAATTCTTTGAGGCGACTCAAGAGAATGCCCATTCTTGGTTAATTGTTCTGAAACTTCGTTTTAAAAATTGATTTTGATCGGGAATTTGGTTAAAGCTTTATTGGTTAAATAAATAAATAAAAAAATTGATTTCTTCTAGTTAGTTTGGCTTAGAATTTCATGTAGTTATGGAATATGTTTTTAAATTTTTAAAAAACCAAAATTGCTAACGCGGGCGGGTGTCGAACCCGAGTCGTGTGGGCTAGAGAAAAGTGCTCTCTGCACTGCACCAGAGCATGGTCGACTGGTTAACACGAGCGTCTTTCAAACGAACGGAAGAGAAAGGGTGCGGGTTCGCCTCCTCTTGCCGCCAATTTTTTTGCTTTTTACTTCAAAAATCAAAAGCAATAAGATGAAATGAATAGAAGCTGTTGATGAATGGATTAAGAACTATTTGTAATTCTAAAAACAGTGCAAATAAGAGCAAAAATCGTTTCAAGATGATTGTTTGTCTATGATTGACAAGAGAAACTAAAGCTGAAACTAAAGCTTGCTCTAAACTGTCAACTTTCAAAAGCTATTGTAGTTTTATTCGATTATAGCTCTATTTTTTTTCATTCAATCAATCTACTTTTGGTTTATTTATGTAAAGATTCATAAAAGAAATCGAAATATACAAAAATTAGACAGTTTTAGATAAAAACATTCAAGATTATGGTAGTTTTTTGAGAATTGAAATATTTTAGAAAAAGTTAAGGTTAAAAGAAGATCTACTTACCAAAATGATGATCATTTGCATGAAAAATTACTCCATTTTGTATCCGAATTGCTCCACGAAGAACTCGGCCACGTGTCGGGTACCATGGTGGCCAAAAATGAGTCGGCTTTTTTGTTGTGCAATTCACTGTAAGGGCAAAAAAAAAATGCAGAAAAGAACCCACTTGATAGATTGAGAGATTTAGAGTGAAAAGAGGGAAATAGGAAAACTGTTCAAGGGTGACTCGACAAAGAATGGCTTTTCCTTTTCTTTTTCTTCTTCTTCTTCTGAGATTTCGAAAGCTTTACGATCTATGCGAAACTTTTATGCCAATAAAAATACTGTAATTGTTATTTTTAGAGTAAAGATTGGTTTTGAAAGTGTTGAATCTTGGTGATGTACTTTTAAATTGAATTCAATCCAATCAAAGATGTTTTTTTGAGTTGAGTAATCCATTTGCCACGTAAAGGAGCTTTGAGATTACAGTATAAGTTTTGTATTAAAGTTGCATTAAAGAAGTTAACTTACAGGATAAGTTTTGGCATTGATAGCTTAGTTGAAGGTCTTGATAGCTTAGTTGAAGGTATTGATAGCTTAGTAGAAGGTATTGATAGCTTAGTTGAAGGCATTGATAGCTTAGTTGAAGGTATTGATAGCTCAGTGGTAGAGCATCTGCATGGTTTAAAAGGGTTTAAAAGGTTTAAAGGGTTTAAAAGGTTTCGAGGATTCAATTCTCACTCGGTTCCAAGTTCTTTGCTATTCATTTCTTTGCTTTATTTTAATACTGGTAACAACATCCTAACGTTTTTAACTATTCATCACAATTGCTATCAATCAGATTAGATACGTTTATTGATTGTGAGTATGAGCTTATTGTGCCAACAGCCAAATTAACTAAATTTACCCTCGAAGAGCTCATTTCGGGACTAAAGAAGCGTTGCTTTATAATCGTACAATTGCATCGTATTGTGTTTCTTTTTAAATTCCTACTCAGGGGATGCACTTAAAAGTTCTACATCTTAAACCTGGCCAAAACTACCGTAATCCTGTCTCTAAACACAACTTTCTCTGCTACTGACTCAGCCTGAAATCTCTGTAATCATAAATCTAAAGCAAGATTAAGGATTCAAAAGATTTAAAAGTTTTTTTTAAACTATCATAATCCTAAGCACAGCTGAAACAAGATGACGGTACTTTTCAAGTTTCCACGTTTTAGAAAACACTCGATTCGAGAGAACTGAGAACACTGTACACCTCATTCTTTCGCACCTCTCTTGCACTCTTTTGTCGAGGTCACCGGGATTCGAGCCAAGCGAGTCTCTTTCTGATTTCTTTTCCCATCCACATTTGCCCAATCTCTCAACTCTTCTCAGGAAAAGGAATAGGAAAAGAAGGGAAGAGAAAGGAAGAGAAGGAAAGAGAAGGGAAGGGAAGAGAAGGAAAGAGAAGGGAAGAGAAGGGAAGAGAAGGGAAGAGAAGGAAAGAGAAGGAAAGAGAAGGGAAGAGAAGGGAAGAGAAGGGAAGAGAAGGGAAGAGAAGGGAAAGAGAAGGGAAAAGAAGGAAAAGGCTTCTAGAGGGGTCGAGTCGATCGATCGGTTGTCTCTTTTCCCCCTTTTTCCTCCCAAAAAGACCTCCAAAACGAACAAGTAGCACGCTGCATAGCATACATTCGCTGTTCTCTTCAAAGTTTTCTTTTCTCGTAAACAAATTTTCGTTCTACATTTGATTCGACCTTAGATTCTCATTAGATTCTCAAGCCAGCTTCTTGAGTTTATTTTTAAAAGCCTCTTGAAACTGTTAGAGATGTAAACTTACATTGTAAAGTGAATTTCAACTTTACATTTACTTTCTTTTCCTTACAAATTGTTTTCCAATACTTTTTTTCTTTTGAGAGGTGTAGGTAACAAAAAAAAATCAATATTTTTTACATAACCATTCAAATTTTTAGCAGGTGCAGCCATTTTTTTGAATGTTATTTTGAAAAATAGCTTTAAATAAGGGATTTTGGCTTGTTTCAGACGCTTTTGAGAGACTTTAATGCCTTTTAGTTTGAGAACTTTTAGTTTGAGAGACTTTAATGCGATTTGACGGATTTGAAATGATTCGATTCGAAAAACGATTTGACGGATTTGGCTGTAAATTGTAATGGCTGTAAATTTTAATTACTAAAAATGTATAAGTGTTTGCGTTTTCTCTTGCACGAAAAATCGATTGGTTTCCCATCAAAAAAAGCTGCTAACTGCTAAAAAAGCCGCTAATAAAACGCTCTCGGCGTTTTATTACGATCCGTTACTATCCCCCGAGAAATTCCAAGAATAGAAGTTCTTTTCAAAATCGTTTAAAAGCCATTTTTGAGAGAAAAGATAGATCTTTCGAATGATATAAACTGACATTCTTAAAAAGTTAGTTTTAGATAAAAACGACATTTCATTATTGCCAACCTTAATATAGGAATGGGGAAATACGGTTTATAAAGTTTATAAAGTTTATAAAAAGTTTTATAAACGATAGATTTATAAAGTTTAAATCTAGCGTTTTTATAAACTTTATAAAGTTCTAGATTTACATGTAAACATTTACATTCACTCTCCAAATATACCAATAACTAATTTGATAAAAATTTTTTGATTTTCTTGGCGAATTGCTCAAATTAACTAGTGTTTTGTGAGTTGTTTACGATTTTTGATTTTCGAAAATCACCCTCAAAATCGCAATTTCACCATTTCACAATGTTTTCAGTGACAAGAAAAGTTCTTTAACTTAAAAATTAGATAAATGCAATTTTTACAAGTTATCATTATTGATTGGAGGAATCATTATCGATCGATCATCGATAGATCGATCGATTATCGATAGATCGATCGATCATCGATAGATCGATCGATCATCGATAGATCGATCGATCATCGATAGATCGATCGATCATTATTGATCCATTGCACAACGATGCTTTATTTTTGTTCAAATTTGTGAGAAAAGTAGAGAGGAAACGATCTTTTTTGGGGGCAAATCGATCAGAACTCAAAAAAACAAGTGATTGAACAAATCAAACAAACAAATCAAATCACTTTATATGCAAATCTACAATCTGTATTTTTAGTTGAAATGTAGTTTGCACATGTTTTTGGCAACTTTCCCAATAGTTGGCTAGATTTCTGGAGGCTGAGTGTGTTCCTCGCGAGTAAGTAATCACTCGAGTAAAATTTGCATGAGTCATTTTTACTCGATTAATCGACGTTTTTTCGTCAATTAACGTACGAGTAATCCTCTTTACACGTCGAGTAAATTGAATATCTTTACTTGTGAAGGGAATTGGCCAGCAAATCAGTTGAACGGTTGAATATCTTTAGCCAATTGTTTACCATTTATTCCCACAAAAGGTACATTAAGTTTTCGGTGTTGTGCTGTCATTTTCACAGGATTTCAAAGAAATGCTTATCCCATAGCTCACCCTTAATACTAGAGTGTGTTCCTCGCGAGTAAGTAATCACTCGAGTAAAATTTGTAATTTCTACTCGGTTAGTCGACGTTTTTTCGTCAATTAACTACGAGTAATCCACTTTACACGTCGAGTAAACTGAATATCTTTACATGTGAAGGGAATTTGCCACCAAATCAGTTAAACGGCTGAATATCTTTAAAAAATATATAAGACGTTGCTCGTGATTTTTTTCCGCCAATTTTTTGCAATAATTTTCGCTAAAAGTACGGTAATTTTTCCTAAGTGTGCGTTTAAAAAAAAAAACGTATTACTCGTGAGGAACACACTCTATTTTGGAGGCTGAGTGGCGGGCTTACTAGGTATTTAGTGTATTCGATAGAGTTTTCAATGAAAAAAAGAACCTATAAATGAAAATATGCGGAATCGCTTGCATGGCAAGAAAATTCTACGCAAAAATCCAAGTTTATCTAGACTGAATTGACTGAATTGCTAGTTAGAGCTCGCTTTAAAATAGCATTTTTTGTAGTTATCACAAGTTCTTTCTTAATCGTTCTTGGTTTAGTCACACGGGATCGTTATCAAATATCAAACAAATCCAAATCAAATCCAAATCAAATCCAAATCAAATCGAAATCAAATCAAATATCAAACAAATCCAAATCAAATCGAAATCAAATCAACAAATATCAATCAAATCGAAATCAAATCCAAATCAAATCCAAATCAAATCCAAATCAAATCAAATCAAATCGAAATCAAATCCAAATCAAATCCAAATCAAATCCAAATCAAATCCAAATCAAATCAAATCCAAATCAAATCCAAATCAAATCAAATCGATTCTTTACAGTATTGAGCTAATCAATTTGCATCACTAAACTTGTAAACTTATGAACCCAAAGTGAAACAGTTTTTCGTTGATGATCAGCCTTATGTTGACAGTTTATTGTACTTTTAAAAGAGTAGATAGGCTATAGGATTCAGTTACTTACTTTAAGATTATAATATTTTAGATTTAGTTACTTATTTGAGTAATACAACTGTTATACAGTTTTATTCATCTTTATATAGATAACGTTACTGATTGAATAACCGACTAAAACTTTCATTTATTAATCATGTTTTTCTTTTTCTGATTCTCTTGCTTTGTTGTCTTTCTCTCTTTCTTTCTTTCTTTCTTTCTTTCTTTCTCTCTTTCTTGATCTTTCTTGGTCTTTCTTGGTTTAGTCACACGGGAAATCAATCAATATCGAAGAAAAGGCATTGGCTGAATATCTTTTTGTTTCCTTTTGCTCTTTTTCTCTTTTCTTTTCATTTCTTCAACGTCTTGCGGCAAACAGAGAGAAAAGAAAACAAAAAAAAAGCGCTCCCCCACTTTTCACGACTCATCGATTTTTCGTTCTCTTTCCACCACCGCTTTTTCTCTTTGAAATTTTGATGTTTTTACTTCTTTTTATTCTTTTTATTCTTTTTCTTTTATTTTTCCATTCCTTTAGTCAATCTTGATGAGATTTTAAGCAAAAATTTAGTTTGACTTTGTTTTAGACTTGAAATTACGTAAATCTTCGTGAATTTGAGAGTTTTTTTTTGCTCAATTTTAAAGAAATTCTATTCTTGAAGTTAAAATGAACTAAAAAAAAGGCAAAAACTAAAAAATTATATAAGGATTTGTATTCCTTTTTTTGCATTAATCGATCACTCAATCAATATCTTGTTATCTTCAAACGATCAGTCCCCTTCATTCCCTCTCATTACCCCTTTCAACACTTATCTCTTCCCCTTTTTTTTGCTGCCACTTTCCTTTATTGACCTATTCATTTACTTCTTTTCCTCTTTGTATCTAGAATTTGTATAGTTTTAAAATAAAACTCTGATCGAACAAAGGTAGAAGTTAAAAGTTGAGCTTAATCTCGCCTTCTTTTCTACATTTTAGCAAACAATTTCTACTTTCTAAAGCATTATCTAGAAGGAATTTTGGACTTCAGAAAACAGAAGCTATTTGCTAAATTATAGAAAGTTACTTACCGTAAATACTGTAATAGTACCCCATCTCCATAATGACGGTGCGGAGTGTTGCGTAGTCTAGCTTTGAACGAGTTTCTCTCGACACTGGTTTATGCTACAATGCGCGCTTAGGTATCAAAAAAATAGCTGAGATTCAGGGCTATTTTTTGATACCAAAGACGCATTTTTTGAAAGTACGGACGCTTTGAAAAAAATGAAATACTAAAAAACTTTTGCGACTACGCGACTGTACGAGGGGGGTGGGGTACTATTACAGTATTTACGGTAAGTAGAGTGTGTTCCTCGCGAGTAAGTAATTACTCGAGTAAAATTTGCATGAGTAATTTCGACGGGGTAGGCTACTTTGCGCCAAATTTTTTTGCGCAACTAGCCATAACTTCCTTTTAAGTCGGTCAATCTTTATGATTTTTGTGTCATTTTGTTGCACTTATTGAGAGCTACAAAATGATACCAAAATCATAAAGATTGGCTGACTTAGAAAAAAGTTATGGCAAGTTGCGCAAAAAAATTTGGCGCAAAGTAGCCTACCCCATTTCTACTCGATTAATCGACGTTTTTTCGTCGATTAACGTACGAGTAATCCTCTTTACACGTCGAGTAAACTGAATATCTTTACATGTGAAGGGAATTTGCCACCAAATCAGTTAAACGGCTGAATATCTTTAAAAAAATTTATAAGACGTTGCTCGTGATTTTTTTCCGCCAATTTTTTGCAATAATTTTCGCTAAAAGTACGGTAATTTTTCCTAAGTGTGCGTTTAAAAAAAAAACGTATTACTCGTGAGGAACACACTCTATTTTGGAGGCTGAGTGGCGGGCTTACTAGGTATTTAGTGTATTCGATAGAGTTTTCAATGAAGAAAAGAACCTATAAATGAAAATATGCGGAATCGCTTGCATTGCAAGAAAACATTGCTTGCATTGCTCGTGAGGAAAACACTCTATACTTAAGTCTACTGTACTTTTTCTTTCACCTTGAAAACCTTTCCGCAACAAGCACTGAATGAAAGTGTTAGGGATATAAAAAAAGACTTGGCTAACAAAGCCAATTGTTTACAATTTATTTCAACTCCTAGCTTCTCATTTGTTTCTCTGGATTCTAGATTGTTAACAAAAAAAAAACTTTTAGTATGCTCAGAAGAGACAAGAGAATACTCGGATTGTAATTCAAATACAAGCGAAAACTTTCTCTATCTCATTCAATGCAAACAAAATGCCGACGATGAGTCTCCGCGATTTCAACTATTTCCATTTGCGACGTCTCAATCAGAATAAACCGGGACATGATGGCAAAGACAATCTTATTTTGTGAGTCATTTGAATAATCAAAGAAGTATGGTAGAAAGTAGTCTGCTCTTTTCGACACTGGATTTTCGAAAACCTGTCAGCTTTCGAAAACTAATCTTGGCTCTAGTTTTATCCAATTCTACTTTTCGTCCGATTCTGCTAGGGTACGAAAAGATAAAAAATAAATTGGATAAAAGTTAGAGGCAAGATTACGATAGTTTTCAAAAGTTGATAAGTTCTAGAAAACGAATGAGATAAACAGATTTCAAGTAAAAATTATAAAATTTGAAATTTGTAAGTAAAACTAAAAATTTAGTTAGGTTTTTGGCAAATATTTGATTACCATTTCCGCGATTTTTTGCCAAAAAAGTATCCAGATCTCATTTTTAGTCAATTAATTCAATTCAAAAGTCAATTAATTCCATAAAGTCAATTAATTTTAGTCAATTTACATTGGATTTTAGTTAATTCAAATACGCTTTACAACTTGGTCGTTTTAGTTTTTTGAAATTCAAAGTTTAAGTGGACCTAGCTATCGATAAATCGACCTAGCTATCGATAAATGGACCTAGCTATCGAGAAATCAACCTGGCTATCGATAAATCGACCTAGCTATCGAGAAATGGACCTAGCTATCGATAAATGAACCTAGCTATCGAGAAATCAACCTGGCTATCGATAAATGGACCTAGCTATCGATAAATGGACCTAGCTATCGAGAAATGGACCTAGCTATCGATAAATGGACCTAGCTATCGATAAATGGACCTAGCTATCGATAAATGGACCTAGCTATCGATAAATGGACCTAGCTATCGATAAATGGACCTAGCTATCGATAAATCGACCTAGCTATCGATTTTTTAAACCTCATCAAAGTCGGCGACCTTAAAAAATGAGAATTTTCTGTAAATATTTCAGAATTTTCATTGAAAGGTTTTGATTTTTGCATACTTTTTTGCCAATACTTGCAGGATATTTAATCCATAAATATTTGCCTTTCTTTTTATATAAAAATGAACCCGATTAGTTAAAAACTCAATGTTTTAGAGAGTCCAATAGGCGGACATCTTTTTCGCCATTGTAAAGCCGCGAACAAAGTCCGTTCTCAATTTGGACCTAAATTTCAATAAAAAACCCTCATTTTTCTATTTTTAGGGGTCAATTTTAAGCAAAAAATTTCAATTTTCATATTTATTTTATCAAAAAACTGACGATTTACAGTCTAAAATGACCAAAAAATAAAAGGAAAGTGTCCCTAAATATCACTTGTAGCCACAGCCACAAAGCCACAGCCACAAAGCCACAGCCACAAAGCCACAGCCACAAAGCTACAGCCACAAAGCTACAGCCACAAAGCCACAGCCACAAAGCCACAGCCACAAAGCCACAGCCACAAAGCCACAGCCACAAAGCTACAGCCACAAAGCCACAGCCACAAAGCTACAAGCACTTTCTAAAACATGTCACTTTTTCAAAAATACTGTAATCTCTTAAAAAAAAGGCTTTAAACTAATATTTTACCAAGCATAAAGTCAATATTTCATTTTTAAAGTAAACGAGATAACCTGAGAATGCAATTCTTCAAAATCCCCGTCCTGCTCGATACATTGAAACTTGAAATGTCGAGAAAATCCCAATAACAAAGTGATTACCTCATTGATCCCTGAGCTGATCTAATTGATCTCAACAAATCCCTGAAAAAGATTGCAATTGATATGAGTGGAGAGGAGAGTTTTTTTTCTGGTAGGAAATAGAGAAAAACGGTGCTGGAAGGGAGCACATCTGTTCCCCATCTGTCCAATTGACATACAAACCATAAAACACAAATAGCACGTTCCTAAAAACGAAGATTTTTTTAAAATTTTTGAAATTTCGCTAAAGATATTCAACTGTCTATTTAAATACTGAAAATTTGAAAAAATTACCTTTTAATCCGATGCTCTGGTGGCTTGATCCAACTTTTGGGTTCGTTTCGGGGAGTACTTTTGAATCAAAAGGTTTTAGCTAATCTTTATCTATATTTAGCTAATCTTTATCTATATTTATAGGTGGTTAAAGTTATCTAATTGTAAAAAAAAAGATAAGCTTGAGAACTATAAGATCTATAAGATATTCAATTGTGGTAACTTGAATTGATAAGCCATTAGTAAACTTCATTAGCTTATCAATTCAGCGGGAAACCTACAAAATAGATTTGGCTTCAACCTTCAAATAAAATCAGACATAAAAAGTATATTTATTCGACACGAATAATGAATTACAACACAACGGAGGAATTTTGATCCTTAATTACCCCTATTACCCAAATGTTGTTAAGAAAAACCCATAATAATGGGAAAAAGAACCAAACTTTCTAGCCGCCGGGATCGAACCCTTAATCCCCCGACTAGGAGACAAGACTCCTATCCGGTCGGCTACGGCGTTATCTATAAGATCAAATATAGAAATTTGATATTGTAACTGAATCGTAAAAATATAGTATCAATAAATAATAATAAAGTAAGGAATGACAAAGAAAAATTTCGGGAGATGGGATTGAACCCTCGATTGAACTCTTGCTGATGCCGATCAACTCACGGGCAAGCGCCCTAACCACTGAGCTATCCGGTACCTTCTTCGCAAAGAAGAAAGAGGAAATACCAAGGGGGAGAAAAAGAAGATTAACAAAATTTTGAGATAATTTTTGGGTGAATGACTTAAAAACTCAACCTTATAGCTAAAAAATAGATAAATTTGAGATCTATAAGATATTCAATTGCGGTAACTTGAATTGATAGTAAACTAAGTAAAGTAATAGTAAAGTAAGCTAATAGTAAACTTCATTTTCAGCGGGGAAACCTACAAAATAGATTCTACAAAACAAAACAAAAACTAAACCCTTTTCTGACCTGAACATTCTACCCTTCACAGCTCCAACCAAAAACCTGTTCAATTTAGCATTGAAATTAAAACACAGAATTACTATCTACTACAATTGATTACCAGAAAACTTTCAGGCTGGTGGAGAACACGAAATTCGGACGAAACCCCGACATGGTGGACGTGGTGCTGACCTCGGCTGTATACAGGTTTGCGTTTTTTTTTGTTTTTGATAGAAGAATTGATAAAACTGATGATTACTGTATTGAGTTGTGCTTTAACTTTGACCAAATAAGTGAGAATTACTGTCTTTTTTCTTCTAATTTTTGAAATTCTGCCTGACAGCGGCTCTGACTTTTATCTCTTCTTACACTACACTTGTTGATCCAGTCCAAATTTCAGAATATCCAGTCCAAATTTCAGAATAGACTTTTTTCCCTAATGATTACTGTATTAGAAGATTTTTATTCTAGCCTTTTTCTTTCTTTTTTGCCCAGAATCATCTGAAAGGTGTTTTTTGTAGAGTGAATTTTTAGTCAAGGTGATTTTCAAGGCAGAATACAGGTGCTTTCAACGTTATGACTTCTAATTTTTTGCATTTATAAAGTTTTAAAGGAATTGTTGTACTGTTTTTGATTAAAAATATTAGGAAATATCTGAAATGTGACTAAAATTTGTTTTTTTAATTACAAATCTTTTTTTTTTGTAATGACTTGTCTCGAGGGAAGCTCATTGAAAATGAACGGGGAACTTTATTTATATAAGTTTATATAAAAAGCCTTTTACTATAGCAGAGATAGAAAAACTACGTGTACTATTTATATTTGGAGGTTAGATATAGATCTATACTTTATATATATCTTGGGGATTACGGTAAGTACTGTAGTCGCAGAGTTACCGCAGTTTAGAGTTACGATAGTTTTTGGATTATTCGAATTATTCCCAGGAATTCATTCTATTTATACCCTGTTATTTGAACCAGTTACTTCATCAGTTGCTTCATTTGAACCAGTTGCTTCATCAGGACAAGTTGTACAAGTTGTACAAGTTATACAAGCTTTTTTTCGACTCTCCCCTTCTCAAAAACCCGATCCCAAAATCCCAAATACTGTTTACAACATGTGATATAGCTAACACAGCCATGTCATCGATATCAGAAAGGCAGTAAAAAGGGGAAGTAAAAAGGATGAAAAGAAATGTTCCCCGTTCGTTGTCACAAGGGAGGATCGGAGGATATTTGACATCCGGGGGAGATCCGGGCCCCCTCAGTAGCCTCTTTCACCTCCCCCAGCCCCACCCCCGAAACTCTCCTCCTCGGCATTACAACTGTGTCCCAGCCTTTTCTCTTTTTCATTCTTTTCCCTTCTCAAATTTTCTCCTCTCTTCTCTTTCATTTTCGAGTTTCTTTTCTCCTTCATTTTTCCTCATTTTCGTGAGATTTTTCTCCAATTTGATGACAGTCATCTGTCGCTTTTCTCTCATTTTTACGATGCTTGATTTGCTGAGGCGTTTAACTCTTGGACTTGCTAGATTTTGAAATACATTAGACAATACATTTCATTAGTTTTCTACGAATTCTTCAATTTACCCCTTGTACTATTTGTTTAAGCCGGTTTGGGTGAAGAAGCTAGAGAAGTTAGACCTGGAAATTGGCCTTGATAAAATTTTATCACAGTTTATCGATATTGATAACTGTCTGTAGCTTGTTAGAACCAAAAAAAGATCTGGTACTTTGATAGTTAGTTAGTTTAATAGTTTAACTTTGATAGTTTAACTTTCAAGAACTAAACATGAACTGACTGTATTAGAACATGGAATCAGAACGAAAACATGAAGACTTTTTGGAGTAGTTCTATTTGATTTCGAATTCATTCAACCATCGTACTATTGTTTAAAGTTATGTATGAATAGTTGAAATGCCTAAAAGTGAATTGATTGTACCGAAACGGATTGCTGTAAAGGGGCAATGTTGAGGTAATTCCGTGTACTTATTTGATTCTGATTCATTCAACTACCGTACTAGTTTATAGTTTATCGAATAGCTGGTAATTTTAAATAAAGCTCTGAATAAACAGGGCCATCACTAATAAATAGTAAAAGCAGACGGGCGATTTTGCGTTGCGTTCAAGAGGCTATCTCTCTTTTACCTCAGACTCACTGATAAGCAGCCAGCCTTGAAAACCAATTTTTTTTTTGCTTGGACTTACGCCAATTTATCCATTTTTTCTCTCTATTTCACCGCATCCAATCATTTTTTTTGTAGTAAATTACTACAGTTGTTGAAAAATTGGTTTCCATGGGGATTTCTATGCGTGTATAAGTGTAAATTTCAAAAATTTTTCAAAGAAAATGGGGAAAACGGGCTATAAATGGAAATAAGTGAATTAGGAGTATTTTTTACAAACTGCTTTTTGTAAATAGTGCTCTAGAGGTTACTGTAGAGAGAGATAGAGGCATTTTGAAGATAATTTTGCATGTAAAAAATAATCTAAGAATAAATACATCGATAATTTTCTTGATGTTTGATTGATTTACGAGAGGATGACTATATTTTTGCACATTACTGTAATTTTACAGTGGTATATTACTACGAGAGAAAGTAAAGGGGCCGGGTCGACCGGGCTTATCTTTTTGCCCTTCTCTCCCCCTCCAAATTCATTTCCCATCCAATCGGTTTAGTTAGGAAAAATTTTCCGCATTCAAATGCCTGTTTTTGTTTTTTGAAAGCTATCCATTCTATTAGTTTTTAATTGATAATAACTTTCTTAAACTCATTAGCAGTAGCCGTAGCTTGCGGTAGCTTGCGGAAATTGAGGCTATTTTGAGATTTTCCATGTTTTTCGCGAAAATTGGAGCTATTAGATTAAAATGTGCTACAGTGTTTGCTAAAAAATGGCTAATTTGCGACTGTAACTGTAAAAAAAAGCTACTGTAACCTTCTCTTCAGATTTTGTCTGATTTATTTGACTTTTGTCTCATTTGTTTCATAGTTAATTGGATGAGTGAATGAATTCTTGAAAAAAAAAATCATTAAATGAAATCATAATTCAGAAAATCAGCCAAAAGCTGAAAAAAATTACAGTGATTTTATGAATTTCCCCACCTTTTAGAAAACTCTACTCAAGCTATTCGATTTTCGATTTATAAACTTTCTTTGACAAATCGTTTTCGCTTTCACTTCAAAAACGATATTCTCAGCTTTAAATTTGAAGTTTTAATCTATTTTCTAGGCTTTCACTGGATGCAAAATGCTATCAAAAATTCGATACGGCAAAACTAAATACCCCAAAGAGACAACTTGTAGACAGCCTGTGATTCAATTCGTTGACTAACTCTGTTATTAGACTTCTTTTGAGCCTCTCAAAAGCCTAAAACACGCGTTTTTTTTGATAACTTTTGCCACTAAAAACTTTTTGCGGCAATTCGCGTGACCCCATAATATATTTAGAGACTACCACTCCATTTCTAGAAGTCCCTTTTTAAGCTGAAAATCGTCGTTTTTTCGGTAAAATAAATACAAAATGAGTTTTTGATATGTTATCGTTATTACTCTGATTGTTAATTTAAAAATGTTTAGTTTTCCAGCGTTTTCATCGCAAAAAAATCCTTTATAAGAGCTTCTGCGCAAAAGCTTTCATTGTCAAAGTTCATCAGATCTAAGCTTTCATGTCATTTTCTAAACATTTAGCCACGAAACACACGATTGTGCAAGAAAATGACTTTCCCCTCACTCGTTTGATAGAGAAATTTTGGCATTTGCTATATCGTCATTTTTCTTCTAATTTTAATTGCCCTTTTCTGATCGTAAAGTCGAAAAAGATCGGCGATTTTGATTAGATTTCGCACGAGATTGCACTCATGCTGCGAAAGAGACCCATTTAGAGTGTGTTTTGTGCCTTTGTTCCTTTGCTAGAGCACTGTTTTGCTTGAGAAATTGCAACTTCAAACAGTTGATGATGCGGTTTAGTTGTAGGTATTGAATTGTTATAAATGAAAGCTATCAGAATCTTGTATTTTCTTTTATTTTCCCCATTTTTCTTGATATTTTTCACACATCTTTCTGTTTTTCAGAGCCAAGGCCAGTGATTAGTGAAATTAAATTGTGCCCGCTAATCGTCGAGATATCGTTTTTCTCAGAAAATTGTCTCGTGAATCATCGTTTATTGTTGTGCGATTCGGATTCTGATAGGCAATATGGATTTCTTCGGATTATGGCGGTGATTTATCTTGTCAATTTTTTTAGATTTCTTTCTTTTAGAAAAGATCGAGTTAATAAGTGGTTTCTTGTTTTACAAATGTGCCTGATCTTGTTAGCTTGAGAAACGAAAAAAGATTGCCTTTCTCTTTTGATTAAAAAAAAGGACCAATTCGATTTCATCTGATAGGAAAAGCTTAGTAATTAAGTATGCCTTTGACCGACTCATACAGTAATCATTAGTAGACAGGAAAAAAAATTATCGGCTCAATAATTGATCTTTAACTGTTTGTTTTAGTAATATGATATCAAGGAATCATGCGGAAATTCTGGGAAAGAAGAACGCCCAAGGGAAATTCGACAAGTACACGATTTCGGACAGTTCTCTCAACGGCACTTATATCAATGACCAAAGGGTAAACTTTGCACTGTAATTTGTTTATTTGTAATTCAAAAATTACCGATTTTGCCTTGTAAGAAATTAGGTTTTAGATCTCGAATCAGCCACATGAGCTAAAAGAAGGTGATGTGATCAAGTTTGGACATATGAATGGAGCTGCAGTGAAAGCCGGTCAAGTTGCCCCACAAGCCAATGCTGAATTCGCATTTCTAGTTGAAAGGTTCGCAGATTTTGTTCCAATAAAAAATCTAGCAGCTCAAAATTGGTCTATTTATGTTCACACATTGTTTTTTAGAGCTCAAGCAGCTCACAACTATTTGGGTTTTGACCCAAATGGCCGAAGAAGAACGACTGTGAGTTGCAAAGGTGATGTGGATTCGCTGACAGAGATCGTTCCTGGAACACACGCTGAGGTATTCATTTTTATTTCATTTTTAAACGTTTCAAAACTTAATTAATTTGCTGTATTTTTTAAAATAATTATATTTTAGGCTGCCAGGATCACACAATCAGCCAACCAAACTATTCCGGCAACAGCCACTCAGCCAACTTCTTCTGTTCCTGCAATATGTAAGCTTGGATAACACGATTTACATGATTTCATTTTAGCCAACTCCCTTCCTTGGTCAGCCGGTCAATTTTATGGAGCCTCTCCCGCCGCTCCTGGAACTTTCCAGGTAAAAGTGCTCAGTCTGTGACTATATTTTTTATTTAGTTTCCACAAGCCCTCCAATTTCTTAACTTCAACAATGCGACCAATCCAGCCACAGCCAATCAATTTATGTCAATGTTGGGTGCCAGAAATCAACAGGTAAGCATTAATAGCTGACTCTCTTGTGAAGAGAAATGTCAATTAGAGATGAAAAACGAGTTTAACTTGTGAATTTAGTTGGACCCTCAATGGGCGGCAGCGATGCAATGCAGCATTCAAATGCAGCCAAGACTTGCCACAGCTGCTCAATTGCAACAAGCTGCACAACAGGCTGCTTTTGGTGGAAATCCATACCAGGTAGCTTTTTAAACATACAATGCGTTTGCTGATTTATTTATTGTTGCTTATTTAGACTCCTCCATCTACATCCGCTTCTTTCCTTCCACCAAGCGCCTTGGATAATCGTCTCGCCACATCAACCAATGCCACACAACAAGCGAATCTTGCATTTAACATGCAGGTTTGACTTATCCCAAAGTTTTCATAGCATTTTTTTTATCTTTAGCACAATTCGGCTCTTGTTAATTCCATCCTCCAGCAACAGCAACAGCAGCAATTTGTGCAATCACAACAGGTATGTTACTTTTAATTGTAATTCCTCTAAAATTCCTTTAGGCGACCTCTCAACAAACTTCTGTTGTTCAACAAACTGGGCAGCCACACGTAGCCGTTCAAAATCCACCTCAAATAAAGGTAACTATACCAATATGGATTTTTCTAAATTCTTTGTTTAGACAGAGCCGCCAACGCCAACACTTCCCACAGCTACAATCAAACCACAGGTAGTTTAGCTGCAAGTCATTAGCATAACCATTGTTATTAGGTTGGGTCTCCGCCAATGGAATGTGATAGCAGCGTGCCCTCGCCACCAAAAGTGAGAGCGACTCCGGTAGCTCCTCAACCAACAACAGCCATTCCTCGAGCTCCAAGTCCGCGGCAGACAAGTTCAGATCAGGATCAAAGGAGTGAGAAAAGCTGGTCAATGGTTGACTCTCCTCCAATGCCGAGGTATGTTTTTTGGAAATTGACTAAATTTTAAGTTATCACCTTTAGAGCGCCTGCTCCATCACATGCGAATCGTGAGTTGAGTAGAACTCCTTCTCCCAAGAGTGATACACCTGAAGCGGAAAAGGAAGCGGCTCGTGAGAAAGAAGAAAGAGAACGGCGTGAAAAAGAGGAGAAAGAACGGGAAAAAGAAGAACGAGAAAAAGAACGGAAGAGAAAAGATGATGAAGAAGAAAAAAGGCGGAAGGAGAGAGAACGTGAACAGCGAGAAGCCCGTGAACGACTGAAAGCTGCTGAAGCCAAAGCAAAAGCCAACAAAGGGAGTCGAAAAGGAAGCGAGGTAGGCTTTTTATTCTTGGCCACTTTAACACATTTACTTATTATTAAGCCAACTTTAAATTTCAAAAGTTTTAGATTGCTCGTTTGATCAACGATCTAGAGGGTTCCTTCATGACATCGGCGAGAGGATCTGACCTTCGAGAACAACGTAAGAGTCTTGATGGAAGAAAAGAAGACAAGGATTACAAAGAAGAATTATCTCCACCACCACAACCGAAAAAGGAAAAAGAAAAGGAGAAAGAACGACCTAAGCAATTAGGACGAGCATCTAAGTCTGAGAAAACTTCAACGGCTGCTTCCACTCCATCAGAGAAATCAGTCAAGACGGAATCAACAACTAAGCAACAGAATAAGTAAGTTTTTCTGAATCTGAAAGTCTGCTAAATTTATATCACTTTACTTTATTATCGTTCCCAGGTTGTTGAAGCAACTTTCTGACGTTTCTTCGGTTTCGTCGAGCAGTGATTCAGAGGCTGACAAGAAAAAGAAGAAAGCACCGACGACTTCAAACAAGAAAACTTCGTCTGTCAGTCAACCGAAGAAAGATGTACAAACTTTTGGTTTTATAAAAATATAACTTACTTGTTCAGGCTCCTAAAAGACGCCCAGCAACACCAGCTTCGAACAGCTCGGATTCTGATTCGGACACGGACTCTTTATCTTCGCTTGATGACAACCACGTCCGAGCGAAGGGCTCAACCGCTAAAAAAGCTAGACGGACTTCGACTCCAAAAGCTATAAAACCTTCAAAACCGAAAACGGTAAACGTTTTGGACAATGATTTTGTAATTTTTTTTTATTTAGCCAATAATGCCACCAAAGAAGCGCGGAAGAAAGCCAAAGAGTCAAGGCAGCTCGTCATCTGAAGAATCGCCAGAACCTGAGCCCATGTATCCACCACCAGATCCAAATGTAAGTATTACAATTTATTTTAACTTTTACTCATAAACGATAGGTTGTCTTCCATGATCCTATTGAAACGTGTGCTATGGAGAAAGAGTGCAATCGGCCTCAGACGCAAAACGTTAACTGGGTAACTTTTAACAACTAGCCATTAAATACATTTATGAAACTTTAGGTTGCATGCGATGATTGTGAGAAATGGTATCATGCTATTTGCATTCTTGGGAAAGAAGATGTAAGTCATTTTGTCTACTTTGTTAACTCGTAAAATCTCGTGCCCAAATAATGTTAAACTAAAAAATTTAGATTACCGGTCTTGACGAATTCACTTGTGGCTGCAAGGAAAAGAAGACGAAAAAGAAGAAAATGAGATAAAGAAAGGCTGGCCGTTCTTGGTGTTCTATTTCTTTAATTTCTGAAGCGTTCAAAATCTTAACTTTTTCCCCAGGCACTTCACATTTTAACAAAACTCGACGATCATTGCTCTTGATCTCAAAACAAAATTAGCTATCAAAAAGTTTCTGTTACAGTATCGCCATTTTTAAACCCATCAAAATTTTTTGATAGTAAAAAGGAATATTTCCATTGCCACTCCTAGGATTCAGCTAGACTCCACAAAATTTCTCCATTTTTGGGTTGCTATCACTGTATTTCTTGCTCTTACTCTTATTCTCTACTTTAAAGATTGTACATCATTGAATGCATTTATGATTGCTCTTTGCTATCTTGTTATTGCTATATTGAGCCAAATTCTGTGTCCAATTTAATCTATTGAGTTTTTGTTCCCCATTTTCTCTCATTATTTGTGAAGTCTTTAAATTCGTTGATTTCGGGTGATGTTACTACATTTCTAACATTGTTTTGCATCTAACATTAATAATTATCTTTTAATTCGTTTAGAGTTATATTGCTAAGTGGAAGTGTGTTTGCAGATTGTATTTTGAAAACGTTGTTTGCCTTCTGTGAAAAATAAAACTTATCTTGAAAATTGTTCAGGAAAACGCATTGATACTTAGAAACAGACACAGTACATTAGGCTGCACAGGGCACAATGTTAGAGCCTCTAATTTGCATTAGAGAATATTTACATTTAAAGAGAGTCTTCGCATCGCAAAATTGAGTAACTTCATTTCTCCTGCGCTCGTCGTCTTTATTCGGTTCTCTGGTATGCTCGACTTGTGTAACGGTTGGTTTTCTATAAGCTTAACCTTTTACTGTATACATTTTTGATAAGCCTACACCTTTTCGTGGTTTAGAATGAAAAAAGGACCCAGGACCAAGACCCAACCCGTTGACGGACAAGTGGTCACACCAAGCGAACTTGGGTACACATCTTGATTGATTTTTTTCGTTTATTCTTTTCTGTTTCTCATCTTCTATCCTTTTGTAGACCAGCGAATGAGCCGCGGCGACGAGCGGTCGTCGATAAGGCGACGCAGTATTGGAAAGAGAGCGGACGACGTTGTGGTGGTGCCGGAGGAGGTGCGGGTAGACAGGTGAGAAAGCTTTACTTTTATGTAACATTGGTCATCGTTTGCTTACCGTTTTGCTTCCAGAAAGTGACCGCTAATGTGCCGAAGACGGGAACGACCAGCGGCGCGAATGGAGACTACCGATCGGTGGCTCGACCCAGTGAAATGAGTCAGGTGCAAAAGAAACTCATCGGAAGGTGAGCTTATCTTTTCGGAAAAGCTATGTACTGAATTGCTAGTCCATTCACAGACAAAACATTCTGAATTGATTTGTTTAGGCGCAAAGAAGGCGTGAATCGTGGCGAGGCTCGACAAATTCTCCTCCATCAGCTCATCTGGCGCGAGAACGAGTCGACGGTTCCTTTTTTTTCACTGAGAATCTATTGCAACTATTTTCTTTTAGAATAAATTCCATGAGAAACGCTGGTGCGTGCTTGTGGCCTCCGAAGAAACGGACGGATTTGCTCCAGAAGAGGTAATATTTAGTGCCTCGTGAAATCATTTCATTGTTTTTAGATTTGGTGTCAAGCTTTCGAGAACGACGTGATGGTGGCTCGAATGGCTTTTCTGGTGAAGAAAGAGAAAAGCGCAGGAAGCGGCTCTTCTGAGGGCACTTTCACCGAAGCTCCCGTTAGCAATGGTAGGCAAAATTTAGTGAACTTTAACAATTGAAAAATTTAGCAACTGAAAGCGAGAAGCTCAAGAAGTCAATTGAAACTCAAATGGTTTATTGGTTGCCAGAAAACATTTCCGATCTGAACGCCGTCTGTCTGGCCATTTACAAGTGGGCTTTTTTTTCTGCAAATACAAATTTAAGTGCAAATGATATCGGTGCTATAGTGTTAAAATTTTTGTTTTCGCCAATTTTTGCTGATTTTTTGCACTCAGGGGTTTTTGACTATCCTGAATCGATTGGTGATGGTTTTGCACTACTTTTAACAAAGTTTATAACAAATAGCAACAAAAATAACAACAACAAAATGCCAACAAGTTACCAACGAGGACATGGCGCAAGACAATGAGTACTTTTTGGCCACTTCATCCCAGAACATCAGATTTCCAGTACATTCGTTATAAACGTTGTTAAAAATTGTGAAATGTTGTGTTAAACCATAACCAATCGATTCATCATAGTCAAAAACCCCTGGGGTGCAAAAAAATCAGCTCATTTGGTGAAAATTTTTTTTTTGCCTGCCTTCTCAACTACTATAGCTCCATGATATCATCTTTAGCTTACAGATTTTGTGCCAACTGCTGGAACAATATGATCCTCGTGCCCGCCTCGCAATTGACCCATTTCATCGACTTTTTTCACTGGTTGAAAGATTCGCGTGATTTGCACTATAAACGTTTGTTTTTTTTGCAATTTTCCACGTTTGGTGATACTTTTAGGTGACACTCAATCAATTCGACTCGATCGTTTCATGTGCATTGAGGATGTGATTCAAGTGTTTCGTGACTACAACAAGCATGAGGTCTGCTGCTTTATCTCTTTGCTGGCATGAATTGAAAACATTTGTAGTTCTAGGGAAAAGGTATCGAGAGTCTCGAATGGGAGCGCACAATCACGAACAATTCGGCGCCGATTAAAGCACGGGATCTCATTCAAGTTGCATGGCCAGTTGTCCTGCTGCTTCATTGCTATTTTGCATATTTTAGTGACTACACCCGAAACGCACTTCGAAGCGCCTGCAAGCCACCAATCAGCCAAACGCTTTTTATTAATCAAATGAATCAGCAACGTGTGAGCGAAACTCGTATCCTCCTTTTTGACTTGATTCTTTTTAGAATAACTTTGCCAACCCTTTCATGCGTGCATTGCAACCCGAGCCGGAGTTGTCGTTTGGTTTTGATGATGGTCGTTCACCGGAGGAACAGGGTAGAGCCTTTAACACTGCATTGCTTTACTCTGAACTTTCCGTTTAGCCGAAACCTTGGAACTTGTTCGGAGTTGGCTCAGTAAGCGATGCCCAGATGATGCTGATGTTGGTTTCGAATGCGTAATGAATCTATAGTTAATTTTAGCACGAAGACATGGAACCCTACAGGACAGAGGTATATGTCAATCAATCCTTCCAAATCCTCCCAACGGAATACGAATGTGGATCTTAAATCTAAGTCTCTTTAATCGATCTGCTTTAGATCTGATTCCCTACTTTTTGCCTACATCGCGAGCAAAAGATTTTCATTGAACAACGCTACGTGGGCCTCTACCGCTGGATATTCTCGACTTCAATGATCAAATCAACTACGAATTTTGGGCTGCAAATTTTGAATAATAAAGTGTTTTAGGGCTGCTATAACAAAGGAAATTTATCACCACAAAATAAAAACCAACTTCTAAATGTCATAACTTTACGGAGAACAAACTTTTCAAATTGCAAACTAACTAATAGCTTAATTCAACAACGAATATTAAACAAAAAATCAAATACTTGTATCAACAAAAAGAAAACCAGTATAATTTTATGATGAGACCATTAGACGCGGTGCAATGCCCATTGACATCAATTCTTGGAAGAGCAGCTTGCAGGCGTATGGAATACGGATGGCAGAAACTTGCGTTTTGTTTCGGCAAGCCTGAAAACGAATCATTGGCGAATTAAAAATATTCGGCTTACTTTGCACTCGAATGTTCCTACTCGAAGATTTGCAATGACGAAGAGACCACAAATGTTACATGTGTAGACATGATAAGGATCGGAAACCTAAAAAGGTCGAGTGTTGGAAATTCATATCGAGATTTTCACTTCAAAGAGTCGTTCTCGCAGGAATTGGGCTGCTCCGTGTGAGATTTGGCAATCACGTTCCATTTCTCCGAAACGAAGCCCTCCGTCCCTTAAAAAATTAGAAGAATATTTGAATATTTAATTGAGTCTACCTCGCTCTTCCTTCCATGGGTTGTCTATTCATCATTTGGACAGGACCACGTGCTCTCGAGTGGATTTTGTCATCAACCATGTGCTTAAGGCGTTGATAGTATGTTGGTCCCAAGAAAATCTAAAATAAGCTTTAGCAACATCTGCCGTTTTATTACAAACCTGGGTCGTAAGTTTGATGCCTGTATGTCCATTGTACATCACTTCATTGCCTCTTAGATGATATCCGTACTCTGACAACAACTTGGAGATTTTCTGCACGTTCACAGTATCTAAAAATTTCAGTTTTCAATATAAGGCTTAAACCAAACCGTTGAAAGGTGTGGCGTCTCCAATCTCTCCCTTGTTGGCTGACAGCTAAATGCAACGAGTTATTAAAGTTTAACTGTTATGGGGATACCTTTCCTTGTAGACATTCGATCAAGTGACCAATAGTCATTCGAGAAGGCACAGCATGTGGATTGATGATGATATCCGGTGTGATCCCTTCACCAGTAAAAGGCATATCCTCCTATGAAAAAAAATATATATAAACCCACAACAAGCAAATTTACTTGGCGATACATGATCCCCATAGTTCCCTTCTGACCATGCCTTGACGCAAACTTGTCACCAATTTGCGGAGTTCGAATGGATCGCACACGAACTTTGACGAACTTGTTGCCTTCGGAATTCAGGGTAAGCATGACCTAATAAAAATTATTTCAGCTTACATTTGAATCAAACTTGATCAATAATTCCAGTCTCTGAAGCACGCAAAAATGTTGAGGCATCCCTCTTCGTGTACTTTTTGGCCTGCCCTTCAAGATCATCGTCCTAAAAAACATTTTAAAAGAGAAACCAATGCGATCTACCGTTTCAGGAAGTGAGATAGTTTTTCCAATGATCACATCGTCCCCAGACACTCTCATTCCAGGAGAAATGATACCGTCGTCGTCAAGCTAAATTTTTAGCTTTACAGCCAAAATGATCATGAGACCCACTTTGTCATACAGCGAGTGCCTCATTCCCGAGCATTTGTCTCTTGTCGGCTTTTCAATAAGTTCAGCGTTGGCATGCATAGAGTTCACGTGCGCCTCCTGATCACGATAAGAACGATAGAAGACCTAAACTTGTACAATACATATTTAACTACAAAGTACGATACCGATCGGAATAAGCCTCTATCGATTCCGGATGAATTCATAATGACCGAATCCTCTTGGTTGTAGCCCGAATACGATGCAATAGCGACCACAGCATTGATTCCTGCTGGGAGCTCGTTAAACCTTGAACGGTATTGGAATAACAAACATGTACAAGGTTACCTCAGATATTCCATACTTCTTGTCGTCACCAAAGGCTTTTGGGGATAGTAAAGCACGTGCGACAATGTATCCATTCGAACGTGGAAATTCGTCGTGAAGACGCCCATGGCCTGTTTGCCCATAGCACTCTGGAATACATCAACTTGCTAGCAAGCTAAAGAAAGTCAACTTGATAGGTATTTCTTGGCGATTGGTTGTGATCCGGGAACGGAATGATCGAGGCACATACACCGAGAATCATGGCGGGATGAATTTCACAATGGGTATACCTAAAGATTTTAAAAACTCATTGAAAAGAAAGAAACATACGTGTCACAATAGCCTGAGTGCAAATCTTCCGGGAACATAGCGATCATAGAACTTTCTAAAAGATGTTTTAGTTAGCCTCAATACACATGACCTACCTTCTTCTTGTGCATCGATAAGTTCCACAACGCCACCGCCGACAAGGTCTGACCAACTGTACTGACTTCCACTATCTCGGTCCTAACCCTTTTGTAAGGGAGTTATACAAATTGCTAACCTTTAGTTTGTCAATATGCGTCTTCTTAAGTGTGAGCTTCAAATTTTCCACAATAAGCAACGGACGACAGAGACGGCCAGCGTCTGTGTAAATGCGAATTTCACGATCGCGAATGTCGCGAACCATTGAAACCTATAAACAAGCAATAAAATTCAAAATGAGATCAAGTCTTACCTCAGAAACGATGATGTCCATTTGCCGTCGAAGGCGGCGCAAGGTTGACATGAGATTTTCGGGATCACGATGAATTCCCACCTAAAAATTAAGCATAACAGTTAATAAATAGTTTCCACCCACCCAAGCACCATTCACAAAAATCTTTGTTGAGTTTGCAATTGCTGACGGAGCCACTTCTAGAATAACCCTTCGTTGAGATCGAAAAATTAGTTCTACAAACCGTCCAAATTTTCCATCGACCATTCTTCCAAAAACTCCATAATCGGTGAAGGTTGGGAACCGACAGAAATATAGGCCATCAACGCAAGATTCTTCACTAATCCCACAGCTTGTCCTTCTGGTGTTTCAGCGGGGCAGACCTGTAGATAAGAATTAGTAACCTCACGAAACAGGCAGTGCTTACCATTCCCCATTGGGTATTATGCAGTTGACGAGGTTTGGCTAACTTTCCTTCACGACCAATTGGAGAATTTGCTCGACGAAGATGAGAAAGAGTTGCTGTATAAGTGAGTCGATTGAGTACCTAAAAAAACTGTTTGAGAAAAATAAAAATTCAATGCCTGTGAAACTCCGGCTCTTGTTTGATGCGCCTTCTTCTGATCACCCCAATTTCCGGTGGCCAATGAATACGATAATCCTAGACAAAAATAGTTCAGCAAGTCAGTATGGAACAAACCTCTAGTAATAGTAGAGGTCTTCAAGCAAACATCCAATGAGAAATCACCATTCTTATTGATATACTTTTGAGCAGTGAGTCGCATCTAAACAGTTATAATAAGGTTGATTATTATATCACTTACCTCCTTTAGTAAGTTCTTGAAAAGGGCACGGAATAAAGCCGCCAGAAGCGGTCCTGCAAGATCGAGACGTTTGTTTCCGATGTGATCTCGATCGTCAAGTTCTCGTCGACCAAGAGCCGCCAATAAAAGTCGGTGCACCATGTATCCAATGAAATACTAAATTCTCTAATATAGGTTGAAAGCGGTTAGCAGTTATACCGCTTTCCTTGTCTCGCAAAAATCCGAAATTCCAATATGCGGCAACAATTCACGTTGAAGGATTTCTTTGGCGTATTTGATTCGTTGTTCTTTTGTGACCCCAGGTTTTGCTCCGCGTGTACCAATAAAGTTAAGAGCGACATTTTGTTCCTAAAGTGACAATGTAGGCTATATCAGCCTTTTACATGTAAAAGCAAAAGTAACAAAGATACCTGAATCACGAAGGCTTCATCAAGTGACGGTTTGACCATTTCCATCATTTCCGGATCATCGAAGTCATAAATGATGTGCTCGAGGATATCACGATCAGAGACAAAGCCAAGTGCACGAAACACAATCATCACGGGAATCTCCTTAACACAAAATTCAAAAGAACTTATTGAAAACTCCTACCTGCTTGATATAGGGTAAAATAGCAACAATTCTTTGTCCCATTGGAGTTTTTCGTGAGCCGCCACCACTGCGAGCCATCATATTTACCCACAATGTCGAGTTCGGACGACTAAAACAAATAATAATAATAATGAAGTTCTAAACATAAAAGCTTACTTAGAATTCTCGAGGCATGATCGACACTCGGTTTTGAAAGCGTATTTGCCGTCTTTCATACTGAATACATAGACGGTGTTTTGAGCCATCTTTTCTTGTGCAATCAACACCTATCAAAAAAGTCTATTTTGTTATTAGGTATGCTCTTACTTTCTCTGAACCATTGATGACAAAGTAACCGCCAGGATCCAAAGGACACTCATTCAACTCAGTAAGATCTCGGTCACTCATACTGGACAACATGCAATAGGAAGATCTGTAATAAAAAGACATTTTTAAAAAGATGTAAAACAAGCTACCGCAACATGATCGGAATTTTGGCAATGAAGACTTTGTCGGACTTGGAAGTTTGAGTTTCTCCATCGCGAGTTACCGCCTTCGTAATATCCACGTATAGAGGTGACGAGTAAGTCAAATTGCGAAGACGAGCCTAAATAACAAAGTTAATAGAAAGAAAATGTCAGCAAATACTTCATTTGGCATCAGTGGAGTCGGTGAGCCGTTAACTTCCCAATGTGTCGGCTTTGACAAGTAGATCTGCTCGAAGGTTAATGTGAACTTTGTCGGATTCTCGATGTCGCCTAAAAAGACCTTATGAAATTCAAAACCAGGAGACCATACCCGTGAAATGCTGAGATTCAGTTTGTAGTTCAACTGGCGGTGATTCTTCCACGATTCGTTGAATGTTCATCTGAATAAACTCGTCGAAGGAGTCCAATTGTTGTCGGACGAGTCCCTTCTCGTCGAAGTAAGCGGATATCACGACCCAACAAGCTTCCTAAAAACGTTAAAAGGTGAAAGACACGCGATACTTTACCTGCCACTGGTCGGCACTAATATCTTCGCTTTCGACCTCATTCTCCTCCTCCATTGGCTGATCGTCGTCTTCATCTTCATACATCTTGTTTCTAAAACATTAAAGATGAACATCATGTTATGAAGAAAAAAAAGAAAGCAGCAAAAAAGCCCAAAAGTAAAGTAAGTTTGCTACTCGTCTCGATCAGATTCATAATCGAAATAGAACATGTGCAATTTAAGCTCGCTAAATTAACTAAACTCATGCAACCTAATTGTTTAATATCCACCGATCTGCTTTAAAACGCTTGAAACTTCAAAACACTTTGCTAACTTCAGTGAAAGTTTCACACAAGAAAATAGATTTTTGAAAGTGCTTTCGAGTCAAAACACCACAGTTGTCGAACGTAAATACCGTAAAAAGCGTCGTGTACGCGCCGCTCCGCTCGCAACGATCGTAGTTGGTGAATTTTCTCATTTTCTTCATTTTTTCTTGGGAAAAGAATACTTGCCAAATTTTTGTCAAATCTGGCGCGGCTTACGCATTTTTTTGATTTTGCTAATTCTACCTTGCATCTTGTTACTCAAGCACCCAAATTATTATCTATCTAATTGGTTTATCACTTTTATGCAAGGGTTTTTGGAATATTGTTTTGGAATATTGTTAAAAACTTAATGCTTGATACATGATTTCTTTTGCAACACCTATTGATTTCCAACCCAAGCAGGATTTCCCTTTTAATGACAGCTCCATCCGCTAAACTTTAACAGCTAGCTTAGTGCTTTTGATCTCCTAATTTTTCTATTTTGCTTTTGTTTGTCGTTATCAGCGCTCAACAAATTTTCTTTCTTACAGGTAAAATGTCGAAGAGAGGACGTGGAGGTGCATCTGGAGGCAAATTCCGAATTTCACTCGGTCTCCCCGTCGGAGCTGTGATGAATTGTGCGGATAACACTGGAGCCAAGAACCTATACGTGATCGCCGTCTACGGAATTCGAGGACGCTTGAACAGACTTCCCAGTGCTGCCGTTGGAGATATGTTCGTCTGCTCCGTCAAGAAAGGAAAGCCCGAGCTCAGGAAGAAAGGTTTGGGATTTAAGCTGTTAAAATATATCAGTAGAGCTAACTTTTAAAAGGATTGCTAGAATTTCAAGTTGAAACAATTTTGGCAAATGTGATTGCGCACAAAGATCAACTAATGTGAAAGTCTATTGAAAATATAATGTTTAATGGAATTAGCTGTCGCATATTCGTTTAGTCTCTCAATGGCAGTCAGTGGCACAATGCGCTGCCGAGTTTCTTTACTCTTTAGCAGAGTGTAGCAAATTAAACCATACAAAATCTTTTTTGAACTAGTTTCCATTTTAGTCTTGCAAGCAGTCGTTATCAGGCAGAGAAAATCCTTCCGAAGAAAAGACGGAACGTTCATTTATTTCGAAGACAACGCCGGAGTTATCGTGAACAACAAAGGAGAAATGAAAGGCTCTGCCATCACTGGACCCGTTGCCAAGGAATGCGCTGATTTGTGGCCCCGTATTGCAGCTAATGCTGGTTCGGTCGCTTAAATTTTTTGTTATTGTGAGAGTCAGATAATGATGTTACTATTGTTATCGGATCACCGAATAAATTGTTTTAAATTTTTCCTATTTGCTCTTAAGTTGTGGCTTTCAGCCATTTGTTATCGATGTGCATTGATTTTCGTTTAACTTTATGCTTTTAGGAAGTGCCTAATTCTTATTTTTCAGGTAAATGGCTCCAAAGGGTAAGCAGGTCGAGAAGAAGACCGCCAAGGTCACGAAAGCCCTCGATGCTAAAAAGAAGGTGGTGAAAGGCGAGAAGGCCAAGGTCCAGAAGAAGGTCCGAACATCAACCCACTTCTTCAGGCCAAAGACTCTCAAGCTCAAGAGAACTCCGAAGTTTGTTTTTTTACAGCTTTGAACTTAATCTGGCTTTTTTGCTAATATTATAGTTTAGGAGTGTATGAGACTCAAAAGTGATTTTCTCAACCTAGCTATTTCTGTAAGGGTATTAGTGGAGAACTCGAACGCAAATCGAAGCATAACTAATGAAAAACTTTGGTCGATCGATTTCAAAAAATTTGTGGCAAATTTGGCAAGGCTTTAAATTCTTACATAACTTGTTAGGGTTTTGCTTTAGAAAAGAGCTTTTTTAATCTTTAGCAAGTTGGGGGTATGGATTGTTTACTGCAAATAGCAAAGTAACTAATTTTAGCTAGCTATTCAAGTTTATTCAACGTTTGCATTTAGGTACCCGAGAAAGTCGGTCCCCAAGCGCAACAAGCTCGATGCCTTCACCATCATCAAGCACCCACTGACTACCGAATCGGCTATGAAGAAGATTGAGGACAACAACACGCTTGTCTTCATCGTTGACGTTCACTCGAACAAGCCACAAATCAAAGCTGCCGTGAAAAAGTTGTACAACATCGATGTCCAAAAAGTGAATACCTTGGTCACTCCTCTTCACACCAAGAAAGCTTACGTACGACTGGCCCCGGATTATGATGCTCTAGATATTGCCAACAAGATCGGTATCATTTAAACTTTGTTGTTTTGTCACGAATATATTGTTTTTGTTGTATTTTATTCAAAATGCATACGATAACACCATTAAAACACATTTATTTACACTGGAAAAGAAGAAATGTACATCTACTCAGTAATTATAGAGCTCTACACGTTTTCTTAAGTTAGTTTGATACACAAATAAATAAGCGAGTATTGAGTATGTGGATAAGTGAAGGGGTGCAAAATGCATTTCGCAAAGTGACCAAGAGACCAGTTTTAGGGGTGTAAAGACTAAAGCTACTCAAATGTATTGTTTATGAGATTTTCAGGCTTTTGCCGCAAAGCTGCTTGGATCGTCGATCTGAAATTTGTGAACGTATTAATATTTACATAGGTAGTCAATAACCTGAAAGAATGGAGAGTTCTTGTCGATGGTGAAAGTGTCATCATTTGAGATTGCCTCTGGTGGGATGAATGGCTGAAAGAATAGAGTTAAGGATTCAGATTATGATCACCTCTTGGTTTGGTTGCTGATTGTGGGCATCTTTTGGTGGTGGTGGATCGTCAAACTGATCTCTTGGTGGTAGAAAAGCGGCCGATGACTCTGGTTCCTAAAATCGGGTAATCAATTTCATTTCTCATTCTTACCTTGATCGGCTCGACTTCAATGGCAGCAGCTGGTTGATTGTTGACAACAGTTGAAATTGGCTGGAAAAGCTTATAGTCTGACGTTTACTTTATCAAACCTCATCATTTTTCCCATTTTCAACAACTTCTGGTTGCTCGTCGACGATGACATCAGTGGGAACGTTGAATTGCTCCTGGAACTTTGTACTTAATTGGTACTCTTGTTTAAAACAACTTTTCTCTCAAAGCCGTCATCTCCTTGATCTTCCTCGTTCAAGTCGGTAAATTTGGGTTCCTCGTCGACTTTTTCTTCTTTGTTGAATTTCTGATCGACGGGAAGATGTTGTTGAGCCTAAAGTTTTGGGTATGAGATTAATTGTTGCATTTTAAAAAGAGTTCTAGATAACTTTATAGAGTTGGTGAATTGTTGAGAATTGTTTAAAAACCGGATCTCTTTAGTTTTTACCGAGATTTTTACGTGAGTACAGTCAGAACTCTACGCAATTGCAAGTACGTTATGTAGAGATTTAATTTTAGCTCTTGTAAGGATTTCTTAAATCTACAGCCTTCCAAATGATATCCAAATGACATTTGATGGTCCCCGATTTTTATTCTAAAAATATATTCCTCCCCAACAACAACCCCCGAAATGGGTACTTCTGCATCGCAATCCGATAATCCGCCGGTGATCATCACCGCTGAATATTTAAAAAAAAAAAAACTCTTTCTCTCTACCGTATTTAGGTCATAAATTTCTAGGTCAACCTACAAACTACATGAAATGCGAAACGATATGATTTGAGATCGTTTTAGTAAGCATGCTTTTTTCATTCATTAGTATTTCAAACGTTTTTTTTTCTTTTTGCATTGCTTACTGAAACGAGAGCTCTGTCATAGCGTTTATTTGCACTGTACAATATAATGACAATATAACGAAAATGATACGAAAATCAAAATCCGATTCGGATTACTGTATCACCTTGTTCTCTTGGATCCAATTTTGGTACCAGGGAAGTTGCTGCGAGTCGAGGGACGCTTGAGCTGATTGCGCTGGTTGAATGGCTGCCTGAAAAGTGGGGATAGAGAGATATTCAGTTAATAGGGATACGGTAGATAGATAAAGCTATTCAGCTATTCAGCTATTAAACAGAAAATGAAATCATTTCAAGATTGGATACAGTTGATGAAGATGTTTAGCTTATGATCGATAAAGTGGGCATAGTAAGGTTCGAGATTTGATACCGTAGGCAAAGATTTTCAGTTAATAGTCTGGATGTGGTAATCTGTCATTGTAGATCGATACTCTATATGGTAATCTGTGATTGTAGATCGATACTCTATATGGTAATCTGTCATCGTAGATCGATACTCTATATGGTAATCTGTAATTGTAGATCGATACTCTAACTGTAAAGAAATAACTGCTAACCGATCGGTAATCTTTCCTGGTTTAATTCTATATTTGAAATTTTCTCATGAGCTTTTTACCTGTTGTTGCTGGGGTTGTTGCCATTGATTTTGCCACTGTTGCCAGGCGTTCATTTGTTGGGGTTGCGCGAAGGACTGAAAGAGGATTTGAACCGGTTTTCAAGATTGAAAATCACGTGCAAGAGCTACAAGCTAGAAGTAAGTGTAGTAAGCTACAAGCGCTTTTGAAAAAGCTAGAAGTATTTGAGAAAATTTGCCCACTTGTTGAGCGGAGAATTGTTGCCAAGGCATCTGCTTCTGCTGTTGAGCGCGCTCCCAGTTTAGCCCGAAATTCGTGCCAAACGTTTGCCCAAACTCGGCGGCGAAACGTTGTTGATCGGGGGTCGGTTGCTGTAAAATTGTGAAAGTGCCGTAATAAGTCGAATAGTTTGACTCATTGGCTATGATTTGAATTCAGTATTCTAACGGAGTACTGTACGCCTTGCACTTTACACATTTGTGCAATTATCTTCAATTTTTCTAGCGTAATCCAGTTTTCCTCACCATCATTTGTGGACCCATCCATTGCTGTGGCTCAGTCATCGGGAATTGAAGGCTTTGCTGGATTGGTGGCTGAAAAAATAATAGTGAGATAACAATTTGCATAATTAAATAGAATACAATATAAATTATGCATACTGTTACTGTAAATTCTAGTGTAAAAATGAAAAATGAAACTGTAAACATGCCTGATTCATCTCTTCGCCGCGTCGCCCGTTCATGAAGTTGCGCATGAACTAGAGACATGTTAATTTGTGATTGTTCTTACAGTAACTAGAGATTTCTAATCTCATTTTGTAATCTATACTTACAGTAAATCTGTACTTACAGTAAATCTGTACTTACAGCAAATCTGTACTTACAGGAAATCTGTACTTACAGGAAATCTGTACTTACAGTAAATCTGTACTTACAGTAAATCTGTACTTACAGTAAATCTGTACTTACAGCACATCTGTACTTACAGTATTATTAAATATCTATTTATTAGATAACGAAATAACTCACCTCCGAAGCGTCATCCCCGTAGAGTTCGGTGACGATTCGAGCGGGCATCATCGCATTGTCCTGAATGATTTTGTAATACTTGCATTAGATAGAAATATTCATTTAAAACTGATATTACCTATAGAAAGAGTTATCAAATATCTAGCAAAATCTACCCGATCAAAATGGTGAGTGATTCGGAGCTGTGGCCTCTCCATCGGCCCATTCATCGGCCCCTCCATCGGTCCCTCCATCGGCCCATTCATTGCTCCATCATCGTTGAACATCCACGGTTGAGCCTCTCCCGAATTCTTAATAAACAAAAATTTTTACTTCAATTACTTCAAAAATTACTTCAATCTTACTTTTAGTCTTACTTTTACTCTTACTTTTTAAAGTTTTACTATCTTTCTTTGTCTTTTCTTACTATTCTCTTTTCTTACTATTCTTACTATCTAATCTTTGTCTTTGCCTTTGTCTTTGTCTTTGTAAAACTTTTCAAAAAAAGCCTCTAACCTCGACTTGTTGCGGGAAGCGGTCGCCTCGCCACGTCAAACGATCGAATTGACGCCTAAATTGATTGATTTTTAAAAATTGTTGAAGAAAGAAAACAAAGATTGAATTATTTTTTGAGTTTAAAGATTGAGTACACCAATCATTTTGCACTCACCCCTCGTTTTGTTGGAAATCGACTGGACCAAATGGTGATGGAGCGGCCCATTCGCCGAAGCCGTCGGCCATGTTTTGGGGCATCTGAAAAATGAGGGTTTAGATTAGGTTAAATTTCAGGATTAGATTCAATTTTTGATATCTTATCAAAAAGGTCAGACAAGGCTACGACCAGACAGAAGCCAGCTTTTGGTCTCACTTTACTAAAGGCCAATCAACCCTGGATCTGGCTTGCCAGTCATCGTTTTCTTATTGGGAAATTAACTCAAAAATCTAAATCCCTACTTCTTCAATATCCTCCTCATTTTCGCCGATCAACGGCTGCTTCTTGATCTCTAAAACAGAGACATGAACGGGTGATGGGAGATCCCCGTTTGCGGCCGCTGTTCGAATCTTCTCGAGGATCGCTTTCAGGAAAGCCAAGCGAACGTCCTAAAAGTTTTATGATTTTTTTAAAATAATTGAAATGCTTGCTAAAGTATTTTGAAATGATTTTGAACTTTTCAAAAGTATTGCTCTCGAAAAACGAACTCCATTTTCCTCATCTCCACTGTTGTGCTCGGCCGAGTTGTCCACGCGGTTCGTCTCCACTTCGTTGCTGAAATTTGCATTTAAGAACTTGCAATGCAAAGTGTACTGCTGCCTAATTGATAAATTTCACATTTAGTATTGCCCTCAAGGTTCAACTTAAAAAGTTTTCCTTGACTTAAAAACAAACTTTTCTTTCTCCAATCGCTTTGAGAAGGCGAGTCTCTCATCGATAATCTCCGGGGGTTGGTCGTTGTTCAGAGACTGAAAACAAGCTACAGTAAAGCTAATCCTTGATATTGTATGTAAATTAGGAGCTATAGACTATTAGGAGGATTACAGTAATCCAGTAACCCTTGGAATCGTATGCAAGTTGGGAACTACGGTAAGCTTTGGTCTACACAAAAATCCAGAAACCAGAAGTCAGACCTGGACCTGGCTTCTAAGCTTACAGGCCATAGACCCAGTGCAGCTTTATCTTCAACTATTTACCTGCGCCGGGTTAATCGGCACGTTGATGGCACTTTGTTGAGCCTGGATTTGCGATTGACGGAGGATCTCCATGCCCAGCATTCTCTGCTTGAGCTCGGCCCTGAAAAACAGAAGTTTGCATAAAAACCCTTGCTATGAAAAGATTACGGTATCACTGGGCAATTGCTAGCAACAAGAGACCAATGAAAAGTTTTCTGTAAACATGTTGTCTATCAAATATCAACTAACTAGACTATTAGCCGGTCAATTGCTATGCGATCTATACCATTCGACGCCGAATTTTATGCTGATTCCGAATATGTATTCAGTTTTTGCTAAATGACAATCTGAGAGGCGTTATAAGCGTCTAAAGTTTTGTGGTCATTTGTGTCTCAGTGATCATTTGAGTCTCGGCCTTGCGGACCCGATTCGGTGCAGCCTGGATCTGGAACTTGTTCGCTCTCGTTTCCAGGGCGAGACCTCACAAGTTCGGACCCCACTTCGGGATTTTCTTCTGCCTCTTTTCAAGAAGTGCTGACTAGCGTTCTTTATGTAAATATTGTCCAAATTCACTTTCATCTTTTTAATTCTTATAATAAAAGTCGATTAGATGGATGTTTTTTAAAATTTTATATGAAAAACAAACCATTTCAGTCTCAAGTACTGCTCATCTCGATGTCGATTGTAGGCGATTTCCGAGAGGGTCAATGCGATGATCAGCACAAAGAAAACGGCCAACAAACAGGATAGCCATGTCTGGAAATTACAAAATATTACAATAACATAAAAATAATCAAAAGATTTTCAGAATCTAGATTTAGATTTAGATTTAGAATAGATTTTTCTAGCAAAAAAACTGACCCTAAACGGTCCTTTATGCACTTTTTTCTGTTGAACGACAGGCGGTGGAGAGACCTGAGCGGTTGCTTTTGGCTCAACAATCACCGATCCAATTTCTACCTGAAATTGTATGAGATAAGTTTTGATATATAAAAATATCTATCATAAGAATTTTCTGCCTACCTTTTCATCCAAATTCTTCGTCTTTTCCTTCTCGTCGAGGCCCACCGTGAAGACCTTCATTCGTGGTTGGTGGACCTGGAAATTATTGTTTGTTTTGTTTTAAAGAGGACACTTTAAATGATAGAAAACTATATAAAATTCGATAAAATTCGATAAAATAATAACAAATATATATTTATATAAGATTCAATTTGATTAGAGCACAAAATCCTAAGAAAATCAAGTCAGATCACATTGTTCTCTCACAATTTGTCCGTTTGTTTGGTTAGCTGCTTGTTTAATCAGCAAAACCCTCAGAAAGCGGACCTTGTGAATACCTTCAATCGATTCCCCGTCCCCGAAAACCCCTGGGTACAAATTTACAGCTGAATATCTTCTTTCTAGACCATCTACAAAGTGGAAGAGAAATCTCTATGTAAATGGCGAGGTGTTCTTTGTGCGCCCCCACAATCGCTCGCTTTCTGGCACATCGTCCCGGTAGATAGGTGTTCCTTTTTGGACTCTTTTTGGACTTTTTGGACTTCTGTGCGGTCTCCAACTGGCACACTCCCCCGATAGATAGGTGTTCCCTTTTCGAAATCGTAAATTTAGTGACAAAAATTTGTTCAACGTCAAAAAATCTATCGGAATTGAATCAAAAAGAATTTAAAAGGTTTGCATTGAAATTTGAATGAATTCGAAAAAAAATACTGTAACTATCCAATACGTGTGTTTCGGTTAGGGAAAAATGACAGAATCCACTTATCGACGTGTGAGGAAAAGGAGGAAAAAAAGGAGAAGGAGGAAAAGGAGAAGAACTGGTTGTGGTTGAAAGAGACAAAAAAAGAAGAAAGAAATAGAAGAAGAACTCACCAAAAAAAAAGGAGAATGGACAAGGTGGGGGAGTTAGAATGAATGAAAGGAAAGGGGGGAGTGGAGGGGAGACTCGAGAATGGCTCGGCAAGGTCACCGGTGAGGACCATCATCCAGCAAAAGTGAAGAACAAAAAGATGCACTTTTTCGTGTTGTTCGATAATTTGCGGGACTGCTTAGTTCAAATTTTCAATTTCTACAGTTTTAACAGTTGTAGTTGGAAAGTGTTCTATCTCTAAAGACAATGGAGTTAAAAGACAAGGCAATGGAGTTAAAAACTTAGAATCAAAAGAAAATAGCAATTAGAATAGGAAGGAAATGAACTAGAATAGTTAGAGAGTTTTTCAGTGCACAATTTGGAGGCACTTCTATTTGTTAGACAATTTGGGAAAACACAGCTTTACCTCTTCTAATCTCAGCTCTAATAATCCAGTTTTGATTCATTCACTTCATACTTTTATCTCTTGACGAAAGGAAATTAGGTACCGTAAATACTGTAATAGTACCCCAGCCCCATAATGACGGTGCGGAGTGTTGCGTCGTCTAGCTTTGAACGAGTTTTTCTCGACACTGGTTTATGTTACAATGCGTGCTTAGGTATCAAAAAATAGCCCTGAATTTCAGCTATTTTTTGATACCAAAGACGCATTTTTTGAAACTACAGGCGCTTTGAAAAAAATGAAATACTAAAAAGCTTTTGCGGCTACGCGACTACGAGGGCGGTGGGGTGCTATTACAGTATTTACGGTAAGTTAATTGAAAAAATTTTGGGAAGAGAGCCTCTTATAACCCCCACAAAATTGCTTTCTAAAGTGCACCTTTGACGTCTGTCTAGGTTGTCACTAAGAACGTCTCGTAGTCTTAGCCTTTTATTTTCTTTTTACTGCCTCCCATTGTTTTTCTACATTGTATATGAATGAATTATTCGTTTTCGTTACTTTGATTAAACGTTAACTGTTATTTCACAAGCAAATCAATCACAACAGTCACATAACAGTATAACAGTCGCGACGATCTACTACAACAATCAAAGTATTCTCCCGTGCATTAATTTCCCTTGTTTTTCTGTGCCACACCTCCTGGCCCACTTGCGGTGACATTCACAAAATGAAAAAATGATTCACCTCTTTCTTTTTGACTTTACATCTCTTAATCACCAATTCCCAACTCAAAGTTTAATGGGTGACTAGTTTTTCCGTTTCTTTTAAAGAAAAAAGTTTTCATTTTCATTGTCATTGCCAAATTGCATTAAGAGAAAAGAAAATAGCAAGCGGTCATTCAGGAAAAAGTGAATCATTTTGAAGAGGCAATCTCAAAAAGTCACTCACTCACTCACTCAAGTTTCTTAGAAAAGAAAAGAACAAACTGGTTGGTTTCTGAAGGCATTGATCAATGATATCTAGCATATCCAAAGCTCTGAAGCTCTGAAAATTACTATCAAAGCATTCGAATCATTCAAAACCGATCGATCGAATTTGTAACAAACTGTTCAGTAAGTTGAATTGTGATGTGTTGAATGAATGTTAATTTGACCTTGTTGCTTGCCTGAAGTTCGTCTCTTTCTTTCGTCTTTTTGAATCACTTGAACCCACTGAAGGGGTTGGAAATGCGAAAAATCGGTAAAATCGGTTAAAATTTGAAATTTTTCTTTTGCAAAGAAAGTTTTCTCGCTAAAAACATTACCTCGAGATTGGGATTTGAAAGAAAATCATAGGAAATTATGATTTGTTCTCAAGAGTTTACAAGAAGATAAATGGGGGTTGAGGGAAATCAGTTTTGTCAAAGTGATCAAGCAAATATTAGCTTAATGTACTTATGTAGACTTTTGAGTACTAGGCCGGTGTGAAGACAGTTTTTTTCGGACTACGTAAGCCCAGAGCCAGACTAGAAGCCTGGTAGCCGAACTATAAGGTTTTTGCAACAAAATCAGATCCTACCCTGCAGAAACAGCTTATCAAAGTTCTGGATTCGCCAAAAATTAGGCCTGGACCTGCCTAGGCCTATCTTGCGACCCTAGGACCTGGTTGAAACACCTCTCAAACCCTGGCGCTAGTTGAATATCATTTAAAAGACGATAAACTCTTAGACCAGTTCAGGCTATCTTGTAAACCAGATAAATCAGAATTGAAAAAGTTTCAAATATCTCAATATATTCTTGAAAAAGAATAGCTCTTCTGACACAAGAAACTCTACAAAAAAAAGCTCAAAACTGATCCCCGAGGCCCTTTCCACTCGAAAGTTGGTTCAATTCCCCAATTGGAAAGATCTCGAAACGATCGAATGGATAGAATCGGGAAAGATTGAAAAAAACGAGAGTCGACAATCAAAAGAAAAGACTCGATTGAGAAAAGGGAAATGGGATGAATGGAGTGCCGATGAGGGGAAGAAAGGGGAAGAAAGGGGAAGAAAGGGGGAGAAGGGACCCTCATCCACACCCACAAATGGATCGGGAGATGGGGAAGAAATGAATTTCGATCTTGAAAACAACAATGAATAGCTCCAATCGATTCTTCAACCCCGAAAACCCCTGGGTATCTTGGTGCCATCTACAAAAAAAAGAAGAAACATTCCTGTGTAAATGACTGGCGAGGTGTTCTTTATGCTTTCTGCTAATCGCTCGCTTTCTGGCACATGGCCCTGATACATAGGTGATCCCTTTCTGAATTTCAGTCTTTCCTTCTGAATTTCAGTCTTTCTGAATTTCATCACTTTCGCGCGTCTGTAACTCCCTTGTCTTTACCGTATTTCTAAATATTAATATTACCATTGTGTAGCCCTTGAAAAGAGCTTTCAGAAGATGTTACCGAATTCTCAGTTCCCAATAAAGTCAGAATCCAGTCACAATGCGATCCAAAAGTATACCAATTCGAAAAGCTTTTACACACATAAATCAATGTGAATCTTTTGGATTAAAAGAGAGAAAGAAAAGTATAGATAAAAGGATTTTAAAATAAATACAATTGTTACAAAATATATTTTTAGAATAGATAGCGCAGAACTCAAAGATCCTGGCTTCAGAATATTCTGTAAGGCACAGGTGGTGCGTTTGAATGAGATGTGAAAATAACCGGAAAGAAATCGACTGTTGGGAAATGAGGAGCGAAAGGATGAAGTGAAGGAAAAGGGGTGTGGATGGGGTCCGGTGAAGGGAAGGGACACCGAGGGGGTCCCGTGGACAGTCAACGACGCGCACGGGGACCAGTCCTCCCTCTGGACATCAATCCCAAACGCCTTCGGCGCCATCCTTTCCCCTCTTTTCGTTGCATTGGCACTTCGGGGTTCTTCTCCATTTCTGCTATTTCCTTTTTCTTCTTCTCGATTCACTTCCGTCCCAACCTATCCCTTTCCTCTCTCTTTTTTTTTCGTTTCTTCTCCTTCCGTCAATCTCATAATTTTCCGTGTTCTCATTTCCCGATTTCGGCAAACACTTGTAGCGGATCGAGGATTGGTTTTTGAGAAACAGTAGAATTGGAAAAAAGCTGTAGATTGGGGATTGGATTAAGTTGATTAAAATAAAAATAGTTTAAAAAACAAGATTGTTAGCAAGAATGTTAGCATTGTTAGATCTCAGGTATCGTAAATTTTAGACGGCTGGGTAATTCGGTAAGAATTGGACAGCTAGGTAACTCGGTAGGGAATTGGACAGCTAGGTAACTCGGTAGGGATTGGACAGCTAGGTAACTCGGTAGGGATTGGACAGCTAGGTAACTCGGTAGGGATTGGACAGCTAGGTAACTCGGTAAGGATTGAACAGCTAGGTAACTCGGTAAGGATTGGAGAACAAAAATAACCATGCAAAAGATTGCGAACATTATCTTCTTTAGTTAGAGTAGACGAAGAAAATCTTTAGTCAGAGTAGACGAGCTAAATCGATCCTAAAGCTTAGGATCGATTTAAATGCATGGAAAAGCTCAATGAAAACACATTATTAGAAATGAAATGGAATAAGCATGCTGAAGAATGAGTCTTTTCATCTCTCCACTCTTCCCCCAACTCATCCCTGTCTTACTCATCATCCAGTTCTCTTTGTTTTCACACCGGGGTGCACCCCCAAAGGTAAAACAAATCGTCGTCACGTCAAGCTTTCCAACAATGAGTCACAGTTTGAATGTTTGAATTGGTGTTGCGTCAAAAATTTGATTATTTATTTGACTGTGAAAGTTGAGAAATGATTAGGAACTTGTTTTGGTTCTTAAGCCAAATCTTAATCAGCCAAATTTGAGTTAATTTAGTTCCACTAAACTTGAAACCCAAAGCACAAGTCAGCTTTGCCTTTCTCGATAAACTTACATTGTTATATTGTTATTTATATTCTTCAAAAATACAAGAATCAAAATTCATGAAAAAAAAAATGGTATATCCGGATGGTTTGAAGGATTCTCGACGAGTGATTTGACATTTATGTATCAAGGATTGGGGAAAAGGACTGGACAAGGATATTTGTGGAAAGGAGAAAAAGAGAAGGGGACATCCCGTGTGATCGTCAAGTGGATGGCGTGTTTGAGAGAAATCACACAACACACAGCCACAGAAACAAGAAGCGACATCAGTGGGTTGGCCACAATTATAGCGCCGTACTTTAGAGGGCCTAGATTGGATCAATCGTTGGACTAGCGCCGTACTTTAGAGGGCCTAGATTGGTCAAAATTGGTGGTGATTTTTTGTGAGCAATCGTTGTGATTTTTCTGCAAGTAAATCTTAAGTATGCCTCCTGGAACGGTGGCCATTATCTAAACGATTTCGAACCGTTCAACTTCTTTTCTATGACCTTCCAAAGTTGAGAGCTAAGAGCTGAGAGCTAGAGCCGAGTTTCGCTACTTTATGGGATATTGGAAACATTATTGAATACCAGTTACTCGTTTGAGCTTTAGATTTAAGCAGGCAAAAAAGTTCTCAAAACCGATCACGATGAACTTGGAACATTTGGATTCAGCCATTTGGATCAGCTAAACTTTTTCTCAGTAAAGGAAACTAAACCTTTATTAACGAGATCTTAAATATCATTCTAGAGGATTGACCGATGGTCGTTTAGAGTTGAAAATCTTTTAATTCAAATCTTTTTCTATCTTTCTAACTATTCTACTAATCAATTTTCGAATTTAGTATGAATTTTAAATCAAAAAGTCTCATATCTTCTTATCAAATTCATAAGCGAACCTCTTTTCCCCCATCCTCTCCCTCCTCTTCATCATACAAACGATTTGGATGACCGTTTAGAGTTGAAAATCTTTTAATCCAAATCGTTTTCTATCTTTCTAACTATTCTACTGATCAATTTTTGAATTTAGTACGAATTTTAAGCAAAATAAAGTCTCATATCTTATCAAATATCAATCAAACATAAGCGAACCTCTGTTTTCCCATCCTCTCCCCTTCTCTTCATCATAAAAATGATTTGGATGGTCGTTTAGAGTTCAAAATCTCTTTCTATCTTTCTAACTATTCTACTAATCAATTTTCGAATTTAGTACGAATTTTAAGCAAAAAAAAGTCTCATATCTTATCAAATATCAATCAAACATAAGCGAACCTCTGTTTTCCCATCCTCTCCCTCCTCTTCATCATACAAACGATGCCACGGGAACTTCATCAAAATTTGTAAAAAAAATTCGAATGCTATCGAAATAGTAGTTCGGAAATAGTTGTTTACACGTTTTTAATGTTAACCCGACTGATGGTTGAGGGCTATTACCAAAATCCGCTCTTTTCCCCTCAGCTCTCTTCCGACAATCAACCCTCACCCCCTTTTTTGACAGAATCGCTAAGCCAAAGGTTTTTTTGAGAAAACTGGTTTTCCCCTACACAATGGAAAACTTTTTACTTTTCACAAATTCAAATAGACTTTGGGGAAATCTTTTCATGGATTAGTGTGAGCTGACAAGTTGATTTTGAAACTTTTCACTCCTCTCAAAAGTCTTCAATGGTTTAATGGCTAAGCGTTTGGTCTCCTGATCCGATCAACGGGGTTTCGGTTCCAGTGTTGGACCAGACTTTTTGCACTTTCGATTTATCGGGCAAGAGACTTGACGGGAAACGCCAAAATGGGCGTTTTTGTGTTGCGTTTCGGGAAAATATTGACAGCAATGTGAAAAGGTGAGAAAAGTGAATGGAAAGTGTGCAAATATGAATATTGATATTGAAAAATTTATCTGTAGTACGGGTAAAGAAGCTATCTGTAGTACGGGTAAACAAGCTAACAAGATACTTCAATGTTTTGAATGTTTTGAATAGGTAAATGTTTGAAACTTTTCCCGAAACGCAACACAAAAACGCCCATTTTGGCGTTTCCCGTCAAGCCTCTTTTTTTTTAATGTTTAACATCAAAGCAAATCTTAAATTAAACATATAAAAGGTGTAAATGAAAGATATAAACCAGAAGAAATCATCAAGAAATGTAGAGGCAAAATTTTGAACAAATTCCCATCATAAAGCATCATTTAGACAACCTTGATCCACTTGGAGTGGATGGGGATTGAGGGTATTGTTGGAGAAGGATCGGAGAAGGATTGGAAAGAGAAAAACAATGGTTTAACCATTTCAATTCCTCTTCAATAGAGCCGGACAATTGCCTTCTTTTTCTCTTTGATTTTTTTTCTGCCGAAATCCCTTCTAGTGGTCATTTTCTTTTGGAAAGGCAACGATTTTCTTCCACGTTAGAAACGCCAAACAACGATAAGTGCTTGGCTTTTTTTTAGGCAATGGGAACGGTAGTCAGGGTCTTTAAATATAGGGATCTTTGATCTCTGAATCCCGAAACGATAGTGTATTACAAAATGTAATCCCCTTTCTCTAACTAGCAATTGTAGAATTAATCTTAAAGCAAGGTTCATTATCCTAACTATATTCGCTAAATTCATGGGCAAAAGAAGCTCAAATCCTAGCAAATCCTATTCTAGCAAATAAAGCTTTATACCCAAATCAATAGTTGAAAGGATAGACTGATATAAGGATAGACTGGTATAAGGATAGACTGATATAAGGATAGACTGGTATAAGGATAGACTGGTATAAGGATAGACTGGTATAAGGATAGACTGGTATAAGGATTGAAGGAATTGGGATAGACGATATAAGGATAGACTTTCGGTATAAGGATAGACTGATATGAACCCCGGAGCAATCCCGGAGCAAGCCATGAGAAGCAAGTTCTGTGGAAGGAATCCCCCGGAGCAATCCCGGAGCAATCCCGGAGCAATCCCGGAGCAATCCCGGAGCAATCCCGGAGCAATCCCGGAGCAATCCCGGAGCAATCCCGGAGCAATCCCGGAGCAATCCCGGAGCAATCGCTCTACCCATTGAGCTATCCGCTACCTTAACTTGCCAAGAGAAAGAAGGAAAGACAAGAGGATAAGCTACAAATCAGCTTATATTTAGTGAAAGGGAAAGCTTCTCGTGAAGAGGAAAGCTACAAATGATGATGGGGATTGGGTGTAAACGATCTAGATGAAAGCGGAAGAGAAGGGGAAAAGAAAATGGAGGATAAGAAGGACAAGAAAAGGGGGGAAGGAGGACTGGATACAAGTTCTTGTATATCACAGAATACAGGGAAAAGTGTGATTCATGGTGTGGGATTTGTGGAGGGATATGGGATATGAGGTGGGAATGGATCTAGCAACCAGTTCCGATGACATCCCCATCCGCAGCCAGGAATCTAGATCGAATGTGCGGCAAAAAAACAACTGGGAAGTGTCTGTTTGGAGAATGAGAATCACTTTATCTTTCACATCTTCACTTTCATTCACTTTACATGGATCATCTCTACGAAATTTCATTCGTCTATCTGCCCCTTCCTCTATTACAATGATTCGATAATTGCTAGCTAGCTTTATCTGATTAACTATGAGACGCATACTGTAAAGTGAACTGTAGACAGTAAATGCTGTATACTGTACATGTATTCAATCAATTAAACAGCTTATTAACGAACTGGAATGGCACCAGCTCGAAGTTCAGAACCGCTTCGTGAGAATGCATCTCATAGAATCGGTTATGCTGCTTCTGAATCTGTAAAAATTATCTCCAAACACTCACGCAATCGCAAGCAATCCGGCATAGAAAATTCTCTTAAATGTCGGACTCTTTATAGGGTTGCCACAAAGAAGCTGCCACATAAGGCTGCCGCAAAGAAGCTGCCACAAAGAAGCTGCCACAAAGAAGCTACCACAAAGAAGCTGCCACATAAGGCTGCCACAAAGAAGCTGCCACATAGGGCTGCCACAAAGAAGCTGCCACATAGGGCTGCCACTCCCAACGGCTTCTGTCTCTAGCGGATAGTGTGCTAGCCTGCGGAAATTATGAAGCTTTCTAGGCTTCGGTTCAAATCCCCCGCTGGCCAATTCTTTTTCTCATGTCTTTGCATTAAAGGTAAGGCTGCTGTAAATACTTACTATACTTTGCTAGACTGTGAACAGACAATGACTTAGTTATTTCGTTATTTAATGTCTAATTGCAAAACAAAATATCAATGTATAATATCTACAAAATAGTAAAACCCAAATTACCTTCATGTTTATCAGTTAATACATAAAATATCTGATTGTTTGCGTTAGAAATAGAAAATGAGCGAAATATTTGAAAATGAATGATTGACTGAAGAACTATTTTCATGCGAAACAACAAAACGGAAATAATAATCGACTCTATTTACACAGATTGGAAATTGGAAATTGGTTAGGCTAATATTGGGAATTGGTTAGGCTAAAAATGGGAATTGGTTGTTTGATTGATTTCTCGTTTTTTTTTTTGTTGTTCATTCTGGATTCGAGAGAAACGGAATTGAATTGGAAATGAATGGAAAAGAGAAAAGAGAAAGGAAAAGAGAAAGGAATGGTCGCGGAATTGAATGACCGGTTTGATCAAACAGATCCCTCTTTCCCCTGCAGGCATTGTCCTTCATTCTGGCCATTTGGAAAAAAAAATGTTGTTTGTTTATTGAGAAATTAGTTGAACAAAACATACGAAAATTGATTGTTCATTGGGCAAAACTTGCCAACAAATTAAACTTGCCAACAGAGCTTAAAACCCAGGCTAAAACCAGTTAGAAAGTAGGCTTTTAGGCTTTTAGTTTCGGAAAAACTTTAAACCTAATTGATGAATTGTTATTATGCATTTGGTAACTTGTTAATCACAGTTTTATATAGATTTTGTATATCTATTGAATATTTAGTTTAAAACAGCTCAAGAGCTCAAGAATTGGATCAAGAGCTCAAGAATTGGATCAAGAGCTCAAGAATTGGATCAAGAGCTCAAGAATTGGATCAAGAGCTCAAGAATTGGATCAAGAGCTCAAGAATTGGATCAAGAGCTCAAGAATTGGATCAAGAGCTCAAGAATTGGATCAAGAGCTCAAGAATTGGATCAAGAGCTCAAGAATTGGATCAAGAGCTCAAGAATTGGATCAAGAGCTCAAGAATTGGATCAAGAGCTCAAGAATTAGCTCAAGAGCTCAAGAATTGGATCAAGAGCTCAAGAATTGGATCAAGAGCTCAAGAATTAGCTCAAGAACTCAAGAATTGGATCAAGAGCTCAAGAATTGGATCAAGAGCTCAAGAATTGGCTCAAGAGCTCAAGAATTGGATCAAGAGCTCAAGAATTGGATCAAGAGCTCAAGAATTGGATCAAGAGCTCAAGAATTGGATCAAGAGCTCAAGAATTGGATCAAGAGCTCAAGAATTAGCTCAAGAACTCAAGAATTGGATCAAGAGCTCAAGAATTGGATCAAGAGCTCAAGAATTAGCTCAAGAACTCAAGAATTGGATCAAGAGCTCAAGAATTGGATCAAGAGCTCAAGAATTGGATCAAGAGCTCAAGAATTGGATCAAGAGCTCAAGAATTGGATCAAGAGCTCAAGAATTGGCTCAAGAGCTCAAGAATTGGATCAAGAGCTCAAGAATTGGATCAAGAGCTCAAGAATTGGATCAAGAGCTCAAGGATTGGATCAAGAGCTCAAGAATTAGCTCAAGAGACTTATTGCATACTGGATCAGCTAGCTCTAAGCTGTTGTATTCTTTCATTTTTACACAAATTCAAGTACGATTTGTAACTTTTTCAATTGAATATTCAATTGGAAAACTTTCTGGACTTCAAAGTAAGATAAAAACTAAGAAAAACTAAAAGTAACAGGAAAATCCTCGAGAAAAGAAAAAGACAAAATAGTGTTGGATAAAAGTCAAGAAACAAAGGCTTTTCAACAATGATTTGTCTTTTCAAAGAATTCCAGCCAATTGGTAGCCAATCTTTGATACCAAAACAAGTACCAAATACCATAACAGCTTGATCAAACAATAAAACTCGCAAGTTTTTACGATCTATCTACATGATAGTGAATGACTACTTCGCCTCAAAAACTCCCCAAGTTCTTCGAGGATGGGATCCGGGTTTTGCGCAGAAGATGGGAAGCAGCCATAGAAACTAATGGAGAATTAAAACAATCTTTGAAGAAATTGCTCAAACCGGAGAACACACAACGCAAACCCCACACTGCAAAGATATTATAAGAAAACGAGGAACTTGGCTGGAGTGCTCCCACTTGTTGCCCAAGGGAGTGCCCCACCTACACTCCCGACTTGGTTCCTTCGTTCCTTTTGTTTCGGTCCGCGCCCTTTGGAGGGGGGGTGCTCAGGTCAAAAAGCAATCAATGACTACTTCCCCAAAACTCCCCCTTCGGGGATGGAACCGGGGCGCAGAAGTGGGAAGGCATAGAACTAATGGAGAATACCTTTCGAATTGAAAGATCTTCTTTTGTGTTTTTTTTAAAATAAATGATTTGTTATATGAACGCGTCATTATTAAGTTGCCAGCCTAATAGCTATATGATAGTTTGTTCAAACCTGTGTCGGTGGTGTTTCTCGTTGAATACCAAGCACTCGCATGTTCAAAAATCAACCTCTTCGATCAAAAATTCGAATAAAAAAATTGCAATTTCTTTCTATCGACAGTTCAAAAGAAATTCTTTGAGAGAATTCTGTTCAAGGATTCTTTTTCAGGATTCTTTTCAACAAAAAAGAGAGAAAATTGACAGGATTTCTCTTCTTCTTTCCCATTTCCCTTTTCCAGATCTGTTTACCCTGTATTGAGATTGAAAAGGAAAAGAAAAGGCTTCAAGAAGTAAACTAAAATCGAAGAAAAAACGGTGAACTGCCAAACGGTTTTCATTTGATTTGTTTCTCTCCGAAATTTCTCCCAAAATTCTCAAGTAAATATCGATGATTTGTGAACAAATAGAAGCACTTAAAAAGCTGAATATCTTTAATTTAAAAGAATATTTAGTTATATAGATCATTTAGAATCATTTAGAATCATTTAGAATCATTTAGAATCATTTAGAAACAATTTAGAATCATTTAGAATCATTTAGAATAATTTAGATTAGAATAATAATTTAGATTTAGAAAATCTCTAAATTTGGTTCCCTATCGTTCTATTATGGTTCACGAGCTCTCTAAGCTTGGTACCTTAGCTTCCTAAATCTGAAACTTGCTTCCTTATTTCTCCAAATTTGGTTACTTATCTCTCTAAATTTGGTTCCTTATCGTTCTATCGTAGAATCATTTAGAATCATTTAGAACAATTTAGAATCATTTAGAATCATTTAGAATCATTTAGAATCATTTAAAATAATTTAGAATCATTTAGAATAATTTAGAATCATTTAGAATAATTTAGAATCATTTAGAATAATTTAGAATCATTTAGAATAATTTAGAATCATTTAGAATCATTTAGAAACAATTTAGAATCATTTAGAAACAATTTAGAATCATTTAGAATCATTTAGAATCATTTAGAACAATTTCCCTGTGGCAATGAGCTTTCAAAACCCCTTTCAATCTTCCGCGATCGGCTTTTGTCTCTCGCTCGCGCTATTCTCGACTTCTACAAATGTCAACTTTCAAAAGCTACAGTATACAACTTATACAATCTACTAATAGGTCTACTACTACTCTATAAAATCTACTACTACTAATACTAGGTAAACGAGAGATTAAACTTATTTAATGCATAAGTATCGATACTAAATGATAGCTAATTTTCGCCTGAATTAGGTCCAAAGTTTAGACTTTACCTAAAATCTTTCTTGACAACACTTCACCAAGAATTTACTGTAGCCGGGCCAGTTGCATAGCGATACTTACACAAGTTATAGTTAGTTACATTATAGTTGTCATAGTTAGTCATAGTTGCATTTCATAGCTACAGTAGGGCTATAAGAGGATACAGTAGGTTTCAGATTCTATAAGAGGATTCAGATTCACTTAAAGATTCACTAGCATAGAGGAAATCTTGTTCTTTCAAATCTTTCTTTCAAATCTTTCTTTAAAGTTTTTTTTTTTGGAAAAGCCCATATTTCCTCAATCATTTCTCAATTGAATATCTTATTGTCAAAAGAATTTTATGCTATTCAGGTATTCAGCTATTCAGCTGTGAATCTTTGTGAAGCAATCTTTGTGAAGCTATTGTCAAAAAACGATTCATTCAACCCGTGCAAAAAAAAAACCAATAGGAATACAAAAAAGAAAAGTGAAGAGATCTTGGTTTTTTTAGTTAAAATTAAAGATGTAAATCACGAAATTATGCAAATTTCTATAGAAAGCTATAAAAATATTCAGTTTAGATTAGTATTCAGTTGGGATTATTCATTTTTAATGCCATTTCCCTCTTCCATTTCGCTCAACATCGGCTGTGGATTGATGTCCGGTGCCGGGATGGTGTAACCCTCAAATTTGCATATTTACTATTAAATTTCTTATTAAACTTATAAATATTATTGTATTTAATAGTTTATTATTAAATTTATAATATATTGACTATTCTAAATATTCTAGCTTTACTTATGAGGAGAGACTTGCTTTTTTTGAACTAAAAACTTTACAGCATCGTCGCTTTGTCATTGATTTAGTCGAAACTTTCAAAATCCTCCGTTGTAAACAGATTAGCCCTTTGTTTATAGACTTTTTCAAATTTAAACCGCGGCCAGGGCCCAGAAGTGGCTCATTCCTTTTGCAAATTCCCTTTGCTTCCAATGCCTCTTTATCAAATTCATTTCCCGTTAGAGCCGCTAGATTATGGAACTTGCTCCCAAACGACATACGAGAAATTCAGTCGCTTTTCATATTCAAGAAACGTATCGATGCTTTAGATCTAGTGGCTCTTTGCCGTAAGTAATTGGCTTATTGATTTCAGTATGTATTGTATGATTAAGTATCACTGTGCATTTCTCTATGATTTCTTTCACTTTATCGTTTGAATAAAGTATTATTATTATATATTTACTTCCATAAAATAAGGCATTTCTTTGAAATGTACTGTGCTAAAAATGAAAAACACTCGATTTTCTTTTCATCAACTTATTTCTTCTATCGAAATTTATAAGAAATATTGAGGAATTTCGTGCAATAGGAGAGCTGTTTTACCGCCTTTTAGCACAAAGGACACTTAAAGAACAAGTGAACAAGTTCTAAGTGAAAAAAAAAAACGCTCTTTCTAGTGCATTGATTCCTTGTTTTCTTTCGAGAATGCATTTAGCACGTCAAGAAGGATGCGTTTACAGTCAGAGCACAAAGTCCGTGCAATTTTCACCTTTTCGTGTACTCTTTTGTGCGCAAAACTCTTTGTACTCTTTGTACTCTAGAAACACACTCATCCTAGTGCACTGAATCTTTTGTTTTTTTCTCGCGGCAACGATTTGAGCAAGAGCAAATGAGGAATTCAGCGCATCAGAAAGGGCATGCGTTTCCAGAAGGCTCATTCATTTTCTGTAACCTTTTGCTCGTTCCAAATCTGCAACGGTGTGAAATATCGTCGCATCGCTTTCTCAGAGGCGATCAGCTTCAATCTGTAACCATTTAAAGTCTCAATTTCTTTCAAATTTTCTATTCACTTTAGATTCCATATCCTTTTCGAGTCTGATCTTCTCCTAGAATAATTAGTTGCTTTTTTTTTGCAGTAAAATTAGTCAAAAACCTAGGGTTAGTAGATTTAAAAGAAAAGTTAATGATTTAGATTTTTAAGTGATCGTTTTCTCTCTAGTTCCCTCATCCACCTTGTTCTCTAGTCAGGCCTAAAGCCTCACATATTCTCCAGTTCCTCCTCGAAAAATCCCTGCAAAATATCTAGTGGGTTATGATTTAAAAAGCTCAAAAAGCTTAATAAATAAAAGAAAGATATTCAGAATCGAAGACTGAATATCTTATTAATGAAAGATGATTGAAACCATTATGAAAAATCAGAAGATCAAACTTTCAAATGTCGATTAATAATCAATTTTTTTTTGACTAAGTACTGTTATTTATTAGTAAACTATAAGTCTCACGAATACCTGACAAGCATCGACAAGCATCGGATTATAAGTCTCACGAATACCTGACAAGCATCGGATTATTGATCTCTGGCACTCCGGACACCCAATCCCAGTCCTTTTTGTCCCAAAGCTCGTGCCCGAAAAAGGCCCGCGCGTTCGCTTCGGAGAGTTTAGTCGCGTACTCCTGAAATCTTTCTAGATTTATCATCATCTAATCATAAATTTACTATTTACCTGAAAACTAGTAGAAGCCTCTTTTTTTGAGCTTTTTAAATCATAACCCAATTGATATTTTGCAGAGACTTTTCGAGGAGGAACTTGAGAATATGTGAAACTTTAGGCCTGGCTAGAGAACAAGGTGGGTGAGGGAACTAGAGAGAAAACGATCACTCAATGTTCGGAGAACGATTTCAAGTGAAGAGAAGAACCACTCAACTCTTCCCAAAAGCGCAAGGTCTATTCAGAGCTCAATTAGAAGCTATCAAATAAGTCATGGGTTTTTCTGCAAGTATCAAGTTCTTGCATTGCCCTGTGGCTTCTATTAGAATAATTACGGTACTCTTGCTTTCTAATTCTAATTTTGGGTCTAATTTCGGGTCTAATTTAGTCTAATCACCGTATAGCGATAGTACCGAATTCATCAATCTGATATCAGTCGAGAATCGAGTCTTATTGATCTGCTACTTACTACGATTTTAAAAACAAATCCAATACGTTATTTGTTCTTCTTGTAATCCTTTTCTAAACCCTGTCAACCCTGCCAACTTTCAAGTCTACCGTAATCTCAGTGCATCGACATTTTAGAAAAAAAACATAAACATTAGCTGAAACTTCGAATTGAAACCTTTGCCACCGAGTCGAAATTCTTCTTCTCTTCATTCTTGTACATTTCCACGTATTGACGTTGCACCATCGTGTACTTATCAAACATTCGAATTGAGCACATTGCTGAAATCTATTACTATAAAGATACTATAAAAGAATCTACATTATCTACAGTAACCCTATCAAAATCTCCTTTTGAATCAACTCACAGGCAAACGCTAGCAATCCATAAACGATCAGGATTCCCCAAGCTATGATCTAAAATTTGTATTTAAAATATCTATTATAATAGTATTATAATATCTATATATATGTCGTAGCCGATTATGAATGAGTGGATCTAGGCACGTCCAACCATCAAGTGTTTAAAGAGGAAACCAAAGAGGAACAAAATCTGTACGGAAAAGGAACCAAAGAAGAACCAAAGAAGAACCAAATCTGTACCAAAGAAGAACCAAATCTGTACCAAAGAGGAACCAAATCTGTACCAAAGAGGAACCAAATCTGTACGGAAAAGGAACCAAATCTGTACCAAAGAGGAACAAAATCTGTACGGAAAAGGAACCAAATCTGTACGGAAAAGGAACCAAATCTGTACGGAAAAGGAACCAAATCTGTACCAAAGAGGAACCAAATCTGTACCAAAGAGGAACAAAATCTGTACGGAAGAAGGAACCAAATCTGTACCAAAGAAGAACCAAATCTGTACCAAAGAGGAACAAAATCTGCCGTGTCCAACCATCAAGTGTTTAGTATCATTCAACGCAGAATCATTGATAAATAACAATTGCCATGAGACTTTGCTACAGTACTCCTACAGTAACCTACAAAACTCTATAACCACAGTAAGCTTAGCTACAGTTTCCCTAGCCCTTATGCAGTACTAAATGTTTTATATGTTGTAGCCGACTATGAATTTCAGCCGATTATGAATGCGTGGATCTAGGCGCGTCTAACCATCAAGTGTTTAGTATCATTCAACGCAGAATCATTGATAATTATGTCAAATTTTCTAAATTAGAAATATTGGATAAAAAGAAAAAAATTTACGGGGCCTCAAAGTTTTCTTCTCTCAAACAAACAGTTTTTTCGCTCTAATTTTTTTTTTTTTTTAGCAAATCTTTTTAATTTAAAAAATTTAACATAACTATCAATAATTCTGCGTTGAATCATACCAAAAACTTGATGGTTGGACACGGCAGATTTGGTTCCTCTTTGGTACAGATTTGGTTCCTTTTCCGTACAGATTTGGTTCCTTTTCGGTACAGATTTAGTTCATTTTCGGTACATTTGGTTCATTTTCGGCACAGATTTCATTCCTTTTCGGTACATTTGATTCACTCATTCATAATCGCCTGAAATTCATAATCGGCTACGGGGACCGATTTTGAATAAAACGCTGTAGCGCTCGCAATTTTTAACCTAAACTCACAAATTTGATACCAATCGAATTTAATTCGCTACAAAATGATCTAATATTGTCCTTACCGTATTTTCTCAAATAGTAGTGCACCCTAAGCTTTGCCTAAATTCTCCGAAATCCCGAGAACCGCTTATCAGAACCTATCGATGTGGGGTCGGAAAATGTAGCTGACGATGAGATCTAATGGGGGATTAGAGTGTTGAGCTTCTGCAAAAGCTTGGAAACCGTAAAATAGTCACCAAATCGGCTCGCCGGGGTGCACTACTATTAGAGAAAATACGGTATACATTAAAGGGTTGACCTAATAAAAAGGTTTGCCAAAAAAGAAATTTCATTCATAATCGGCTACATAATCATAATTTCATTCAAATAATAAATTTATAGATTTAATATCTAAAATATATCTAAAACTATTAGCTTTTAAATTTTAAATGCAACTCAAAAACAAGCCTGTGACTGTGCTTCAATATACGCTGAATCAGAAGCGCCCATATGACAAATACAATCGGGACAGTACTAAAATCGAATTTGAATTTGAATATAACTTAGATTTTTATCTTTCCAAACCTTTCCACCATCACTCATCATATCGTAATTAGCGGATGTTTTATAAAATGCCAAAATTGTCGCATTTTTGCACTGAATCGCGTCCTCCATCATGCAGAAATGCGCAGCGCGATAACAAGTGAAATAGCTGAAATTTAGAGAAATTTATCTAAAGGCTCGAATTTAGTTATTAGAATCGAACTATCTTATTGATAAGAGCTAACTTATTGATAAGAGCTAACTTATTAATGCAAATAAAGCCAACCCTCCATCGAGAAAAACGACGAACAGCCAGGCGATTGGCGCCACCGACGCCTGCGCGATCACCTCCGTCCATGAATAACACGTCGTTTTCCAGGAATGCCTCGTTTTTGGGTGTCTACAAATCTCGTTTAACTCGTTTATTCTTAGAAAACAAAGAAATAGCGGGATTTTTGAAATCAAACTTCTCTAATTGTGAGACTATTGGATTTTCTAAAACTTTTCTCAAAAGATCCGAATTTTCGTGAAGAACCCAAATTTGTACCCAATATAAACCAGCAAAAATTGGTTTTTTGCTTGGTTTTGATCTGAGTTCTGAGTCTTGTTTGTACAAGTACAAGCGTTAGTACAAGTACAAGTGCTAGTACAAGTTTTGAGTCTTGTTAGTACAAGTACAAGTGCTAGTACAAGTTCTGAGTCTTGTTTGTACAAGTACAGTGCTATAGTTCTGGTCTTTTAGTACAAGTACAAGTGCTAGTACAAGTTCTGAGTCTTGTTTGTACAAGTACAAGTGTTAGTACAAGCTCTGAGTCTCGTTAGTACAAGTACAAGTGCTAGTACAAGTTTTGAGTCTTGTTAGTACAAGTACAAGTGCTAGTACAAGTTCTGAGTCTTGTTAAATTGAGTTACCTAAACACACATCCATGTGATAGCCTCCAAGTGGTCGAGTTCAACATGATCCCAATGATTAGCAAAGCGATTGATGGACCAACCTGGAAATGTTTTACAATTGTAGACTCTATGATTCTGTATATGCTTTTTATTCTTCTTTATTCTTCATTTATGTACTATTGGTACATTTTTTATCAATTGTATCAATCAATCTCAATTCTATCAATCAAAGATTCTTTAAAACAAACCATGAAAATTAGCGAATGAATCTCGTTGAGTGGATAGGCACATGGACAGGTGAAAGTCAACTTTCGAATGATCTGGGAAAAAGAATTTGATTGGAAGGTTGTTGGATTATATTATCCAGACATTATACAGACAATTCGATTGTTAGGCAATGTTCAGTAATGTAATTAATGAATAGAGTAATCTAATCAATGAATAGAGTAATCTAATCAATGAATAGAGTAATCTAATCAATGAATAGAGTAATCTAATCAATGAATAGAGTAATCTAATCAATGAATAGAGTAGTCTAATCAATGAATAGAGTAGTCTAATCAATGACTAGAGTAATCTAATCAATGAATAGAGTAATCTAATCAATGAATAGGGTAGTCTAATCAATGAATAGAGTAATGTAATCAATGAGTAGAGTATTTCTTGTTCAGTAATCTAATCAATGAGTAGAGTATTTCTTTCAAAAAGCTTTAATTTATAACTTTTATTTGTTCAATGATGTCGGAGTTGGCAAAAGAACAAATTTCTAGGCTAAGCCAAAATTTTATACTAAATCTAACAATAAAATACTAGGGCAATACCAATTGAAATCCTTTAACTTGACTTTCTCCAAACCCACCGATTGTCCTCCAATCGTTGTCACAATGAGAATCGTGTTGAGCAAAGTTGTGCCCTGATTCGAGAAAAGATTCGTGAACACTGTCACCACCGAGTTGATATTTGCAGACATTTGTTATTTGCAGTTATTTTTTGCGTAGCATTCAAAAGACTAAAAGCATTTCTACAAGGAAAAGAAAAGACTTTATTGAACTATCAAAAAGAATAGACAAAACAAAATAGATTCGGTGATCATTTTCTTCTTGGTTTTAGCTTTGATCTTTAATGCTTCACTTGCATAAGATATTTGCTTAAGAAAAGACTAAAAAAACAACAGAAACCTTTGAGTTTTATGTAAAAGAACTTTAAAAAAATTAAAGCTTAGCTGAGCAGAACAAAAATTGAAAAGCGGTAAGCTAAAGGGGTAAGCTAAAGGGGTAAGCTAAAGGGGTAAGCTAAAGGGGTAAGCTAAAGGGGTAGACTAAAGGGGTAAGCTAAAGGGGTAGACTAAAGGGGTAAGCTAAAGGGGTAAGCTAAAGGGGTAGACTAAAGGGGTAAGCTAAAGGGGTAAGCTAAAGGGGTAAGCTAAAGGGGTAAGCTAAAGGGGTAAGCTAAAGGGGTAAGCTAAAGGGGTAAGCTAAAGGGGTAAGCTAAAGGGGTAAGCTAAAGGGGTAAGCTATTCTCTATTATATATTTCTTATTAATATTAAAGAAAAACTTTATTGAACTATCAAAAAGAATAGACAAATCAAAATCGATTCGATGATCATTTTCTTCTTGGTTTTAGCTTTGATCTTTAATCTTACATGCTTCACTTGCATATTTGCTTAAGAAAAGACTAAAAAAACAACAGAAATCTTTGAGTTTTATGCAAAAGAAATAAGAATAACATGAACAAGTATTAGAAAAGAAATGATTTTAGGAAAATTGCCATATCTATCATATCTATCATTTCTTTCATATCATCTAAACAATTTCAAAAACGAATTTGACTAGTTAAAGGATAAGATATGATTATTGTTGATAGAAAAAGAAAACCCTCAATATTCTTTCTTTTTTAAATTATAATTAGAGCTTTTACATAGCAGAAGAGAACTAAGGGATCATCGAAAAGTCATAAAGTTTGAATCGCAAATTGTAATTGGATAAGAAAAAGTAGATTGGATCAGAAAAAGCTAATAGCTAAAAAGCTAATAAAGCTAATAGATAATAGCTAATAAAACTAAAAGCTAATAGGGCTAATCGAGCTAATAAAACTGGATTTAGGTTTAATTTGTTTTTAGCTTATATGTCGTAGCCGATTATGAATGAGTGGGTCTAGGAGCGTCCAACCATCAAGTATTTAGTATCATTCAACGCAGAATCATTAATAATTATGTTAAATTTTTTAAATTAGAAAGATTGGATAAAAAGAAAAAAAATTATGGGGCCTCAAAGTTTCCTCTTGAACAAACAGTTTTTTTGCTCTAATTTTTTTTCTTTTTATCAAATCTTTCTAATTTTAAAAATTTAACATAATTATTAATGATTCTGCGTTGAATGATACCAAATACTTGATGGTTGGACGCGTCCGGACCCGCTCATTCATAATCGGCTGAAATTCATAATCGGCTACGGGGGTCCCGCCGATTTTGAATGAAACGCTGTAGCGCCGGTAATTTTTAACCTAAACTCACAAATTTGGTACCAATCGACGCAGAATTTAATTCGCTACAGGATGATATAATATTGTCCTCATACATTAAAGGGTTGCTCTACTAGAAAGATTTACCAAAAAATTTCATTCATAATCGGCTACGACATATATAAAAAGCATCAAACATTACCCAAACATTACCAAATTTCTCAAGGATTATGAGAAGAATGAGATGAGATGCACAAATCTCATACGAGAATGAGATGCAAATAAGAATAAGGAAAGAATAAGGAAAGGATAAGGGGATAAGGAAAGGATAAGGAAGGATAAGAAAAGAATAAGAAAAGGATAAGAAAAGGATAAGAAAAGAATAGGAATAAGAGCATAGTACTAAAAAAGAGTATTTAGAAGATTCTCCTAACAATTATGAAATGAAATCCACACAAACACTAACGTCTAGCAGCTGGGGGAAAGGGATGTCAAACGTAAACAACCACAATAAAAAGAGACTGAGAATCTCCAAAGAGGAAAAAGAACTCACAAATAAGGACAAGTAGAGAAAAAGATTCGAATTCTGGGAAAACAACTTCTAAAAGCTAGCTTGAAAAGTGAAAAAGCTGGATCTTATTTCCCAAGAAATGACCTAAAAATATTTGCGTGAACTGGTTCATTTTTTGAAAATCTTTTGATTTATATCTTTGATCGGCTCTTTTGATTAGCTCTTTTGATTAGATTACTCTTATATCTATTGGGTTGGTGGAAAAGTCCTTTCGGATTTTTTGGGAGAGTACCTTAAATTTGTCCAATTTTGACGTTTTATTTTGACTCATCCTAAAGCTGAATTCAAGACGGATCGATTGGTAAAAACCGTTTTGAGATATCTCTTTTCTAAAAGTTTTTACAGCTATTTTAGTAAAGGTCGGCAGAGCCAAAAAATGGCTGTTTTCACGTTTCGTTAGTTTTCCGTGCAGAAACCTAGGCTAAAAACATGTGTTTCGTGACCAGCGTCAAAAATAACCCCTAGACACAAATTTTCAGAATCTCAGCAAAAAATTTTTGAAATTATCGTCGCCGGTGGAAGTCGAACCAGCGACCCTCAGATCAATAGCCTTTCCGCCGCTTTTCGCGATTTTCTCGTTTTTTTTTGTTTTATCATTGTTTGATGTTGTTAGAGGGCTTTTTTCAGGGTACAAAAGAAAGAAAAAAAAAGAAAGAAAATCGCGAAAAGCGGCGGAAAGGCTATTGATCTGAGGGTCGCTGGTTCGACTTCCACCGGCGACGATAATTTCAAAAATTTTTTGCTGAGATTCTGAAAATTTGTGTCTAGGGGTTATTTTTGACGCTGGTCACGAAACACATGTTTTTAGCCTAGGTTTCTGCACGGAAAACTAACGAAACGTGAAAACAGCCATTTTTTGGCTCTGCCGACCTTTACTAAAATAGCTGTAAAAACTTTTAGAAAAGAGATATCTCAAAACGGTTTTTACCAATCGATCCGTCTTGAATTCAGCTTTAGGATCAGCTATAAAACGTCAAAATTGGACAAATTTAAGGTACTCTCCCAAAAAATCCGAAAGGACTTTTCCACCAACCCAATATTATCAAATTTATATGGGAAAATTTATTCATATTTGATTTTACAATTATAAAAATTAGAATTGAAAGCTAGAAAAAGAACAAAAAAAAGAATAAAAAGGGGAGTGGGACAAATGACCCGGACATTTGCGCACCTTTTTTTCCGCACTTAGCCCATTAGCGCACCTTTTTTCGCGTTTTAAAAAAGCTCTAAAAAGCTAATATTAACCAATTTCTATTCCAAAAGTTGTTTTTCTAGGTAATTTTAGGGCGTAGAATCGAAATTTTGACATATCAGAGCTTGTGGAAGCGAACGGACGGAGTTATACAAAGAGAAAAATCGACAATTTTCTGTAATTTGATTTGATCAATTTGATCTAGCCGTTTTGTCTTTCAAATTGGTTCCACAAGCTCTGATATGCCAAAATTTCGATTCTACGCCCTAAAATTACCTAGAAAAACAACTTTTGGAATAGAAATTGGTTAATATTAGCTTTTTAGAGCTTTTTTAAAACGCGAAAAAAGGTGCGCTAATGGGCAAGGTGCGCAAAAGTCCATGTGCGCAAAAAAAAGGTCGCATTTGTCCCACTCCCAATAAAAAGAATAAAAAGAAGAAAAAGAAGAAAAAGCTACAAAAAGCTACAAAAAGAATAAAAAGAACAAAAAGAACAAAAAGCTACAAAGCTACAAAAATTCTCCAGTTTTCTTACAGTACATCATGCTGAAAAATCAGGATTTGCACCAGAAAATTGTGTTTTCATTTTTGGGCACAAGGTACACCAAAAGAAATTGGCTAAGGCTTAGGCTAAGGCTTAGGCTTAGGCTAAGGCTAAGGCTTAGGCTTAGGCTTAGGCTAAGGCTAAGGCTTAGGCTTAGGCTTAGGCTTAGGCTAAGGCTAAGGCTTAGGCTTAGGCTTAGGCTTAGGCTTAGGCTTAGGCTTAGGCTTTTAAACTATAATCGCAAGCATCAAGCTTTTAAACTATAATTGAGCTTACTTACAGGTAAAAATACAAAAAAAACCTAGATAATAGAAGCGTTTGAGTGCTAAAATAGAGTCAAAACCGATATTTTCTTGTGAAAATTTGACGCTCAAACTTAAAGTGGGTACGGGGAAATGAAGAGATGCTCCTCAAAAGAGACTAAAAGTTTAACCAAAAAAAATAAAGGAAAGCTTTTCCCCAAAAAGAGAGCCAGTTGTCTCCGAGCAACACCTCCTCTTCTCTCTCTCTCTCTCTTTGCTCTTCTTCAGTAAAATGGGACAATTGAGCTTAAAAATGGCTTAAATTGAAGTTATCGCTTAAAAGTTACAAAATTTCTAAGTGAGACAGTTTCTAGTTTCTTTCTCCTCTCCAAGATAGGCTTTATATAAAAATTTAGATGAATTAAACCAATTCTAATTTGGTAGACTCAATGAAATGAATAGCTTCAATCGATTTTCTGATTCTGAAAACCTAGTCATCTAGAAAACCTGTTTTGAAAACCTAGTGACCTAGAAAACCTGTTCTGAAAACCTAGTGACCTAGAAAACCTGTTCTGAAAACCTAGTGACCTACAAAACCTGTTCTAAAAACCTCTACGTACAAATTTACAGCTGAATATTTGCTTATTAAACCATCTACAAAGCGAAAGAAAAACTCCCCCTTCGTTTAAAAGGGCTCAAAATGTTCTTTGTGTGGCCACGTAATCGCTTGCCGTCTGGCACACGGCCCCATAGATACGTGATCCCTTTTCGTAGTGAGGGAGGCGACGGTGAAAGGGAGGGGATCGTAAAGGGAGGAGCGAGTGAGGGACTGAGCTGATTCTAGGCGTCACTATGCCCAGACTTTTAAGACCAATTTCCGCCCTAAATTTCACCGAATCCCCGCTATAATTCCGCTATTCCTCCCAGATTCCGTTAAACAAGTTAAAACCCAACTGAAAACGCTAAAAATTTTAAAACGTTCAAATTTAAAACTAAAAATTTAAAAGCTCAGCTGAGCAGAACAAAAATTGAAAAGATTAGTTGGGTTCTTTGAAAATACAATTTTCCATCGATGAGTTGAAGGTCGTTTTGTGTGGGATAGCGGTGAATAAAAAGATCAAAAGAAATGGTGATTCACAACGGGAAACGAGGTCTCTTTTCATGAAAAGTGCTTTAAATTTGTTCACATTTTGTGTTGTTGATACAGTTGTTCGACAGTTGACAGATGAATTTTGTTGAAATACTTGAGTCTATGCTCGAATAGACCGGTTTGTTCGAAAGTTTTCAGAAAAAGAGCTCTCTCTTTCAATCGGAGATCATTCACTATTCTTTGTGCTTTTTTAAAAGTAAAAGAAATGAGAAAACTTACAAGTACAAGGCTATGAGATTTCAGGATCTAATTCGAACTGTCAAGAAGCTAATCGGAGATTTGATACGCGCCATTGGCAATCTAACTTTGAGCTCAAATTTCTTGGTGTTGGGTTGTGCAATTAATAAATTAATAAATGGAGTCAAAGGATCATCGGACATTTGATACGTGCGCTCCTTTTCCCATTGGCAACTTTGAGCTCAAATTTCTTGGTGTTGAGCTGTTCAATTTAAATATTCTTGATATCATTAGATGCGTGAAGTCTTTCTCTGTCGATTGGTACAAAAACTATTTCAATTGAACAGCCCAACACCAAGAAATTTGAGCTTAAAGTTGGATTGTCAATGGCAAAAAGCGGTGGGACTCGTCTGTTCCACAATCGTCAAGGATGGATTCTCTCGTACAGTTTCTTCATTTTAATCTTTGTGCAAATAGTTTACAGATAATAACACGGGTTACGGTAACCGAGGACATGCTTTAGAGCTAGCTTTAGAGCTTTAGAGCTTTAGAGCTAGCTTTAGAGCTTTAGAGCTCGCTTTAGAGCTTTAGATGCTCGCTTTAGAGCTTTAGATACTCGCTTTAGAGCTTTAGAGCTAGCTTTAGAGCTTTAGAGCTAGCTTTAGAGCTTTAGAGCTTTAGATGCTCGCTTTAGAGCTTTAGAGCTTAGAGTCAATGTACTTTACGGGAAATGTTCGCACCTTAAATCTTTATCTCTTTATCCTATCGTATAAAGATTTTTAAATGGAAATTTCGCTTTTTCCAATTATTCTTAGGTTTAAATTTTTTATATGATTTTTATCTATAAATTATAGATCCAATTATAGATCAATGAGACTACTGATTCAGTAAAGCGATAAGCTATCGTTATCCGACTTAGAGAACAAATATAGTAAACTTTAAACTACTCATTGATCTAGACATAACATCAAAACAATCAAAGGATCAAATCTTTCTATTTATTCTCTATTCTATATTTCTTATTAGTTTTTGATGGTTCCTGTTGTGGCGCTGAGTCCCAAGCTGATTGCATTTGTTTGAAGTAAAACTGAAATTATTTTAAAGCTTTGTGATGTTTAGAAGCATAAAAGATGAAAATTTTCATTTTATGCTCTTACCGTAAATACTGTAATAGTACCCCCACCCCCATAATGACGGCGCGGAGTGTTGCGTAGTCTAGCTTTGAACGAGTTTTTCTCGACACTGGTTTATGCTACAATGCGCGCTTAGGTATCAAAAAATGGTTGAAATTCAGGGCTATTTTTCGATATCAACAGACGGAGCATCGCGTAGCCTAGCTTTGAACGAGTTTTTCTCGACACTGGTTTATGCTACAATGCTACAACATATATCAAAAAATAGCTGAAATTCAGGGCTATTTTTTGATACCAAAGACGCATTTTTTGAAAGTACGGGCGCTTCGAAAAAAATGAAATACTAAAAAACTTTTGCGACTACGCGACTGTACGAGGGGCAGGTGGGGTACTATTACAGTATTTACGGTAAGTTAATTGAAAAAATGTTGGGAAGAGAGCCTCTTATAACCCCCACAAAATTGCTTTCTAAAGTGCACCTTTGACGTCTGTCTAGGTTGTCACTAAGAACGTCTCGTAGCCTTTGCCTTTTATTTTCTTTTCACTGCCTCCCAGTGCATGAAATACTAAAAAACTTTTGCGACTACGCGACTGTACGAGGGCGGTGGGGTACTATTACATTACTATTACAGTATTTACGGTATTTATATCCTCTAAATATCCACCTCATTCTGCTCGGCTTTATTGAATATCATTTTATTTCCCAGCACATTGTAAATCTCTTCTGGCTCGGATTTTCTTTGGCCACCGAAAAACGAGCGAAATTCCTCTTTGAGCACAGTATGCCCGTAAATTGTTAGCAACATTTGCACGTATAACTAAAAGTTTACGATTTGAAATTGTAGTATTGTTTAGTTTCAGTGTTCTTAGTGACTTAAAAACGATCATATTAGCACTAATCGAGTCTAAAAGGATTCCGAACTGTAAATGTCGTACTTTAAACTATTGCTCCCCTTTTTAGCTCAGCCATTTTTCCCAATTCTCATTCGCATTAACCTGAATGTGACTGGCGAAGAAATAAATGGAACTGTAGAGAGGGAAATAAAAGGGTGAATGCATCTCGAAACACCAAAAATAAACGGCCAACGAGAAATAGTTGGTGATACATTTGAATGGAGCGAGACGGATCAATAGTTTCGCCGCTTTCAGATTTCTCGCCGAAAGATATCTGAAAGATATTTGAGATGTATGCTTCCATTTTTTTTAAGAAATCCCAGTTCTGAAAATTCCGATTAGAACCTGGCTTTTTTGGCCTGGCTTTTTTAAAGAAACGAATCGATTTTCGGTCCAGATTCGAATCGTAAAGTCGACGACTGAATGACCGACGACCGAACGACCAACGACCGAACGACCAAACGACCGAACGACCGAGCGTCACTGCCCAAATTCTTGGAATCAATTTCTTCTAATTTCTTCCGTCAAATTCTCATCCTTTTAACCATTTCATTACTTAAACAACAAATAAATTGAGAGAATAATTCGATCTGAGTTGAGAGTTGAGATTTTCGGGACTTTTACAGGGCTTTTACATAACTCCCTTCCCTCTCCCTTTGCCAAAGTGATCTGGCCGGCTCCGAATCCTCAAATTGGACATTGACTTCTCCCCGAATCAAGGCTAATCTCAATCGATTGGGTTGGCGAATTGAAAACTGCGGGCTATTGTCATATGTGACAGTTTGAGCACTTTCTTCAAAAGAAACCCATCTTGGTGTCAATGGAAAAGTTGTAGAGAATCAAAAATTAAGCTTATATCCAAATTTTCAGAACGATTCAAAAACTGATTTTCAAGAAATGCCAAATTTACGAATTTTCACAAAACTTGCATTTTAAGCGAAACTACTAAGTGTTTCTTTTTGGAAATTTGGCTATAAGCCTAATTTTTGATTCTCTACAACTTTTCTATTGACACCAAAATGGGTTTCTTTTGAAGAAAGTGCTCAAACTGGGACATCTTCAGTCCTCGATTTTTGAGTCTCACACTTGTCTCAAACACAAATCAAAATCCTACTACGAAAGAGGAATCCGCAAATTGCCTGTAAAATGAGCAGAAGTCGTCAATAATAATGGAAATTATTTGGAATGAATTCATGGTTTTATGTTGAATAAATTTTAGTTCAAAGTCCCGCAGTTTTCAATTCACCAACCTGATAGAAATCGATTTTGATTAGTCCTCTGATGATTAGTTTCTCCGTTTACCTCTCATTCACAGTTGAATCCTTTTTATCAGCAACCGATCGATAGATTTTTCCACTTCTTATTCGTAATGAGATGAAAAACTGAAATAAAAGAGATCTTTGTTCTTTTTGAAATCAAATACCTTAATCATTAATCATTAATCCTCTTAATCATTCCGGAAAAAACAAACTTTTCAACGAATTTCTTACAAAGAAAGATCATCGTTTTTATTTAAAATCCCTGAGGAAATCTTTTAAAAGTAAGTGAAAAATGATCTCATAGACAAAAAAAAGAAAAAAACTTCGTACTTTAAACACTGAATAAACTTCCCAATAACTCACAATAGTGGCCGTTGTGAAGAGAAAATATTGAGCACCATATGTCATCAAATTATTCAACAAACGAGCATTCCATAAAATGATTAGGAAAAGAGAATAGAGAAGCTGAATAGGTGTTAGATTTAGAAAATAAATCTTTTTACACAATTAACAAGTACACGCGAGTAAGCGACAGTTTACTATAGTCTAGCCTGCTTTAATGAGCACCTTTGCTTTGCCTTGCTCACTACAGTACATCAAATTAAAAGAGATTGAATCTTTTGTTTCAAAACCCCCACCGATGCGACATAGAGTGTGATTCCGAGAGTCGGCCATTTCACCCACATTTGCTCATAAGTGTGCACGTATTTCATGGCGATCACCCGCTCGATCGAGTACGCCAAAACGATGATGAAAGTCGTGCTGACACCTGGAAGAGAAATTTCAGAGAGATTGAGAGAGATTGAGAGAGATTCCTTAAGCGGTGAATGTAAAAGAAAAAGAGCAGGTAATACGCTAGGTTTACTATCACATTACAGGTACTATTACAGGTATCACTAGTGCTTTTATAGCATCGATTACGGTACTATTGGGTTGAGAAGAAAGGAAAGGCGCCGAAAATCAATCTAGAGAAAACTTTCTCAAAATTTTGCAAACTTAAGTGGGCTTGATCTTTTTTCTGGAGATACCAAAGGGATTTATTGGGAAGAAACTATTCAAACATATCACCTATTCTATTGTCTTTGCTACGATAGTTGCTTTCCCAGATCGTACTATGGTAAGTGCTTTTTTTTCAATCTAGAATCAGTGAGTGTACTGAAGAGGCGCCGTTTTACTGGCTAAACCGTACTGTACATAGATTTATGTACAGTACACTTGACTTCTTTGATCAAAACTAGAATCAGTAGTTTACTGCGCCGTTGTACTGGCCAAACCGTCTGTACATAGACTTATGTCCAGTACACTTGACTTCTTTGAACAAAACTCCAAAGTCACTGAAAACTGAACCAAAAAAACCGGGTAATCATTCAAATTTATTGGATCTCTTTTCGTGAAGAACAACTTTTTCAAAAAAAATTCTGAAATCAGCCGGAGAAGTGAGATTATTTATTTTTAAAACTGATTATTTATTTTTAAAACAAACTCCCTTTCAACTCACACGTATCCGAAGCGAAATTGATATAAGTGATGATGGTGTTGTTGAGATAACCCGTAAAGAATAGAACATGTCGCACAGCTCTCAACAATAAAAAAGTGATATGTGTGCATGGATGAGCCAACAGTAGGACAAGCAAATTTTTATGGCAAAACTAATTGGGTTGAGGATTTGTGGGGGGCGAAAAAAAAATCGGTTAAATACCTCTCGTCTTCTCAGTATTCTGATGTAGGTGAGTACAGCGATCATCAGAAAAATCAATGAGCTCATCTCGATTAGCTGAATTTTGGCAAATTGACATTTTAATCCCATTTGTATGCAAATTGACTATGTTTTTAGGAAATGCCCTTTCAATCTACCCTCTTGCAGAGCTTTCAATTTTCCCTCTGCAAGCCTGCCTTTTATATAAACTTACAATTGCGATTCTCACTAAATCCGGTCGATAATACGGAATCACGATCGCGTCGTTTTTTGCCATCAAAAATGGAAATTCAAACACTTTTCAATGAAAATAAGTAGAGTAGAGGCGAATGAATGTGTGTCGGTCGGGGGACGGTCCCCGGTGTAATTACATTTCTTTCTTTCCTTTACTGTCGGAGGAAAAGGAGATTTAGAGAAATTTTTGAAAATAGGGCAGAGATGGAAAACGTGTCAATCAGATCCGTTAATTATCAACGAAAACTAGTAATTGAAATCCTTTTTTGGGGCTGAGCAAAAAATTGTACCGACAGAAAGTTCAGTTTACATTTTTAAGACGCCTTTTGTGTACTCCAATTCCGTACGCTTCACTGAAGAGGATTATGCAGAAGTTTTATCTCCGAATGAAGAAAGATTAATCAACATAACAAATGACGATCTTGTGAATTTCTTGAATATCTACAACCCGTTTGATTACCCTGGGAGAAAGTGAAACAAAACAAAACATCGAATACGGGGGTAAAATCGAAATTTGCAAATTGAGCATAAATTGGACAATAGTTTACAAATTCATCTTTGTCTGCTCAAAATGTCGTCTTGCCTTCTTCAGCTCTTCGCTCATCGAGAGAAGATCCTAGAAATGCCTCAAGTTAGCAATGACTACGACAATTTTCTACAATTCTTGCAGTGTTTTGCAATTTTTATGATGTTTACAAACCTTGACACGCGATGACTTCTTTTGATCCCGTCGAATTAGATAGTGAATGTCTTCAAGGTTGATTCGCTCCGGCTTCCCAACAGACATCGCCTTTGCGCATAGTTCCTTGAAATTATGATTTAAAAACAGTTGTTAATCCACAAACCTTTATGTAATCGATGACAATAGCTTCCAAAGTCTCGAGCGTCTTATCGAATGGTACCTGTTAGATAATTTTAGGTTGAAAACGTCCAAAAATGCTTACTTTTTCATCTCCAAATCCGTAGAGCATTGTCCTCAATTCGCGTCGAAATAAAAATTTCTTGTCCTCCTCGCGCATTGGCTCCTAAAAAATCAATCAAAGAGAAAATTAGCATAAAAGATAGTTTTTTTACGCTTTATAAAACAGGTAAATTTACACAATTTTCACTTACCTTTTTCTTCTCTTCATCCTCCAAATCCGACCCAAAAATATCATCTTCCTCGTCCATTCTAAACGTTCTTTTAAGTTACAACCTTTTCAGTTTATTTGGCAGTAATATAATGTTTAAAACATTCAACAAAATATAGATAGATTTCAAACAAACATTTATTAAACTTGTTGGGTGTTGTACACACACAAAAAAAAGTGGACCCCACAAATGTGCTAACAAAACATTTACCGTAGAGTCCGTTTTGAAGAAAAGGCGTATTCGGAAGCGATTGAGCAGGTATCACAGCACTCCATGTTTTTTGAAAAGAAAGAGGTCAATGGAGAAAATAAAGTGAATCAGTGTTTTTGAACAAGTAGAAACTTTTGGTCACATCCACTCAAAAAAGATATCTGATTTTGCCAAGATAATAGAATTTGTTCATGAAAAGAAAAAATCACAGTCGTACTGGAAAGAATCAAAGAAATATTGTGAAAAAAATTTTCAATAAATATTACCACCAGCCATTTGAAATTTAAAGCCAATTTGTCGATATTGCACTAAATTCTAAAGGACAGAGAGAAATAGGCTCACAATATACAATCAATGAAGAAAGAAGAGAATGTCGAAAGTCAAAAACGAAGTCAGTAAAATCCTCTCGAGGGGAATGTCCTTCATCAATTCTGGCTTAATGCTTGCGCATTTTCTCGTTCACAGTGCGTATGATCAACTGCGTTTGGAAGATCAGGCGATTCGCTGAGATGGATACCTGAAAAACTTCAGCTCATTTAGAAACTTCAACAGATTCCGAAAACTATAAATACACAACTGCTTGAGTCTCTTAAAATTAAAATGACTATTCTACTTTTTCCTATAAAATGAAATATGATAATTCTATGGTTCAATCACCTGCAAAGCGTTTTGATCACGAAAATAGTCCTTGAGTGTATTGCTGAACTGCTTGGAGTAATGCACGAACTCACGCTTTCGCTTTTCAACTGCTAAAAATTTTAACGTCAATGATTTTAAAAGCAAAACCAACCATGCTGAGCACTTTCTGGTACGATCTGTAGCGTAGCGTTAGTGGCCTCCAAAAGCTTTTTGATCGAAGAAGCAATCTCCTAAAGAACAATCAAATTAATTAGAGGCTTTAAGGATCAAGATACCTTGATGGTCTCCAAAAATCTGCGACGATCAGTCATTTCTTCAGGCACGCGTGCAAGAACTCGTCGAAGCATGATAGCCCTAAAATTTGGAAATTATGACAGCAAATACACAAAAGCGCGTAATAATTGTAAAAGGCAAACCTGTCACTCAATTCTCTAAATTCGCGAACTTCCGGAATCGGAATTTTCAGGTCTTCATCCGAAGCGTTTCCTTGAAGACGAAGGAAAGCTTCCTGTAAAAAAAAATAATAGTTGAAATTAGCTATTAGTGAAATGCGAATAAAATCTGCATAAATTAAATCATAAAGCACTATTTTTGTAAAAGTAACAGACAGTTACAAACCTGCATATTGATCTCCAGACCTCCCTCTGTCAGAAGAGATTTGGTGAAGTCGTAGAGAAAACCAGGCGATGCTTGATCACACGCCTTCAGAGCCACGCGAATTTTCTAAAACTTGAATAAGAAATCTCTTTGAAAAAAAGCAAACCTGTAAAGCAGCTTGTGCAGTCGTGTCATTTGCCCGAGTTTTCCTAAAGAAAAATGTAGATTTTCGGTCGACCATTAGTCATTAGTCAATTCAAATTTTCAAAAAACTTGCCTCATGCGCTCCAAGACGCCGCTGTAAATGCATTGATAAGTGACATGCCCCAAGTAAGCCCCTTCTTCGTCCATCGGCCCTGAAAATAATAAATTCATTCATAACGAGTAACGAGAAAAAAACCCGAAAATATGAGAGATCAAAGTCACAATATTCACAATATTAGGCTTTTTTCCTTAGTCGATTAAAAATCTGCTGATACTGGTTTAAAGTGTCGAGCGCTGTGTACAAGTCTGAGGTCGGTTTTGTGATTATTTCCGGTTTCGAGGCGGTTTGTTCGGGGAAAAACATGTTGATAAACTCGCTGAGCATCATGCTTGCTTGATTGGCCACCCAAGTAGGCGTATACTCGATTTCTACAACGACACCTTTCACCGATCCTCCTTGTGTCACTGTTCCCACTCTCACTCGAAAATCCTTGAACGAGTACTCGGTACCGCTGGCGTCAAATTTTCCGCTTGAATCCATTTGAAGAGCTCCAGAAAGTTTCGAGAGAATCAAATCAAATCCTCGGTCACTGATCGACTTTGGTGGCGGTTGTTTCGGATCATTCGTAGCGGTGACGGCCAGCGAAAAAGTGCTTTCCGGAAAATTTGAGTGATGAAGCACGTTGAGTTGACCGATGTTGTTCGCCAATTGATCGACGGGCCTAGAATACTAATTTTAGTTTCCAGTTTAAAGAAAAAACTAATCACTTTAAGTCTCAAAGAGAATATACTAATTAACTTCTAAATAGAAAAATTACCTACAAAAATCACCAATACTAAAAAACTAACCGATACGTTGAGCTATCGACGACAAATAGACCGATTTTCGTCCCTCCTCCACTTTCGATGAGTTGTTCGATCGAGTTTTGGCTTCTCTCCGTCTCGATTACCCACGAAACGCCCATCACTTCTGGAGGGATCTGAAAATTTTGATTAGAAAGTGGTTATATGCTGGATAAAGAAAGGATGAGAAGTAAAATATCATAAAACAAATTAGCAAAACTTGTAAGTCGTCTAGTCGATCGATAGCCCGCTACGTCTTTGACTATAAAAGTTATGAATACGTTAGAAACAATGAAAATTATGGCACGAAAATGAAATGGAAGAGTTTAGGTCAAAAGTTTATGGATTTTCGGACTGAGCTTGAGTTATTTACCTATCAGACTGGCCTATAACACAGCTACAGCTTAAGAAGTTAAAAAGCAAGCAAGTTATCGATAAAAAAACGATCTCAAACAATCAAAATGAACTTGATTTGACAAAGAGAATTTGGATTTATATTTATATAGGATTTATGCCCTATGTTTTAAAGATATTCAGCAAAAGGCGTGAATCTGCCGAAATATGAGCGACGCGAAAAATGGGTATAAAATGCAAGCCTGGTTAAAGAAGACCGCTCTCTTTTCCTTGATGTGGTTTACGAGCCTTGTCTCCCATTTTCTTGTCTTTCCCTTCCACTCACACTCACCACACACCTTTCTTTCCCCTCCTTTGTGCCTATGGACGCTCGCTTCTCGACGCACGCGACCATTCACTTCTCCCGCGCACAAAACTCGGCCACACCCACATCCCTCATCCATACGCTTTCTCATTGAAGGCGATCCCTCCTTTGTTAGTGTAATTACCGACCGCTTCTGGCCACCTTTACTCCCCTCATACTCTAATTACTTGTAGGCATCTTTCACACAATTTTTCACACGCAAAGCCTCGTGAAATTTTGAATCGATTTTTGGAAAACCTGTTTCGCCGATGTTTCCTTAGTGTTTTTCTCACGCTCATTGGCTCCTTTTGCTTTCAAAATAGCCCATGATTTTTAGCACGTTTAGCTACAAAGCTCTTGTTTTGATCTTTTGTGCACATTAAGTAGTCACGTCTCAATTTTTGAAGTTTCAGATAGAAGGATGGCCAGCTCTTCAAATATGGCCGTCTCATCGGGTAGCGGTGATGGAGGTGGAGGAGGTTAGCTTTTGAATCAATTCTGTGTTTTGTGGTTTTATATATTACCTGGTTTTTAATTAATTCATTTTTTTTAGAAGAACGTGAAGACGGATGCCCCAAGAGATTGTTCAACCGAGAGAGCCTCCCCACTACCAGCGATGATTCGGATGCATCTATTGATGAGCATGGTTGGTTTTTCTTAAGCTGGACATAAATTAGATTAAATACATCTTTTATTTCAAGTTTTGTTAGGACGTGATCGTCGTGACAGTGAAGGGGCTTCATCTTCGGGTGGATCTCAGCGCTCTGGTTGCTTGAAAGCAAGAAAGTCTCGCCACGAGGGTAGCAAGAAACTACCTGTGCAACAGGTATTCTTAAAATTTTGTTTGTTTAAGCTAAGTTGCTAAGCCTTCGAATTGCTAGTTTTTGTTTGTGTACTTGCGTAGAGGAGGCTTTGTCTTTCTCGAGAAGGCGTATTTACACAAGATTCCAGGCATCGTCTTCTTTTGTTTCTTTGAGCGGATGTGTGTAGATTTTTAAAAGTGTTTATCTATTAAAAGTCATATTATTCGAATGAACTTTAGGTAACTTGGTCGTTTTCTGCAAAAACACAACCCGTGCATTCACAACCACCAGCGCCGAAGAATTACGTTACCAAGCAAAGTAAGGTATTTCTGTAGTATTTGAAAAATAGTAGTAAAATACGCATTTATTATAGTTTTTAATCATATTATTATTTTAGATTCTTCGTCATCAGGCCCCGTTCGCAAATCGTCACTCGTCGGTGGCCATGGTTCAACTTGCTCTTCGGGTAATGTCAGTCCTTCGGAATCACCGGCTCGAAATCCATTCTCTCAGCAATCTTCTCAGGTAATACTATTGTTTTTCACGAATTTTGTTTGATTCGTAGAATTAGCTTGTAGACTGTAGCTAATTTTCCAAAATTTTCTCATTAACACTCAACGACACCATTTTTCATGTCTCATTTATTCGGGTTTTGACATTTGTGATTGATTGGTTTCCTTTAGGATCTTGCTGAGCGTACTCTCACACCGCCTCTGCCTTGCCTCAAGGTTAAAACAGGATCCAAGAAGGTGAACCCTCCTTTTTGTTTTCTTTTCACTTTCACGACTTACAAATGTGGTTGTTTTAGAGATTTGTTCAAGGAAAATATTTTGCTTAAAATTTTAAAACTAGAGTTAATAATAATTTTAGGAGGGCCGCTCACAACGCAGCATGTCTTTGGGTGGACCTGCTCATGATGCGCTGATGTGTTCTTTGGCGCAGCGACATGGTACTGTGACAGTTGATTTGAACTCTGATTCAGGTATAATTTAAAACGAGTCATTTTATGTGATCGTTTTTGTTTAGAGGATAAAGTGTGTCTTCTCGTTGACAATACCCGCTTTTTGATCAGTCTGAAGGTTGGTTGAGGAAATTGCGATCTTTTAGATTAAAAACACGAGCCTTTAGACGTATTATATAAAATTTACTTTAGACTTTGCTCAAACACCCAGAAACGATGCTCGGTCGTATGTTTTCCATGCGTAATTCGGTTGAAGGGCATGATCTCGTTCCTGCTAATGAATCAGGGGAATTCGAGGTTTTTCAAGCATGCCCAACAAGAGTTTTATTATTTTTCTTTTAGGTAGCTGATGTGTGCAATGCTCATGTATTTCGTGCAATCTTGGAGTTTTACACAGATGGTATTATTCGATGTCCCACACACGTTTCTGTCTCAGAACTTAGGTAAGCTCTTTAATTTAATATGTTTTTAATAAGGCAGCCATTTTAGAGAGGCATGCGACTACTTTTTGGTGCCTTTCAATTCGCGCACAGTTAAATGCCAGAATCTCCATGCACTGCTGCACGAACTATCTAATGAAGGTTTAAAATTTTTTTAGATTGAACTTAATTTTTTTTCTAGGTGCTCGAATGCAATTTACCCGTTTCCTCGAGGAGATAATTTTCCCACAAATGGTTGCTAGCACTGAGGTTTGGTTTTGACTTTTAAAATGTTTGACGTTTATTTAGCATGGCGAACGCGAGTGTCATATTGTAGTGCTTCTGGACGATGACGTTGTTGATTGGGATGACGAATATCCGCCTGATTTCCGAATGACCGGAGAGGATACTACACATGTTGTGTACAGCAGTCATCTATACAGGTTTTGATCGTAAAAGTATTGAGTATTATTTGGTTATAGATTTTTCAAATATGCCGAGAACCGCGACTGTGCAAAACAGGTGTTGAAGGAGCGCGGTCTGAAAAAGATTCGTCTTGGGATGGAGTGGGTGACATTTTAAAATTTTCTTTCTCTTTCTTTGTTTCGACTATTTATCGATAACTTTCAGAGGCTATCCAACACACAAAGAAAAAGTAAAGAAGCGCTTCAATAAAGCAGAAGGTTGGTAATAAGTGTTTAGTTAATAACCAAACCTATGAACTTGACTTTAGTGATCTACAATTACGTTCAACGCCCATTTGTCCATTGCTCATGGGAAAAAGAGGAAGCACGCTCTCGTCACGTTGATTTCGCTTGCCCGATTGTAAAGGTAGCTTATATGCTTTAAAATTATCTCAAATAATGTTGCACAATGTTCATTTATACATTTTAGTCAAAGTCTAATCCTTCTTTGGCCGCAGCAGCTTCGGATCCTCTCCCTCAACCAGCGCCTCTCCAGATTGCTGCTGCTCTTCCAAATCACGCAAATGCTCTTCTCGCTGTAGTACAACCTCAACCGGTGGGTGGCAAAATATTTATAAGTAAATTACTGTATCGATTTAGGGTCCATTACATTCACCGCCCGTTCAGCCGCGAAACCGTGATGAAGCCTAAATCTTTTGGGGCAGAAGTTTGATTATTATTATTTTGTTTACTTATACCAATACGTAGTTCCATTTCACATATAGCAAGGTCACTTAATCGTTTTTGTTTGTTTTTCGTTCTCTGACTACGAGATCTTACACTCATTGCAATTGCTTCTCAATTATTCACTCCGGACGAGCTCAATCGCATTTCCCTTAAATATTCAATGACTGTTTGTCCTTGTTTTGGGAAAAGACAGTCTTAATATCAGTCATATCAGTTAGTCAATCTCATTGAAAGTACGCCAATAGAGCTAAAGTTCGGTTTGTAAAACTTGTTTTGTGAATGAAATAGTTTTTGTGTTTCTTGATTGTCAGCTCTAGCTCAATAAGCGCCTAAAATGTATGTATAAAGACGTTAGATATATGACCCCCATACTTCAATAAAGCTCCTAGCCTTTTCAGTTCTTTTTAAGGTTACTTTGCATTTGCCATGTCAATAAATGTTTTTAATTTTGATTTTGATGATTTATGCACGTTATGGGACTGTTTATTACATGAATTTTTTAATATACAAATTTATGTAACATTTGAGAATCAATTGGCGAATTCAAATTCTATGTATTTTTCGAGAAAATTAGACAGACTAGAGTTTGAGGAGGCCGGGCAAAAAAACATTTTGCATTCGCAAACTATGAACAACACCGAAATGAGGCAGATTTAGGCTTTTCTTTCGAAACAAGGTTTACAGGAGCAAAGAACCGAGAAAAATCACAGGGCTCATTTTGGGGAATTTTTGAGACATTGGGTCTAATTTTTGGGTTAGGACTTTTCCGTCTTTTTTTGCTTGTGTTTGAGCTTCAGAGGCATCAAATTGAGATTTTTCAGGCTAGGAGTTGTCGAATACTTTTCGGAGTGCTCTCTTGATTGAAGTGTTTCGTCGTGTAGCGGATCGAATTCAGGAGAGAGTCAGTCTAAAAGTGTTTGACTTTTACAGTAGTTTGTTTTAGGTTTACCTGCGGTTGGGTGGTGTGCTGACGAATCACTTGCACGGCCGTTTTTACGTTGATTGGCGAGTCTCGAACAAAGGCTCCCTGGAGGTTTTTTTTTTGAGTTTTTTTAAAAACTTAAATTAAGTACCGTATCTTCTAATATTATACCACCAAGTCGTAAAAATTTGGTTGTAAACACTTTAATTTTTGTCGAAAATAGCCAACTAACCTGTTCATCAACGTGATCGTAGAGAATCAAACAGCCAACCATCACCCGAACACAGAATAATCTCGCCGTATCCCCTAGTCGCATGGCTGCCTCCTCGTGTGTGACCATATAGCAACAAACACTAAAATTTTCCTCATTTAGATGACGATCGGGCGAGATGACTGTGACTCGTTGATGAGAAGGTGTTTCTTTAACGTTTCTGTTTGTACTTATTCCTTTCAGAATGTCTGGTACGAGTATCGTTTGTGCGGAAGTAATCTCTTTGCATCCATTCACGGTCAAAGACAGCAGCGGTACGGCTATCATTGTTTGTGGACAGGATACAGGATGTGATGTGAGGGTTTTTTATATTAGAGTGGTGATTTAAACATATATAAAAATAGAGGTGTTAGCAAAAGCGCCGCGTTTTCATTTGCTCCAAAAATTTTTGCGCCAAATTTACGCTTATGAAAATTACTGTAAAAAAAATCACTTTTTCCCAACTTCTAACCAACTTTTTTTTTAGAGTTTTCTGCTTCACAATTTCAGTTCTAACTGTTTTCAATTAGGAAACACGTTCAAATACCTATACAGATCTCAAAACAGTAGTTTTTGTGTCCCCGATTGGTCTTTTTGCTCTCTTTATCGATCTTATGCTATTTTCAGATCCGGTGAAGGCGGCAAAATAGTAAGCATTGTCGACGAGGAGAAACTTTAAAAAATATTAATGTTCAATCAGAATTGCTAGGAAAATGCTTTGAAAAGCGCAGATTTGGCGCTTTTACTAGCACCTCGAAAATAGTTATTATCTTATTTGCTGTTTTCAGGTAGGTGATTGGGCCTATTTTATGTTGGAATGCAACTCGACCGGTCCACCAAATTGCACACATGTGACGATAGTTCCTCCGTGGGTTGGTCATTGTTATTTTTATCAGCTATTTATGTCTAAATCAATTCTTTTTTAGGCCGAGTCAATCGCTCGCTATCAATTGCTGCAGTATCGAGCCTATTGCGAACTCCACGAAACCCCGCAGCAACACGTTCAATACCTTTCACCACTCCCAAATTGAAAAAATCTATGATCTTTGTAAGTTGTTTTTGTTTTCATTAACTTTTCGGGTATTTTATTGTCTTTCTTTTTTCTTGTTTTATGATAAATCACTTCAAGTCTGACTTCAAATAATACCTGACAATTGTGGCAAGTGTATCGGTGGTGTTTCCCAAAGGAAGTGTGGGATGTGCCCTGGAATTGGATTGGCTTTCAATTTATTTTATTTTATTTGGAAACTTGGTCTCTCCAAGAAGTAAACGATAAATTACCTAACAAAAGCAGTGGTGGCCGAGGAAAGCGACGAAAGCATTGGGGTGGGGGCTGCCAGGAAAAGGGAGATCGAGTTGGCCAATTCGACCGAGCTGAAAAGCGACCGAGAATGCATATTACGGTGCTTTAGTGTTCCCAAATTTAGAGATCTTTTGAAATCGATAAAACCCTAACTTAAATTTAATAATTAACATTCAAATTTTGCAATTTGCATTTGAATTCATGGACAATTTCACACAATTTATCTATGATTTTGAGTCAAAAAGCAAGAAATACTCAAACTATTATAAAATTATAAAATAACAACATTTAAGACTAATTATCTACCTTGAATCTTGCTCATTCCTTCCGATTAAACGACGATAAAACGAGAAATCGTTCTGGAGTGCCGGTGTGCACATCTTGGCCGAGTCGAACTCCAAGACAAAGTCGACTATTCGGGCAAGTTGTCTAAATGGAAATTTGGATATGATTTTATTAAATATTAAAATCTATGATCTAGCATTGAATATTATCATATACAATAGTAATCGATAATATAATCGTTATTGTAATTGTAATCGTTATTGTACCTCGCCAACGCCTGTCTTGCGTCTAGTTGTTCCTCGGGTGGCAACGGACCACTGCACAAATCCCAGAGAAGTTGTGGAACCAACTGGAATTGAAACATTTACAAGTTTCTCATAATTTCTTTTACTTTCTCTATTCGAAGCGATAGCTCATAGTAGGATTTGATTCGGCTCACGTAGGCGGAAACCACTTCGACCGCTTTCTCCTGTGCTAACTCGTTTTGCGGATTCTGGAGTGCCGTTCGAATCTCTGATGAAGCTCCTGAAAATATTGAACTCATAGAAAAAGAGTTTTAGTTTTAGAGTTTTTTCTTCACCTTTTCCATAGCATGAGACATTTTCTAAGAGTTGAGAGGCTTGAGCGAGAACGGCATCGGAAAGGTCGAAGAGATGTCGCTCTTGTTCGGTGGGCACTGCGTTCTCGAAATCGAGAAACACCTGAAATTTGCTGAAATGATGCGTTTTGGGGAATTTTCACAGAATCAACTCGAAAATAACTCTGTTTATTTCGAAATTCCCGTAATCTTATCCCTTTGTTTTGATCCAATCTTCAATTTAATTGAAATTGGATAAAACTAGAAGCAAGATAAAGTAGTTTTTAACATAAACAATCAAGAAAAAGGCCCATTTTCCACTGATTGACTGGAGAGAGACTTAAAAAAGAACCGTGTACAAGATCGTGTGTGACTACGCGAGCACAAAGAACAGCTAAGTGATCTGCGTTCTCGATGGATCTCATTGTCACGGGTTTTTTTCCTTTTTGGGACTTGTGAATGCTCTTTCTACTCACTTCCATATAATTGAACGGTCCTTGTGAATGAGACTTGTGAATGCTCTTTCTACAAAAAGAACACCTAAGTGATCTGCGTTCTCGAAGGATCTCATTATCACGGGTTTTTTCCTCTTTGGGACTTGTGAATGCTCTTTCTACTCACTTCCACATAATTGAACGGTCCTTGATGATCACAATGTGATCGGAGAATCGATCTCACCACTTCTCCGCACGAGCTCCCAGTCATTTTTATTCTTTATGAATGTGAAATTCTTCTTTGAATTTGATTCGTTTCTTTGTAGATTGTGTTCCTGAAATGATTTTTGATTAGATGATTCGATGTGGATAAATGATAAATCTTGAAATCAAATTTGAATGGATGCACTCAAGGAGAGAAATTCGAGAGGGATTATGGTGAAATAAAAGCATTTTGAGTCAATTTATGGTTTTGTGATGATGTCAACGAGTTTGTAGGAAATTTTTATGAAAATTTAAGTCCAGGGATGATAAAGAAAGTTTTAAACGTAACAGAAACTGAAAAAAGAAAGCGAATTCACATTAAAGTATTCAGTTAGCCGATTTTTCTAGACTTCTTTTAGATATGATAAAGAACGGGTAAAGCAACAAAAGTATGGGTAAGTTGTCGTAATCCAGTGCTGTTTGTAGTCGACTTGACTATTGAGATTGAGATCTTGAGTTCTTATTGAGATCATGATAAGCTTTCTCGATAAGCTTATCGATAAGCTTATTGATAATGGTAAAACTTTAGTTGCTTCTTCTTTAAACTAAAGCTTATTTGAGGGGAATGCGCTGAATACGACTGTCGATATCGATATACCGTATTTCTTCGAATAGAAGACCGGGTAAAATATCATCGCGTACTCCTGCGTAGCAGATTTTTTTTCTGCATAAAAGTTTCAATCAAGTGCTATAGGCTGGAAAATGACTCAAAAATACCACATGAGCTAACAGATTTTTGAGTCATTTTTCAGCCCCTATAGCACTTCATTGAAAGCTTTTATGCAGAAAAGAAATTTTAAAAAGGGCTGCTACGCAGGAGTACGCGATCATACTCTTTACCCGGTCTTCTATTCGAAGAAATACGGTAGGTTTCACGTTTTTTAAAGATTTTGGTAAACTTATCGAGATCTTGATATCGATATTAATAATATTGATATTGATATTGATATTGATATCTCTATTGATATTGATAAACTCTTAATAGTCAAGTCTAATCTTGTACCCCAATCAGTACCATAATCTTTACATAAAGTGTCCCTTAAGCTAAAAATCAATAAGCTAAAAATCAATCAGCCAAAAGCCAAAAGCCAAAAGCCAAATCGATAAGCCTCAAAAGTTCATAAATCTTCTTTTAGAAGTCTCTGGAAATGAATGCTTTCAATAAATAAAGAAGTTAAAGCCATTCGAAGTGTTGAGAAGAATGAGTAAAGCTTATTGAAAAAGAATGGAATTTCTGCTGTGAGAAGCACTTTGAAAATTTTTCTTTTTTAATGGGCTTCTCTTTTGAAAATGATCGGAAATCGAGAATGCCGGAAAAAAAAATGGTGAGAGTGAGTCAGATTTACACAAATTATGTAAAGGAAAAAAAAATGAGAGAGACTTTTTTTTGTGAAAAGAGAACTTGTTTTCTTTTTTGAATTTACAAACTGTTTGCATTTGATTTTGATTTTATTTCGACTATAGCTTACAAATTTTTGAATTTCATCAGTTTTAGGAGTCTAGGAATCTAGGATCATCAGAGTCTAGGAAAACAAATGAATTTTGTTTCCGTATCTTTATGCACTGAACAAAAAGTATTCACAATGTGATAGTGAAAAGAAAACTGGATAGTTTTTTGAATTCTTCAAAAGATATTCTATTTATAATGTTTACCGTATTTTCTCTAATAGTAGTGCATCCTGAGCGTCGCCTAAATTCCTCGAAATCTCGAGAACCGCTTATCAGAACCTATTGATGTGGGGTCGGAAAATGTAGCTGACGATGAGATCTAGTGGGGGATTTGAGTGTTGAGCTTCTGAGAAAGCTAGGGAACTGTAAAATAGTCATCAACTCGGCTCGGCCGGGCGGAGGGGCCGCTTCCTTTTTTTTTTAAGTCTATAAACAAATTATATTTTTTTTTTTTTTAGAGGGCAATACTATTAGAGAAAATAAAGAATACCGTATTCTCTCTAATACTAGTGCACCCTGAGCGTCGCCTAAATTCCTCGAAATCTCGAGAACCGCTTATCAGAACCTATCGATGTGGGATCGGAAAATGTAGCTGACGATGAGATCTTGACGATGATTAGAGTGTTGAGCTTCTGCAAAAGCTTGGAAACCATAAAATAGTCACCAACTCGGCTCGCCGAGGTGCTATTATTAGAGCAAATACGGTATAATGTATTTAGGGATATTGTAAGATCTAGAAAATAAAGCTAAATAAAAATTAAATTACAAAAAGTGATTTATAAAGTAAATGAAATTGAAAACTGTAATTTGAAGCGGTAATTGCTGGAGCAAAAAGTTCTACACTTTGTGTAGCCATTTTTTCGTTTTCTTGAATCTATTTGCTAAGGGGAAAGGGGTTTTAAAACGAGTTTGCAAAAAGAAAGCGTGAAAAAACTCTCTTGGCAAACACACGAGAAATTAGCCATAAATTCTTTAAAAAAGCTTTGAATTTAAAGTTTCAAGCAAGATTTCAGAACAAATGTCTATCGAAAATTCAAAAATTTAACTAAAATCAAACTTTTTTTTGATCTGTCTTCACACTTAGGTGTTCCTATTTTGTTGCCCTTTGTTGCAGATCACAACCTGCTTCCACATTTCTCTATCCCTTGCTATTGCCATCCAGTGTTTCCTATCTTGGTTGTTTCTGGTTCGAAGTCTTCGACATGCTTGTGCTGGTGGCACTCTAGCAATGGTTGCACTCTAGCCATGGTTGCCACTCTAGCCATGGTTGCCACTTTAGCCATGGTTGCACTCTAGCCATGGTTGCTCTCTAGCCATGGTTGCCACTCTAGCCATGGTTGCACTCTAGCCATGGTTGCACTCTAGCCATGGTTGCACTCTAGCCATGGTTGCACTCCAACTTATTGAAAAGGGGAAAGTCAATTCACGTATCCATCAAATAATCCCAACAATTGACAATATAAAGTAGTAAAATTGAGTGCAGAAAAGGGCAACAAAATGGATGAATTTGTGAACGATTTACTCTCTGAAAATTGGAGAATAGGGAAAAAGAAAAAGAAGAAAAGAATGAAATCGAATTTTCGGAAGCTTTTCCAAATTCGTCCCAAACGCATCCGAAAAGGAAAATGGTGAAGAAAAGGGAAAAAGGATTTGTTTGTGTTGTCTCTTTCTCTCTTTTTCCATTTTGATTAAGGCTTTTGATGTGATTGTTGAGTTTTCAGTTTTCAGTTTTACTTTATACGTTTATACTGGTAAAGACTGATAAAGAACTACGATAACTACTGTACTATGATACAATCTAATCGGTGTCTACAATCTAATCTAATACAATCTAGGATGATACAATCTAATCCTAACTGTAAGAAAAGGCCTACAAAACCAAGCTGGCTTTGGTTGCCTTTGGTTGCCTTTGGAACAACAAAAGCATAAGATTATATTAATTAGATTGAAGAAAAATGATTTTTCAAGAAAATAGGAATTCTTTTAAGATGAAGCATGAAGAAATATTGAAAATGAAATATTAAAATGGACGACAAGGCGCAGAAAAGTGATCTCTTCATCTCTTGGAAGGGAAACCGAAAATCTTTCGAAAAGGTTTACGGATTGGAGTCAAATTTCCTATTTTTTTTCTCCTCTTTCATCAGCTTTTTAATTTCAACAAAGCTGAAGAAAAGAAATATGATAATTCAAAGGAATGCGACAATTTGAAAGAGGAACAGCTCCAAAAAGCTTTTGAAACTTTTGTAAGATACGGTAGTGTTTCGAAAGCTTTTTTCTATTCTGCTTAACAACTGCTTAACAACAACAACAACCTAAATGCTTAACAACTTGGAAATACAATTCTTCTCGGAAATCCGGGTCTTTTCATTGTGAAAAGCTATCTGATGCAAAAGCCAAAAGCCAACTCGATTCCCTTGGGACTTTTCTTGGGGCAAAGGATCAAAATAAACTCCGCCAATAGGTTCTACGACCTTGAAAACCCCGGGGCACAAGTTTTTAACATTAAATCTCATTTGTGAATCATTTACAGAACAAAAGAAAGAGCTCTGTATAAAGTGACGGCGAGGAGTCCTTTGTGCGGCTGCGTAATCGCTCTTAATCTGGCATACACCCCCGATAGATAGCTGTTGCCTTTCGCAGATAGGAAGGAAGTGGTGAGTGACTGAGCTGTCCTGGGAGTTACTATGCTCAAAAGAAGAGTCAAGCAAATCTTCAAATACCTGAACCACATCTTAAAATGTTCATTTGAGAGCGGGAAAAGTTAGAGTTGAAAAAAATCCCATAGAAAAAAAAGAACGGAAATTGCGGAGCACGGTTGAGCGGAAATTCTTTGCTAAAAAAGGTAGCCTTTTCTTTTCCTTTTCTTTTCATTAACTGAGTCCCTAGAAGTGGCCAGTTCCCCAAAAATCACCCCCGGAAAACGCAAAAACGACATAAAAAAAAGTGCGACCATTTCTTGAAATGCCCGTTCTAGATGTCTGCTTTGATAAAAGTGAATGAAGGCTATAAAATGCAATTTCTCAATTTCTCAAGCAGAAGAAGGAAAAGTCACCGTTTAGTTTAGCCTAAATTTTGTCTATCTAATTATGCCTAATCTAGATTAAATTTGGACTTGATCGCCTGGAGTTAAGTTTACTATTAGATTTGGAAAGCTGATTTGGAAAGCTGATTTGGAAAGCTGATTTGGAAAGCTGATTTGGAAAGCTGACTATACCTGGACTCAATCTGCATTCGATTTAAACTTGATATTTTCTAGATCTATTTGCTTTATCTTTTAGACTGGTATAAAACGTTTTAGGAGATAAATCAAGCTTGTTAGAAGAGTTTTTTAAACAATAAATTCTTAAAAAAGCGAAGCAACACTTTTCAGCTGAATAATTTCACGAGAAAGAGAAGAACTTCTTTTTGATAGATCAAAAGAAAGAGAATCCTTTTCTCAAGCTTGTTAAAAGAAAAACCTCTTTTAACAAATGAAAGTTTTCATTAAAAGGTGAAAGAAAATAGAGATCATGCTTTTACTTAAAATTTATAATTTATACTTTATACTATAATTTATAG